TTTAACAACTGACTGGCAACTACCCTGGGTGTTCAGGATCTTGGTGTAGCCCTGAGGCTTTCTCAGGGTGAGCTTTAATGCACAACAAGCCATATTCTGGGCTTTCATAATTAATAATTGATAGGTTTCCGTCCCCCGACATTAGGTTTCTCTGCTGATGCAGTAAACCATATCAAGCCGAATGCAGAAGACCAGGTTTATTGGGTCAAGCACTCTCAGGTGACCTTCCAAGCCCCAGAGGTGAGACAGGAGAAGGGGGCAAGAGAAATCACACCCAGTCTAGAGACAGGAGCTTGAATATGCTGTAGTCGAGGTCTTGAGCTTCGGGGAAGGGCCTAGACTTTTGACAGTCTTTCTGAGAGAACAGGAAAGGGAAGAGCTGGAAACTCCAGTATAACATAAGTTTCTGTGTTATGATTTGGGGACTTTTTTTATTGATTTTTATTGAGCTCTACATTTTTCTCTGCTCCCCTCCCTGCCTTTCTCCTCCCCCTTCAACCCTTCCCCATGGTCCCCATACTCCCAGTTTACTCAGGAGATCTTGTCTTTTTCTACTTCCCATGTAGATTAGGTCTATGTAAGTCTCTCTTAGTGTCCTCATTGTTGTCTAAGTTCTTTGGGATTGTAGTTTGCAGGCTGGTTTTCTTTGCTTTATGTTTAAAAACCACCTATGAGTGAGTACATGTGATAATTGTCTTTCTGTGTCTGGGTTACCTCACTCAAAATAATGTTTTCTAGCTCCATCCATTTTCCTGCAAAATTCAAACTGTCTTTTTTTTCTGCTGTGTAGTACTCCATTGTGTAAATGTACCACATTCTCCTTATCCATTCTTCGGTCGAGGGGCATTTAGGTTGTTCCCATGTTCTGGCTATGACAAACAAAGCTGCTATGAACATAGCTGGAGGCGCCACATTTGAAGAGTCTGTTGGTGCCCCATCTTTTTTGAAGGAGGCCTCACCTCAGGGCTGCTGCCAGAAACCGGTATTTCAGTCTGTGTTATGAGAAGTCCGTCCCATCCTTTCTGCCTCTTCCTTTCCATTAAGCACTGTAAACGTCATAGTCAGCGGGTCTCTCTGAGGGATTTGAGGCCGTCATCTAGACTCTAAGCTTTCTCCTAACAGCAGGGGCTGCTTGGGAAAGTAAACAAGTCAGAGGACAGGCATGCCCTCTTGAGCATCAGGGCCCAGTGTGCTGTACGGAAGGAGAGCCTCGGTGAGCTGAGCAAGGAACTCAGCAGGATTTTATCTGGCCTCTGTGTGATCCTCCTAAGTTTGTCAAAATTGACCACTTTTTGGGAGACCTTGTGTAGGCTGGCCATGAGGTAAAAACTCTTTTATTAGTCGGGCGGTGGTGGCACACGCCTTTAATCCCAGCACTCAGGAGGCAGAGGCAGGCGGATCTCTGTGAGTTCGAGACCAGCCTGGTCTACAAGAGCTAGTTCCAGGACAGGCTCCAAAACCAGAGAAACCCTGTCTTGAAAAACCAAAAATAAATAAATAAATAAACAAACAAACAAATCTTTTATTCTGGGTCTCCCTACTGGTTGCCCCATGTTCATCGTTAACCTGGTAATCCCAGTGGAGGTCCACCTGGGTAACTGCTGCAGCGACCACAGATAGGTATGGTCCGTTCCGTGGACATCGTCCTCGTGGGCCCTGTCTTAGTTTGGGTTCTTACTACTATGAAGAGAACACCATGACATTTAATTGAGGTCACGGCTTACAGTTTCCCAGGTTCCCTCCATTACCATCATGGCGGGGAGCACAAAGTGCAAGTAAGCCGTGCTGCTGGAGCTGAGAGCGCTGAAGTCCAATGACAGTCACAGTGGGTGGTATCCTGAGTATAGGAAGCCCCAAGGTCCACCCCAACAGTGGCACGCTGTCTCCAACAAGGCCACACCCCCTAATAGTGCCACTCCCTATGGTATCCAGTTTCTTTCAAACTACCGCAGGCACAGACAGCTATCCAGACCCTTTCCTTTCCCTCAGGGATGAGGGTAGAGGAAAAAATAACATAGAGGTCACGCCAGGTGAGGCTATAGATCTGGGTGAGGAAACTGAATGCTTTGTTGAAGTTAGAAGGGTTGCTAGGGAAAGAACCAAGATGCTTTTCTCCCTGAGAGAGATCAGCCATAGAAAAAGGAACGTGGAGTGGAGTATGCTGCTAGGGCCCGCCATTTCCCTGAGGGGATAAAGACTATCTATTTGGGAGTGGGTTTGACTAGCCAGGGGTGATGAAGCAAGCAAGGTGGAGCAGGCTGTAAGGGCGCCAGTAGGTGAAGCCCACGGAGGGTGATGCCCATAGCGGGTCCGGCACCCACAGGGAATGTGCTCCATCGAAGTTGAAAGGAGTGGGAGCTGAGGTCCTGGTCAGCTTGGGGAGGAGGTCTGGTCTTTGCCAGGAGAATTTGGTGGCTGTAACAGGAGATCCACAGAGAGGGACAAAAGCGGAGAGCAAAGAAGGCTTGGACATAGAGAGTCTTGGGCCCCTTACCGAAGTGTCGGCAGAATTTGGCAAGAGCAGTGAGAATTTGAAAGTCTAATGCTCCGTTTTTGGGCCATTGAGGCTGATTATCGAGCTCGTATTGAGACCAAGCTATACAGCAGTATAAAAGAAAAAACAAGGTGCCAAGGTTGATGGTACCTGAGTCCGAGGAGGGCAAGAGATTTGGGAGGGCAGATGGGAGGAGCCCGTGGTCAGTTAGAGGGAGAAAGGGAGACTCCCTTGAAGAAAAGGTGGCAATCAAGAGTTCCCAGAAACAGCTCAAAGAGGAGGTGGGAGAGACTCGGAAAATCCAGGTCTTAGGGGCCGTCAAAAAGAGTCCTGCCGGAAGGAGGATCCCAGCAGCACAGAAACGGAGACCCAGGGAGGGTGACATGAAAGAGCTCAGTGCCATAGGATGGAGTCTCAATCCAAGGCTGTTCCAGGGGGCCAAGGCTCGTCGGAGAGGTGCCCGGTACACAGTGGACAGGTGTATGTGGTAGGGAGCCCGGAAGTGCATACGGAGGCTGCCAGGCACACTGGCGCAACTTTAACTGAGTGAGGAAGATAACCAAGGTAAATGTAAGAAGGGGAATATAGGCTTAAAAACACGAAATCCTTTAAAAAATAAAAGGAAAATAAATGTAAAATTATAGCGAAACGGTTTCTACTGTGAAGAGAAAACTGTACTGCGATGTGAAAGGCTGAGCGTGCACAGAGTGTGCTCACTAAGAAAACTTTTTTTTTAACAAGGAGGGGGGAAGAATAAAGCACTTGAGCGGCTTCCTCCTGGGTCGTCTAAAATTGGAATCTGCCCAGTAGACGCGGAGATGGAAAGAGGCAGGTGTGGAGCTAGGATAGCGACAGGCGTTCAACGCAGCTGTTTTCGCTTTAGCCGGTTCCAGTTCCCTTCTTTAGCGGCCTCTGCTGGCCACACTTAGTGTTGCAGTCTATGGGCCGGGCAGGTTCGCTCACCCTTTCCGAGCTCCCCATCTCCCCGCTTCCCTACAGGGTGGCTAAGATGCTTGGCCAGGGATGCCTCCCAAGAGGAGTGGAAACACAGCCTAGATAAAGCTATGGGTGACCATGTCGTCTACCGGAGCGTCAGAGATCCCCCAAGCAGCGAACCTCACGGTCTGTGTGGCTCTAGGGGCTGATCCTCCATCTCCCAGCTACCTCACTGTTCTAGTTCCTGTTCTGTGGCTGTGAAGAGACAGCAAGACCAAGGCAACTCTTACAAACAAAAGCATTTAACTGGGAGCTTGCTTACAGGTTTATAGCGTTAGTCCATGATGAGCACGGCAGGAAGCAAACAGGCACAGCGCTGGAGCAGAAGCTGAGAGTTTCCATCCTGATATGCGGGCAGCAGATAGAGGGACCGAGACACTGGGCCTGGCATGGGCTTTGGAAACCTCAGAGCGAGTCATTAGTGACACACCTCCTCCGACAAGGCCACCTCTCCTAATCCTTCTAATCCTTCTCAGACAGTTCGCCAGCTGGGGATTAACACACAAATACATGAACCTGTGGAGGCCAAACTCATCCAAACCACCAAACTCACTCTCCGTTATAGTCAGGAGATGGGCTCAGCTCTCAGTCACACCAAAGCCAAACCTCCTGCCACCTGAGCCTTCCAGCCTGTCAATGATTGGCCCTCCCCCTCTCTGTGACAGCCTCCTGTGGCTTCAGGAGTCCAATGGGGTGGGGGGAATGTGGTTTGATCACAAGCTTTGTACCTTGTGGCTACTCCCCTTTATCAGGCCTGTAGGGAATTTCAGTTTAAACAATAGGCTCCCTCTCAGAGACATGGCCAGCCACAACTCTCCGAGACTTGGAAATAGTAAACCAGAGCTGGTATTCATTGCTGAGCCCTCCCCCAGGAGCAGTCGGTATCTCGCCAGAACTCCTGACTGGTATTTCATGGACCCTGAGCTTGTCCTATAGATAGGTCTGCCAACTGTCTCCACGGTCATCTGGCTCACCTTTATTGGAGGCTTCTGTTTCTGCTCCACAGCCCCTTGCTGCTAGTTCCTCTCACTGGCTCCCTTTTGCTCGGTTTGTCTTTTGACAAGGTCTCTTTGGGTAGACCAGGTTGACCTTGAACTCTCAATCTTCCCGTTTCAACCTCTTAAATACTAGGTGTACAGGTAAATGCCACCAAGCCAGACTTGTGGCTTTTCATTTGCTTGGAGTTATTGTTTGTTTTGAGACAAGGTATCACAAGCCCGGCTGGCCTCAATAGTAGCTGAGGCTGGCCTTGAACTCCTGATGCTTCTCTTCCACCTCCTAAGTGCTGCGTGGGGTTCCAGGTGGTCACCCTCATACCTGGTCCCGACTCCTAGTTTTGAAAATGAATCCGCAACCCAGGAACATCTGTCTAAACGCTTTAATTAAAATTCACGGCACTACGAAAGCCGGCGCGTCCAGAAAGTGTTCTTGTTTACTGAGAAAACAGCTTAGGCTAGTTCCGGTGGCTGGGCACAGTTTGATAAGGAAATTTTAAACAGCTTCTTCGTTTTAATTCTATTTAAAATATCTGTGCAGTTAAAAATAAAAGACGGCGTACGGTTCATTATCTACCAAAACACAAGACACACTGGGGAGATTAAAAGAGAGATTCAACAGTCACTCATACTCCTCCGTTCTGACTTCGGGATTAGGGCGATCTCTGAGCTGTGTCATTCACGCCTCAGAGGCCAGCCAGTCCAATTTAATCTGGAGATTAATGCCTGTCTCCAGCTCAGTTTATCTAATATCTGGGTTCTGCGAGAAGGTTATCCTGAATGAGATAGCTCGGTGAAATGAAGACACTGGCAATCTCATTTCAGAGTTAGTGTTCTTTCCAGGAACCCCAAGAACCTCTTGCTTTCTGTAATAAGCCGACTATTTTCGGGGACCAGCATCTAAAAGAGTAGGTGCAGCAACAGAAAACAGATTCCTTATGAAGCAGGACCTCACAGTGGTGGGGTCAGGAAGATGCAGACCGTCACAGTGGCAGGTCAGAAAGCAATTCGCCATCTACTGAAGGGCAGCATGTTTACCTTAGAGGAACATCTGAAACACCTGCTGCGGGTGAAAGCATTTACTAAGCTTGGGCTTTAGATTCTAGGGGGCAGATATGGGAATAATACGTGAGGATACTAGGGCTAAAAAAAATATGACTAGACTTCAAACTCACCCTGCTTAAAAAAAAAAAAAATACGGTGTACCCGTAAGACTGGATCTGTGTGGGAGTCTTCTTTCTTTTGGTATTGAGGATCAAAACCAGGCCAGACAAGCGCTCTACAGTAAGGCCAACTCCATTCTGTACAAGATGGTTTTATTATTGTCACTCTTGCGTGCGTGCATGTATGTGTATGTGTACGTGTGTGCTGCAGTGCGTATGTGAAGGTCAGAAGACAACTTTGTGGGGCTGATTCTTTTCACCTTCGCATGGGTTTCAGAGATTCAGGTCGTCAAGCATGCGCGGTGGTGTGGCAAGGGCCTTTATTCACTGACCCCTCTCAATATCCTGCAATGTTATTCTTAATAATATGAGATAGGAAGCAACCCAAATGCTCGCTGATGAACAGTGGACAAGATGTCACCACCACACATCTGAACAAGGGACTACGCTGCTGTCACCAATGGCCCAGTGCATTTCCCTTCTTTCCCCCTTTGGCATAGGGTATTGTCATGAAGTCCTGCTGACTTCAAACTTGTGATTCTCCTGCCTCAGTATCTAGTGCTCCATGATGCCCAGCTACAAGCATGCTCTCTGTGTGCTGACAGAGAACCACTAGGTTTTTTCACAGTTGTTACACGGTGCTCGAGAGTGGTCAGGGAGGACGGGTGCCAGGAATAGCACAGAGAACTTTTAATGTCATTGCTTACTAAAATAAGCAAAACTTTAAAGGGGTGAGAGAAGAATGCCAATCGTTACCTGCAGTGTACAAAGTACCTGGATCGCCTGCTCTGCCATCGCCGAGACTCTTGTGTTTGCAGGAACTTGAAACTCCTAAGCTGTTTTGCTATTGGTTTGTTTTGAGGCAGATTCTCACTATGTAACCCTGGTTGACGTTGATCCAAGGATCCTCCTGCCTCAGCTTCCCCAGTTCTGGGTTCCCACTCTAGCTCTTCCCCATCACTTAAACGAAGGGTGGGTTCTGGTGGGACCCTGCCGTATCATCAACCCTTGATTTTTCTAGTAGAGCGCTCCGTGATGTCGGAGCCCTCTTCTATTCCCTCCTAAAAACTTTTAAAAGTGCAAGGCCGGTTTCTTCTTGAAAATAGCAACTGTGGGGGGCTGGAGAGATGGCTCAGAGGTTAAGAGCATTGCCTGCTCTTCCAAAGGTCCTGAGTTCAATTCCCAGCAACCGCATGGTGGCTCACAACCATCTGTAAAGAGGTCTGGTGCCCTCTTCTGGCCTTCAGGCATACACACAGACAGAATATTGTATACATAATAAATAAATATTAAAAAAAGAAAATAGCAACTGTGGGAGGGGGCAGGGTGCTCCACCCATGGTAAGAGCTCAAGAACACCACCACCGTTTGAGGGTTTCCACATGACTGTCCAGGCAGGCAGTTCTACCGCCAGGCGTGCACCCGGGGATGGGGATCATGGATCACGGGGCACTGCATGTGCCTCACTCTGCTTCCTCCTTCTTCTCCTCCAGCATCTCCACCGACAGCGTCTGCTCCTCAGGATCCGGGCCTGGGCTCACGCGGATCCTCACTGAGGGCTCCGGGGACTCCGGGGGCTCCGAGGGCCCAGTCACCACCTCCTCCGTGCCACCCTCTGGCTTCTTCTGGGCCGGAGGTGGAGAGCGTGGGGCCGGAGGCTCCGGGGGCTCCTGAGGCTCTGGGGGCTCCTGGGACTTCTTGGGTTCTGGCTGTTCCTGGGGTGCAGGTTGATCCACAGCTCCGGAGCCCTCCTCTCCCCCAGCTTCCTGCGAGCTCTTGGCCTGAAACCCAGAGAGTGTGACACATGAGGTGAAGCCTTCTCCTCCATGGAGCGGAAAGAGATCTTACAAGCCAACTCGCCCCCACCTTCTAGGACTTCCAGGGGACAATGGCACACAGAAGGTGAAAGCTAGTGTCCTAACAGAGCAGCGGCAGGGTAGTGTAAGAGAAACAATGTAGTGTTGGCAGGTTGAAGTTTGAGGAAGAGAGGCCAGCATGTTTTGGGGGTAAGTCTTGGGGATTTGTTTAATTTTGAGACAGTGTCTCCATATGTAGCCCTGGCTGACCTTAAATTGGTGTGGAGCACAAGTTGGTCTCGAACTCAGGGTCCTTCTTCCTCGGCCTATGGGATGCTGAGACTACAGGTATGAGCTACCATGCCCAGCTCTTAGGATAGTTTAGACTATTATGGGCTGGAAGCCTGTATTAAGTTGTACAGTCAAGTACAGATCCATCCCCCCAACTTATTTGGGGAGTTGATAACCATGACAAGCCTTGTCAAAAGCTGAGCCATCCTGACACCCACTCCTCTTCCTCTTCTGGTTTTTCAAGACAGGGTTTGTCTGTGTGACCCTGGCTGTCCTGAATCTCACTCTATAGACCAGGCTGGCCTCCAGTTCAGAGATCCCTGCCTCTACCTCCTGAATGCTAGAATTAAGGGCATGTGCCACCATTGCCTGGCTACACACACACAGTTTTTCTTAGTAATAGATGGTAAGTGAGAAAAACTTGGAGCACATAGGTAAAGCTGAGTGAGCAGGAGAACCTGTGGCCTGGCCATCTTTCTAGAAGGTTCCAAAGGTCGCAACCCTTATAGGAAGAATGGAGTGGGGTATCAGAAAAATGAGGCTGAGGTGACCCTGTGTTCAGAGGCTTGGTGGGCAGCTGTAGTTCTAACTTGTGCTTCCCCCATGGGTGTTGTTGGCCATCAATAAGTAATGGGGAAAATTTTAAAAATCCCTGCGTTCTCACCTGCTTGCTCTTTCACCCTAGTTCTGTAAGGAAGGCAATGGAAGAGGGAACAATCTAGAAGATCCTCAACTGACCAAGACCCCAGGGAGAGTAGTCGGTGTGCTCATACGGAGTAGAGACCCTTGAGGTTTGCACAGATCATAGGTGTCAAAGAAGCGGGGGAGGGGGCATCAGGATGCTTCTAGAATCAGAAGCAGCTCTGGAGGCCTGCTGCTGCTGCTTCCATGCGTCCTTGTTACCCGCTACACATGTTCTACCCTACGTGTGCACCCTAAGTTCTCAGGACACCCCATCCTGGGCAGGGTGTTCAGATGCAACTTCTGAAGCCGAGAGATACAAACAGGAAGAGGAGGATCATGGGAAGGCTGGTCACATGCTCTGCGGTGTTCAAATGTTTGGCAGAAGGAACCACCGCTTCACCTCTGCAGGCCCATGTGGCCTCCATGAGTCCTCCGAGTCTCGGGGTGCAGGGCTCTTTGCCGGAGTGACGGAGCCTCTGGGCTTGTTTAGTAAAGAGCTCCTTCACTGCTGGTCTGCTCGGGCTTTCTAAATCTCACAGGACACTTTTGTCAGAACACTCATGCAACAGGAGCAGCAACCCATATTAGCTGAAGTCTTTTGCTGCTCTGAGAGAGTCTTTGTGTTCATGCCCACTCAACCCCAAAACAGCAGCCAGCACAAAAGACCCCGCTGTGCAGCCAGCCTCAACCTTGACCAACACAACAATCACATTTTTCCTCTGTCTGGGGCTATTGGTAGGCCATGGCCTGGAATCCCAGGTGGCTTTGATGTCACTTGCCCAACTTCTGCTGTCAAATGAACCCTGAATGGGTCCCCTGACTCACATCCCTGGACTGAAGCTGAGTTCTCTGTTAGCCACACAGCCTACTGCCCACTTCTAGGCTATTATGAACAGGTCAAATTAGTACCATTATTCTAAGAGGTCTCCTTGGCTTCAGTCAAGAAAAAAAGACCCGTGAGCTAATTTTAATATCCCTTTAGGATCACAGGAGTAGAAGCCATTGTCACTGTGCATAACTATAGAATTATATTTTTCTTTCCAAATCATTTCAATGGTCACAGACACTGTATTAAATAGAACACCACTGTCCCCTGGGGAGAGATGTTCCCAGCCTGCACCCACTCCTCCCACCAACCCCAAGACCATCCCCCAAAGAAGCCTCTCACAACTTCCAGTCCAGGAGTGGGCAGGTATGGGACACACACAGTCCTGGCCCCACCGGCAATGGTTCAGAAATTGGCATGTGTCCCAGCACTGACCAGTGACAATGAGTCCTGGGGATTTTGGCTTTGCTCTTGGGGGAAGATGTACTTCCTGGCAGGGTTGCTACATGAAGGGATGTGGAGTCATCCGGTAAGGAAAGAGAGGCGGCAGACAGAAAGACTAGTCTTGCAACTTGAGATTCAGCCATATTCGAACTTGCCAATTATTAAGCCCTCTCCAGTTTCCTATCCTGTCAACATAATGTCTTACTTAGGGGTTGTTTGAGGCAAGGCTTCATAATGTAGCTCAGGCTGCCTTGAAATTATGTAGCCCAGGCTGGCCTAGAATTGATAGCAATCCCGCCATCAGCTTCTCACCCTTGTGAGCTGCGACCCAGGTTTCTCAACCTGGCTTGAACCTGCTTCTGTCACCTGCGACCAGACAAAGTCTGCTGCTGTAAAGGAGACAGAAAGTCCCGACACTGGATGTGTGGTCAGCTCTTGGAGGTCCCCGACCTTCTCCCCGAAACAAGCCTGCTAAGTGAGAAGAGCCAGGTCCCAACCATGTTACCTGTTCCAGCAGCTGCTGCTGCCGCGCGGCTGCCTCCAATGCTGCCAGTTCCTTGAGCCTGGCTCTCAGGTGGGCAAGCTTGCCACCCTTGGCGCCCCTGCCGCCCATCTTTCCTGCTGCAGCGAGGGCGGCATTGAAGAGTTTCGGGGTGCCCGCACGTGGGGGCAGGATGAGTACACTCTTCTCCTCCTTGGGCTTGTTGTTGTTTCTCAGCATGCGCCTGAAAGAGAGACACACCCACTTTCATCCAAAGCACAGTGGGGAGGAGCCCGTCCATGCCTGTGTAGAACCCTACATGCCCCTACATGGTGGCAGGGGTCCTGGTGTTGGTGCTGCCATTGGCTGGTGGTTTCAGGGTACTTTGCTGGGGCAAGCACAGTGCTGAGTGCTTACGCACAGATGGGATGATTGGAACTGCCATAAGAGGTGGGGCTTATTGTCTGTGCCAGAGGGAAGGAAGGGAACACTGGAACCCAGAGAGGTTGATGACCTTGCTTGAGGTCACACTGGATAGACTGAAAGACACAGCTATAGTTCAGACATGGTTTGAGGGCATCTCGAAGGGTTCATAGGCATATGGTGATATTGGGAGGGGGGGAGCACGGAACCTACCAGAGTCAGGGCCTGTTGTCTTTAGTCTTTAGTGATCTAGTTCTCCTAGGACCCTGACTAGTTCTCACAAAAGGGGTTGTTATGAAAGCCATCCTGGCCCTCTCTTGATTTTATCTGGAAAAGGTTGGGGTTACTGAACCCCTGAAAACTGAGGAAACTGAGGATGAGAATAAGGGCAGGGAGCGACCTGCTCCAGGTCACCAAGAAGTGGCAGAGGCAGAACCAGACCCAGGATCGGATGTGACCCAGCACCCTGTTTCTTTGAATAAAGATAGATTTTTCCATCAAACAGAGAATGCACCCTTTACTAGGAATTTTTCAAGCTATGAATATGTGATTAACAGCTTGGCTCAAGAACGCATGCATTTTGTCTTCAATCTAGTGGACGAGACGGCTAATCAGAAAATTCATTCATCAGGGTTCCAGTGTAACTTGTTTGTTTTCTGTTTGTCTGTTTGTTTTTAGATGAGGCCGCTGCCGGCTGCTTAGCTAATCAGAGCCAGTGGGCTTGAAGTGTGTGTGGTGTTATTAATGGAGCGAGATTTGCATTTCTCTCTGGGTTTCCCCAGGAGACACAAGCATGATCATCCATCAGAGGCCTTGGAAGCAGGCTCTCTAGCAGCCTGGGCGCTGTCACCTAGGTCACGTGAGTCCATAATTCATACGTGACAGGCAGCAGGAAGGCTCAGTTTGATGCTGAGATGACAAAGAGCAGTGGATGGGACAGCGGCTCTGCTTTGAGTCAGTGCGGATAGACGTGCCCACGCGAATGGAATTCTCTGCAGTCCAGGCCTCTGCTCTGGAAAGGGCATGAGGCAGGAGAGTGGGGACTGGTACAAATACCCAAAAATAACAAATGTCACTGGGAGTGCAACTCTGAAGAGGATCTGGGGTTCCGGTCTGTCCCTCTGTCTCTATTTGTCTCTCTCTATTCGACCACAGGTCCCCACGCATCGTCCTTCCTCATCATGAATGCAAAGACTCAGGTCAGGCAAACATGGACTGAAACCTTTGAAACCAAGAGCCAAAACAAGCTTTTCCTTTTGAGCTGATCTTCTCAGGGACAGAGTGCCACTTTGTTTGACACCAGCTAGAGCACACACTGGGCAACCGAGTCTGCAGCCACCCTGTGCAGGTCTGTGAGTGACCCCGTGACCGACCAACCATCTGCAAGAGTCTGCTGTTAGAACCCGGACCACCCTGCTGCTCTGACCATGCCCACCTGGAGCAGCCCCCTTTCTGGTGGGAAGGAAACAGCAAACCCTTCACCAAGAGCCTGTTTGTGAATCTTTAACCCCCTAGCCGACTCCCCCGGGTGCGTGTGGGTTTCTATACCCTAGAGGCTTCCTTAGTCACTCAGTTTGAAACCTCATCTGGAGGACTAGAAAGCTAAAGTCTGCTTTTCTAAAAATAAAATAACCTATTTCCCAGTGCAAAACACAAACACACATGCACATACACCTGCATTGCTATTCACAGTCGCGAAACCTTGGCACTGCCCCACAGGCTCACTCTGGGGGAAGGGAGGGGCTCTGTGGGCTCAGATGACTGTTCAACATGCTATCATTCATATAACGAGAAATAAGGAAACAGCCATAGGCCTGCCTGTCTTTGAAAAAGTAAACACACAGCAGAAAAAGTGGGAGCCAATGAGGTTAGCCAGACCAGGCGGCAAGGCCTGTGAGCCTTGTTACCCAGAAGGCTGAGCAGATGGAGAAGGCAGTGCTCACCTGGACTACAAAACAACAGCCTGGCCAATCGAGCAAGACCCTGCCCCAATACCAAGTCAAATACAATAAACTTAAAGGCTGGAGGTTAAGCTCAGTGGTAAAGCACCTGCCCAATATGCACAAGACCCTGGGTCTGGAAGGAAGGAAGGAAGGAAGGAAGGAAGGAAGGAAGGAAGGAAGGAAGGAAGGAAGGAGGGAGGGAGGGAGGGAGGGAGGGAGGGAGGGAGGGAAGGAAGGCAAAAATATCCCCCAAACAAACCTAACACATTTAGCCCCTTTACTTCATCATTTTGAGAAAGCATTTTACAACAAAGCTCTGACTGGCGTGGAACTTGAAGTACAGACCTGATTGGTCTTGAACTTGCAGCAATCCTCCTGCCTCCGACTCTTGGATTATAGGCATGAAACCCCATACCAGGCCTAGATCTTGGTTTCTAGAAAGCGGTGGGGGGCTGCAGTTGGATATTTCAATGGTAAAGCACACATGTCTAGCATGGATAAAGCCCGGGGCTCCATCCCCAACCCCTGTACTCCTCAAAACTCCTCCAAACATTTTCCACTAGAAGAAATTTAGCTCCTTGGAGAAATTGCCATTTCTGGGGGTGGAGGGCAGTTGAAGTGGGAGCCCCAGGTTGCCCAGGCTGTCTGGCTGTGCCTGTTTGTCCCCCATAGACACAGGGAAATGTTGAACTAGGATGGGACTTCAAAGGGTGACAAAAGTCAGCTTGAAGAGTTCTCACTGGGCCACAGCGGAGCAACTGAAACCTCAGGAAAACTGTAATAGGTGTTCATGAAACCAAGCAATGTCTGCTCGTGTGGTAGATAAACCCCAGGAGAGGAGAGGAGGCCCTACAGCCTACATCTCCCTACATCCAAGTGGGAACAAAGGAGTAGGAGGCAGGAGGAGGCTGAACAGCGATGGCTCAGAGAGACCACTGAGGACCAAGGAGCCATGGACAGATGGGTGTCCCCCAAGCAACAGGTGCAAACTGGGGGAAGAGGGACATCTATGCCGTTCCAAAGAGGTCCCCACTAATTGCTTGTCATGTAACTTTGTGGTCCAGAAACCTTGTCCATATGCTTGAGGTGAATTCATCACCTGGTAAGAATCCAGACCATGTACCTCCATATGCGGCTTTGAGGGGCACAGTCACCCCTGGTCGTTTCTGCATCAGATGCAGAGCCATAAGCCATCATCAGAAAACACCAGACGCATCTAATCCAAGGAGCATTCTAAAACCTAGCCGGCCTGTTGGCTACTAAGAGATCAAAGCCAGTAGAGACACCATAAGGAACTGTCCCAGGTCAGAGGAGGCAGGGGACTCAGCACATTGATGCAGGAAGGAGAAAGCCAGCAGACAACCTCAACATGGATCAGAGATGAGTGAACACTATGGTTCCTGCACAAATGCTCTGATGTCCATAATGGTATTACAGCGGTATGAGAGAAGCTACCCCCCCCCCCCAGTCATTACTCAAAACCCGAAAAGAAAAAAGAAAGAGGGATTCTGTACCTGGCCTTCTTCCGGAGCAACTTCTGAGATTCAGGGTAATGCACCAAAATTTCATTCAAGTCCTTCTTGTCCAGAATGAAGAGGTTGGTGAACCCATGGGCCACCACATTGGCCGTGCGCCGGTTCCCGCCCCCTACGGCCAGCAAGCTGGAATAGAAAAGGGAGGGGAATGAGACCATTCGGAGGCTGTGGTTTTAGAGAGATTGTCTTAGGTTTCTGTTGATGTTTTGTTTTGAGGCAGGATCTCACTATGTAGATCTGGCTGTCCTGGAACTCACTCTGTAGATCAGGCTGCCCTTGAACTCACAGAGATCCTCCTGCCTCGGCTTCCTCAGTGCTGGGACTAAAGGAGTATGTCCATCACATCTGGCATCATTTAGGTTTTGAAATAGAATTTTTCTCTTCTTCTGGCTGATTTTCTATCAGCATAATCAGTATATGGGACTACAGGCATATGCCCCCCAGTGGCTTGGGTTTTGCTCGCATTTATTCAACTCTGCTTTTCCCCACCTCCTTCAGGGTCCGCCATGGTGGGGTACCCCCAACCTTTGCCCAGGGTACATGTGACCCCCACCACCACTGACCTGATCTCTCCAAACACCGATCCAGCTTTGAGTGTCACCAGCACGGCTTTCCCATCTGGACCGCCCAGCACCTGCACCTGCCCCGCCTGGATGATGTACATCTCACGGCCAATCTCCCCCTGGAACAGAAGAGCGTGGAGTCCCACACCGCATGTCTGCCCCAGCCCTGCACCACCAACGAACTGAGGGGATGATCTGAAATTGCTTCATAGATGTACCAATTCATTACTGGCTAAGAAAAAAATCAATGTGCCGTGTATGTGCAAATACACGTGGAAATATTCATATTAATGAACACAGGTGTGGGGGTTCACAAGGAAGCAATGAGTACCCTTCAGGTTCAGATCTTGTTTCAATTTCATTTATTTATTTATTGGGTTTTTTTTTTTTTGAGACAAGGTTTCTCTGTAGCTTTGGAACCTGTTCTGGAACTAGCTCTTGTAAACCAGGCTGGCCTCAAACTCACAGAGATCTACCTGCCTCTGCCTCCCAAGTGCTGGGATTAAAGGCATGTGCCACCACCACCTGGCATTTGATTTTATTTTTACTTCATCATTTTGAAAAAGGGTTTTACAATAAAGCTCTGGCTGGCATGGAACTTGAAGCACAGACCTGACTGGTCTTGAACTTGCAGCAATCCTCCTGCCTCTGTCTTTAGACATGAGACACTGCATGGTGTGGTGTGGAAAAGGGGATAGCTTCACTCTTGGCCTCCATCTTTTCTTTTGAATGTTGGGTATGACACTATTCTTCAGCTCCCACTTGTACGACCCCATGACCCACAACCCAGTAAGAACCTATGGCCAGTGGCCCAGGAGCTTGGTCAGTTGGGTAGGAATAATAATAGCGGTCAGGAGGCCCACAGGCCCCAGGACATCTTGTAAGCTAATGCTGGTGGGCGTTTTCCACACAAGTGAACCTGCTATTGTAAGATTATGCTCTACCAAGATTGCAATGCAAGGTCGAACCAGTGGTGGGATTTGAATCCAGACAGACTGACTCAGGGTGAACAGTTGCTATGGTTACTCTGTCCCCAGATCCATGCTCTGTCTGCTGAAATTCCCAGCACGTCCCAATAGGTCCTTATTTGGCAATAAGGCTGTTGCAGGTGTAATGCAATTGAGTAAGCTGGCCCTCAGCCCATCGAACTGACATTCTCACAGAAAGCACGTAGAGGTGAAGAGAGCCAAAGAGAAAATGAGCATCTTGCTACCTGAGGAAATGGGGCTTTCATTTGTTCTGCTGGCCCTAACACACGGTAACCTGAGTCCCAAACTAAATCGGAGGAATGAATGAATGAGGGAATAGATGAATGACCAAGGGAACGGATGAACGGATGGCTTCCTCTGAGTCAATCAGAAACAGTAACCTGCCACACGTCTTCCAACCCTAGTGCTTTCCCAGACCCTGCCTGGGCGGCCCCCTGTCAATCACAGCTGTCACAATCAAAGGGTGACAGTAACCCAGCTGCAGTTCAATTTACCCCACAAATGCTTTTTTCAGCCTTACAAGGGATCAAAGTGTCGGGGTTCAAGCCCCAGCGTCTCAGAGAATCACAGAGGAAGCAACAGCAGAGGGCGCCACTCACACGTGCTCCCCAACACCGGAGCCGCCTCTCACCTGCCACAAACTCTAAACAGTGGCAGCCAGTGTGCCTACAGGCACATCTTAACCCAGTCTTCCCAGCCACCTCATGAAAAAGGCACTAACAGTATCTATACTTCATCCATAAGAACAGGACTCAGAGAGGGCAGGCCGCCTGCCCAATGCCGCACGGCCAGGAAGCGGCTCCAACACCGTTACAATCACTCTATCATTCCCAATGAAATTCGTCCTGTCTCCTTGGCTCTGCAATTCACTCCCAGAAACTTCATTACTGTCTCGCACACTGCTCGGCAGACCTGTTCAACCTACGGATGTAAACTGAACTCAGGGACAGCTCAGCAGGCAAAGGCGTTTGGCTGTCAGTCTTAGTGAGCAGTTTGATCCCCAGAGCCCGCCTGGTGGAAAGAGAGAAGCAAGCCCCACAAGTTGTCCTCTGCCTTCCACACGCTCGCCATTGCACACCCACGTCCCCAGCAGATAAGTAATTTTAAAGGAGGGGCTGGAGAGAGAGCGCAGGAGTTAGGTGCACTTACTGATCTTCCAGGGGACCGCACAAATAACTAAAAAATAACATCCTTACAAGATTGGGGGAAAAAAGTCAATGGTAACACACATTTTTAATTCTAGCACTCAGGAGACAGACGCAGGAGGTTTTCTATGATTCAAGACCAGCCTGGTCTACATAGTGAGTTCCAGGACCGCTAGGGTTATAGAGAAAGACCCAGTCTCAAAAATAATAAATAATAATTTTAACCCACCTGACAGGGGCTAGAGGCTCCCACATCTTACTTATTTTCACCCCATACACTCACCCAGACTTACTGACATCTCTGTACAAAAGACCTGAAACTTGCCCACCCCTGTGTTGAAATAGGAGCGGCGGGGCTGCGTCCCCAGCACCCCGGTAGCCTGCTAGCTTATGCCCGAAATAACAACACACAAACTGTATTCATTTAAACACTGCTTGGCCCATTTCTATCTAGCCTCTTCTTGGCTAACTCTTGCACCTGGACTAGCCCATTTCTAGTAATGTGTGTAAGCACCCCAAGGTACGCTTACCGGGAAGATTCTAGCCTCTGTCCATCCTGGGTCGGAGCTGCCTGGGAGAGCTGAGCCTGGCATCTCTGCTCCAGAGAGCAGAGCTGTCAAGTCTGAGCTCACTTCCTCTTCCTCCCAGCATCCTATTCTGTTTACTCCTCCCACCTATGTTTTAACCTATCAGGGCCAAGGAGTTTCTTTATTGCTTAACCAATGAAATCAACAGATTGATATATGACACTCCCACATCACTCCTGCCCCTGGTGACCTTGCTGACATTTTAGTGCCCTTGACAAGGAGCACAAAGGGCTTTACACTGTCAAGGGCCAGATTCTAACATAGGTGTTTCCTAGGTGAAGGGAACCTGGGGTGGAGTGGTACCGAGTGGTAGGGCCCATGGCATCAGACAGGGCATCACTGGCCCCCACTCTCATGCTGACTTTCGCTGCTGTGGGAAGCGGGACCCAGACCCAATGTTCTGCTTCATCCAGACGTTTGGAATTTGATGTGGAATCTTCCAGCGTTTAAAGGTTAGGAATTAATTCCACTTAAATAAATTCATAAAACACCACAGGGCTGTAAACTACCCGCTTTCCTGATGGGAAAATGGAGATCCTGGTGGCAGTTTTGTGGATCAGAGCCCCCCTCCACTCGTTTTCTGCAAGGTGGGCTCCTCTGTGTGAAGCGAGCATTGGAAGCGCTTGGCAGAGCCCGGGCACCCTCTGCAGCAGGTGTTCTCTGTTCAGGCTGCCAGTGCACCCTACTTCCTCTGAAGTAGGGCTACCGCTGGGCGAGCAGACCCCCTCACAGGTCCTGCAGATGTCCCCCCTCCCACGTGCATAAACAGCAACCCCCCCCCACGCACGCACGCACACACGCATACGCAGCTCACCTTCTTGCACACATAGTCATTGGGCAGGTAGACAACCGAGCGAAGGCGCTTGAGCATGTCGAAGATCATCTGCCGGTCACAGCCCTGCCCAGACCAAGGGGAAGGAGTCCATTAGAGGAAGGGAGGGGCTTTGTCCTCAGTCCCCCCGCCGGGCGGGAGGGCACCTGTGGGGGGTACCTGGAAGAGCGCCACTTTGCTAACAATGTCGTAGTTCACATCGATGGCCAGGTCCAGTCTCATCTTGTCTGGAAGCTGCACCATCAGCTCTGACTCATCTGGGAAGGAGACCGGGTCGGGGTCAGAGTTCAGGCCAGGTCTGGCCCCTCACACCACACACAACCACGTGAGGCCCTGCACTGGCTCAGCCCAACTCAGCTTCTCCTGTCACAGAGAGCCTCTTCAGGTTCTGAGCGTTCCCATCAGGTTTAGCATCCCTTCCTTTCCAAACTCCTACCCATCCTTCAAAACGAAGGACTAATGCTACTTCCTCCTGACTTTGAAGCGCCTACTCAGATTTTGTATCAGTATTCCCTATTCTGTAGCGCTTGTCAACCCCACTTTAATTTTTTTACATCGTGTGTGAGTGTGTGTGTGCACGTGCAGCATAGTACACCCGTAGATGTCAGAGGACAACTTGTGGAGGTCCTAGGGACCGAGCTGAGTCATCGTACTTGGCAGCAAGCCCCTCCACTGGCTGAGCCATCTCATCGGCCCACCTATCACTTTATTCCTTCGGAGACAAGGTCTAGCTATGCGGTCCATCCTTGACCCAAACTTAAGATGCCCTCCTAAGTGCCTGGCTCTACCCTTGATTGCCATCCGCTTCCACCTTGGATGGAGCTGCATCTCAAGGCAGATGAAGCGAGAGAAGAGTGGCCGTCCAGAGGACAAGCCCTGTAAGTCTGCCCGGGTCTTCACTGGCCTCGAGAGGTCCCTCCAGTATCACTGCTGGGGGTGCAACCAAGAGAGACCCCTCAGGACACAGAGGACAGTGGAAGAGTTGGCCAATCTGGGAATCAGGTGAAGGTTGATGAGGGGAGGTAGGGGGTATGGGGCTTGGCCAGGCTTACCCAGCATGCCTTGTGAATGCCAGGTATACTCATACCAGGTCTTGACACGGTTCTGCACAGACCTGGGGATCTTGTAGAAGTTCATGTACTTCACCGTACTGTCCATGCAGCTGCGGTAGTAGGTCTGGCCTGCTGTGGCGGCTCCCACCACGTCTCTCATCTACAGCAAAGACAACAGTGAGGGGAGGTTAAGGAAGTGCTGGGTCCAAGCTACATAGGACACAGGTCGGGATATGTAACGGTAGATCGGGCACCTATGCTCGTGACTGCGTCAGGAATGGCCACACATAAAGCAGGGACCCTGGAAGTGGGGAACAAAGCTGCAGACCTCTCTGGTAGTCTCAGGTCCCCAGCACAATACTGGGTTGGGATGTCACACTGGGATAGGCTGATGGGATTATACAGACACTCTCCCCAGGGAGGAACACTGAGCCTCGAATATTGTTTCTCAGAGCGGAATCCTTCCAAGTTTGCTTTGAGGACTCGATTTGTTGCCCCTGCCCTGACCAGAACACAAGTCACCCATCACATCAGAGACTCCAAAGGGTTTTCTCACGGGGCACAGCCCAGGTCCTCCACCTCTGAGAAAGTCACGTAGCCACCTGGCTCACGGTACTCCCCAAAGGGACCAACATTCAAACAGTAAGACAGCTCGGGCAATCCTGGGACACAGACATCCTCCTGTCTCAAATGCTGTGGGCTTCTGGCTCAGCCTGAGTCTTCTCGGTGCTCAATCCCCAAACCACAACACACAGGGAGGTTTCCAGCTCGGAGGAGGGGAGCGCCACAGGTGGGTGGCTGTGCAACCCCAGTTACCTGTCCGATCATCACAGAGAAAGCGAAGACACCTGTGAAATAATTCAGCAGCTGGAAGACAATTTCGAAGAGCGTCTGGGGGTCGGGCAGCCCTCCGATGGTGATGAGAGTTTTCACGGCCCAGTAGTAGCATCGGATGTAACTAGTAAGAGGTGAGAAAAAGGGACCTTGGGCAGTGCAGGAACTGCCCAGCTGCCCTTGCCATCCTACACAGCCACAGGTACAAGAAAAGGGCCCCACCTCCAGCAGCGCCCTCAAATGCTATCACGTGTGGCTGAGGCTCTGGCCTGGCCATGCGAGAACATGTCACCCTGAAACGTGGATTTGGAACTGAGGTTCCAGCAGACACCTGGACACAGCTCTAGGCTGACTGCTTCCTGAAGCCAGCAAAGGGGAAGCCAGCAGGGCCAAGTAGGTTCCAGGAGACAGCAAGGAAGAGCTGGCAGGGTGACAGACTGGCCCTAGTGACTGGGTTTCATCAGTTTTCCATCTTGTTCTTTGCTCTCCCCTGTGGTGCTGGCTCATAGAAAGTAAGAAGGAGAACAAAACCAGGAGATACTGGGGCCCTCACATCTGAAGGGCTAGCTCCTGCAGACCCAACCAGCTACAAGTGGGAAACATTTGAGGGAAAAATGTGTCTAGCTGGGTTCAGAGCCCACTAACACACACATACACACACACACTTACACACACATATACACACACACATACACACACATATACACACACACATACACACATATACACAAACACACACATATACACACACACATACACACACACACATACACACACACACACTCCAGGCCTAGAGCAGTGGTTCTCAATCTTCCTAATGCTGTGACCATTTATTAATGTGACATTAATACAGCTCCTCATGTTATAGCGACCCCAACCATAAAATTATTTACCTCGATATATTGTCATTGTAGTTTTGCTAATTCATATAATTAATTATATGAATCATAATATAAATAATATGCAGGATATCTGATACGTGACCCCTGTGAAAGTGTCATTTAACCCCCAAAGGGATTGCAACCCACAGGTTGAGAACCACTGCCCTAGAGCCACCTTCTAGGGTGAACCAATTTTCACTCCCTCCAGCTGGCCTCATCTTCCACAAATTGGGCACAGGAGGGGATCATTCTTCCCAGGCAACTGTGAGGATGAAGTGAACTGCTAGAGCAGTGACCAGGCCCTAAGTCAGCCATCAAGACCCGCACAGGGCCTGTGCCTGCCAGCACCTGTCATGGGGAACAGAGCAGATGGACCCACGTCTTCCAGACATTTCCTCCTTAGTGCGAACAAGCATCCAATGTGCACTCCTGCTGAGAGGGAGTCCAGGCGGCTGGAGCTGTGGCAGACTGTGTGTGTGTGTTTGTGTGTATGTGCGTGTGCACGCACACCCATTCTGCCTCAGGCTTCGGGGGGGGGGGGGTCTTAGGCAGGCCTGGACATCTGAGAACAACAGGCCAGTCTGCCCCGACAATACATGCCATACCAGTACTCGTCACCAGAGGGCGCATGAGCAGTCCCGTATCCTGTTCCCACCCCCACCACCATTGCCTCCCTATCAGCCATCTAGATGACCCAACAGTGGAAGAAATTGAGGGTTCATGCACCTAGGTAGTAAACCACAGAAGGTGTAAGAGTGGTGACCTCAAAGTCCCCTAAATGTTTCTAGTTGGAGCAATCTCCCACAGACATGGCACATGCTGAGACAGAACACAGTGGACTGCCATTGGTAGGCACTGGTTTGTCAAGGTTCCTTGCTCCAGCCTCCAGAAGTCCCCCAGGAAGTAGTGGCTAATTTTATAGTTATTGTAATCCCAGCCTCCGGCCTCCATCTTTGATGGCCCTTCCCCACCATACCCGTTGAACCTTGACCCTTCTCCGGGGAGTGTTAAGGCAGCCCCCCAACCCTTGATCCCCCACAGGCTATTTAAACTGCTCCCCAGAAAATAAACATGTGGTTTTCCCTCTTCCTCCCCGGTGATCACGCATGGGCAGCTTTCTGTTTCCCGCCTCCTGAGAGCTCAGGTATCTAATTAAACCTGGATATCTTTTAATTTGGTCTGATTGGAATTATTTTGCATCGGTAGAGAGGCGCGGTTAGGAAATATTCCTAACAGTTATTGCCTGTGCTATTGAAAGTCTTGAAGAATTTTCTGTCGCAGCACTTTGTTCCTGTATCCAGGGTCCCTGGAGGACTCCCCCAGGAAAGAAAGCATGTCAGCAAGCAGACCTAGATTCCTGGTCCTTGGGAAGAAGGTTCCAGAGATTCCCTGACCTCTCCTTCCTGCTCGTCCCTTCTAGGGCTGCCAGTCTGGCTGCCACTGAGAAGGGGCTTCTAAGATTCCAGGGTACAGACTCCTTTGAGAGCTGAAGGAAGGCCAGAAAACAACCTAAAACAGCAGACATAGTCAGGGAATTTCACTTCTGTTTCCAGGCTGGGGCTGTTAGAATTTCTGACCCCTTTCCTGGCGTGCTGGCTTTTACAGCAGGGGCAGGCACAGCCCTGGCATTTGGGGCTCAGCCAACCGCACACACTCACTGGTTTTGTTTTGTGTTTTGTTGGTCTTCACAAGACTCCTGGGGTAGCACGCTAGCACCCAGGAAGCAGTCAACATGGTACATCCTGAGACCCATTTCGATGGTTTTGTCAACAGTCTGTTTTTCTTTTTCATTTTTTTTGTTATTAAGACAGGGTCTCATTGGTAGCCCTGCTACTTGGCTACAGAGTGAACTCAAGGCCAACCTGGTCAACTTAGAGAGACTGTCTTAAAAAACATCTACGTTATTTTCCACACAGAAGGCCTTGGGCTCTATCCCAGAACTTAAAACATCTATATATCATAAGGAAGCCATGAAGCCAGGGGCCAGAGATACACAGACAATGCCGTGCTGTGGATGTGGGATGCGCGCAGGGTTTGGAAGGTGCAAAGGAAGCAGGCCAGCATGCCACAGTCCAGTCAACAAGCTTAACTCATGCTTAACCCAGCAATTACACGTAGAAGTGATAATTTTGTCATTGGGGTTAACCAAACACATTACTAAAATTAATTTCACCTCCTTTTATGTTTATAATGTGGCTGCTAAAACATTTCAAGTTGCATGTATGAGTCACATCACATCGTAATATTGTATGAGTTTGCAGAGCCTTGCTGTAGGTGGTAGGGAACCAGCTAAGGTTTGCTGTTTGCAGACCATTGTACTGGACACATATGTATGCATAGTGCCACATGCAACACTTTGCTGATGCTGACTCTGAGAGGAAACCCAGGACTACACGCTCTTGTTACAGTTCTTCAGTTCGAAGATGCAGCAATTGCATAGCACACCAGTGAGTTCATTCACTTTTTTTTTCCTTTGAGATACTGGAGTTTGAGTCTAGGGCCCCATGCCTGAGAACTCTCCCACTGAGCTGCATCCTCAACCCAAATTCAGCATTTTGTACAAAAATAAATATCATGTTAAACATATGCATGGATTATCCATATACCTCACATTTAGAAACACTAAAGTCTGAAAAAGTAGGTCGCCCACGGGGAGGTAAAATAACACAATATCACATAGATCCTCTGGAGCCATGCTGCTTCCGCCAGCAGTCTTCTTTCATGGGTCCCAACAGGCATTTCCGTTTTTTCAATATGACGAACGACATTATGGGGAATATCTTTATCCGTGAGTCCTTGTCCCCTCCCCTGAGTATTTCCTCACACTAAAGCCTGTGTGGTGTATTTGTCAACCCTACTGGACTTGGGGACCCTGAGATCTCTCTAGCATACCTCATGCCCAGACCTTCTCCTGGCACAGTTCCCAGGAGACCTTTGCTTGGGGAGATGATGGGAAAGGAGAACTTGGCCCTACAACCTTGGCCACGAGTGGCTCCTTGGGCACAAGGTTGTCTTGCCAACGCAATGCTTGTGACTGTAGAGGCCCACGGGATGCCCTGGGGGGAAGCCTGGCTCACCTGTTCCCCACGCCGTCATAAACCCAGTGAGTGGAACCGATGCCCTGGAAGGCCGATGCCCAGTAGTAAAGACACGAGTTGAGGTGTAAGCTGTACAGCAGGTAGGCAGTGGTCCTGATGACCCTGCAGAGGGAGAGAGTGTGACACAGCCAGGAAGGTGACAGCTTGCCCCGGGGACATGAACTAGAGCTCAGTTTCCCCACAGCCCACCTCCTAGGTTTCCCTGCTGGAGCCACACAAGCCTGCCAGTCACTCGGGCAGACACCCTCTCTCTCCTCTGCTGCGTCCCTTTATTTCTAAAGTGGAGCTAACTGAGTCAACACACCACTGAGTCAATTCGGGTTTTTCTTTGTGGACGGGGATGGAATTGAACCCAGGGCACTTGGTTGGAGCCTTGTCGGAATGTGGGGCTGGAGAAGCTGAGGGGTCAAAGGAGAAATATGACCTGAGGAGCAGCAGAGAGACCAGTATGTACTGAGAAATGGCAATGAGCTACGTACTCCTTGAAATAGGAACAACGGACCTTGCTCCCAGGTATGGACTACCCGATTCTGGGCTCTACCTTGAACATCTATGTTGTGCCCACTGTGTTCTTACAATGGTCCCTTCTGTTAGAGCTAGGGTGGGGCTTCAGGTCCTTGGCCTGACACAGAAATGCTGACTTGTGACTTGAGCCAACCTGTGAGTGGCCTTGTCACAGTGGAGGGGGGGGGTGGTAAATAAGACATTCCTGGATCTTATCAAACAAACAGAATGAATATTCTTCCAGAGAAAAGGTTGGGCCGAGAAGAGGCCATGAGGCCTGGGTCGGGGCTTGGGTGTGTGTGTAGGTGTGCACACACACTGACATGCACATGTGCACATGCATGCACAGAGAACTCTCACCTGTAAACGTAGGCTTTGCTGAGGATGGCTTCCAAACGGTTATTAAACTCGAAGAAGGCCATGTACTAGAAGGGAGAGGGAGGCGTCAGGGTATCCCTGTGCCTGCTGGGGACACGGCACACTGCCCCTGACTCCCACCCTACCCCATGGCTACCGGATAACCTTCTTTGCCCTCTTTCTCCAGGAAAACGGTGTTGTCATGGTCCCCCTGTTAGTAATTCTCCCCGCTTACTGTCTTTGGGAAAGAACACCAGTATCATGTAAGGGGAACAGTAGGTTTAATTGGGTGGCTAGAGAAGTCCATTTAGGGGATCCTGAGTGCCCTGAATGGCCATCTGTCCTGACCACATTCACATGGCCAATCCTCCTAGGATCCTGGGTCCAGCCAGTGAGTGTCAGAATAAAACTACAGAATGACACCGAGTGCTGATAAAAAAAAAAAGGGTGCCTTGCATTCAAGTCCCTCCTTGGCATGCCCTTCCTCCTGTTACCCTGAGCAAGTCACCCAGCCCTTCCAAGGGCCAATTTCCCAATGCTCTGGATGGAGTCCATTATAAAGCAGAAGACCCTCCTTTGAGAAGCTCTGTAGGGATGAAGCTGGAGCTAGATTGCCTACATTCAAATCCAGACTCCACTCCTGCCTAGCTGTGTGACACTGGGCAAGTTCCTTAGCTTCTCTGTGTTTACCATTCTTAAGATGGTAAGAACAGCCAGGCGGTGGTGATGCACACCTTTAATTCCCAGCACTGGAAGGTAGAGGCAGGTGGATCTCTGTGTGTTTGAGGACAGCTTGGTCTACAGAGCGAGTTCCAGGATAGGCTTCAAAGCTACACAGAGAAATCCTCTCTCAAACCCCCCCCAAAATAAATAAATAATAAATAAATAAAAGATGGTAAGATCAGTATTCAAGTCATGGAATTGGAGAACTAGAATTAGTAAAGTCTTTGGGTCAGAGATGAACAAGAGTTTCCCAGAGTCACCAGCAATTAAAACAAGCTTCTTATTCATTCTTACTAAGGTATGCTCGGAGGGCATTCACCTCCCCAGCATCTCCTCTTGGGGACACCTTCCTTTCCCCAAGTGACAGTGCCCATGCCATGCACGGAAGGACTGAAGGCCTTGGGGACTTGCCAGTCTTACCTTCAAGCAGCGGGGCAGGCGAAGGAGGGGGTTCACTCCGAGTTTCAAGTAGAGGAAGTCCAAGGGCAGGAGGCAGAGCACGTCCATCTGAAATCCCAATGGGGCAGGGAATAAGGCACAGAACCTCAGGGGGAGGGGGGCTGAGGGACATGCCTCTGTCTGCCAGAGAAGGGTCAGAATGCTCAGGACAGCCTCAGATGAGAGGGCACAAGGCCTCCCTGCGTGGCTTCATAGACCATGGCGTTCATCTCCAGTGCAGCTCTGTTACTGACCAAGGTAAGGGACCCTGTGCTGCTGAATTGGAAGTGGAAACACAGACAGGGAAAGGTGTTTTGTGAGGGCTGCCCAGCCTGGGCTGTCTCAGAAGGCTTATGGCCCAGTGGGCAATCCCATGGGAGATGGGACTAGCCTCCCTTTATGTGCCAGGAACTACATAGCACAGACCCCCAAATACCCAGGTCCTCAGAGACCCAGCGACTATCGCTCATCCCCCCCCCCCCCTACCCTCCAGGTACACACCTTAAACCGGCGAGACTTCAGATAGTTATTACGCATCTCCTTTTTGTCTGTCTGGAAGAAGACAGTGATGGGGAAACGGTGTTAGATTAAGTTATGGCCAGAGAGAGCCAGGATGCCTCCTAGGCACACACAGCCACGCTGCCGGGAAGGTCTTGTGGTCGCAGGTGGGTGGCTACCATAGGAACAAGCTGTGCTGGAGTCACCAGCCAGCCTGTGATCTCATGGATGGAGGAAGGTGGGGACTCTCAGCTCCTCCCAGGATGACTAGACTAGTGGGGACTCTTGGCTCCTCCCAGGACGACTACCCACTTGATCTGTGAAGAGCTGGCAACTCTCTGATGGGGCTAGAGAGGAGTCTGGCCAACGACTCCCCGATTGTCACCAACACTTTCATTTCTGGCATATGCTGTCTCAGGGTATCACAGGCTCCTAGATTTTGGATTCATGTTACACTTTAATTCATGGTGCCTGTTGTTAATAATAGCGTTTGTGGCCTGTGAACCAGCTGTTGGCCTAGCATCCCTTACACATAAGGTACAATGTCCAAGACCTTAACTGGTACATTTTATTTTACCAGCTGTTATGCTAACCCCCTTACATGGAACTCAAAAACCCCATATAGCTTAACAATTTAGCTTTATAACACTATTGATTTCCTTTTTTAATCAAATGATTCTTTTTACTGTTCTATTTTTCTTCGTGTGTGTGTGTGTGTGTGTGTGTGTGTGTGTGTGTGTGTGTGTGTGCAGGTGTCCACAGAGGCCAGAAGAGGGCACTGGATCCCCTCTAGCTACCCGATGTGTGTGCCAGAACTGAACTTGGGTCCTCTGGAAGACCAGGAAGTGTTCCTAACTGCTGAGCCATCTCTCCAGAGACCTTGACTCATTTTGTTTTGAGACAGGGTCTCCCTCTGGAGACCAAGCTGGCCTCAGACTTACAAAGATCCTCCCTGCCTCTGTCTCCCGGGTGCAGGGATTATAGGTGTGTGCCGCCATGCCTGGCTCCCTCATAATTCTTATCAATATAATGAAAGTTGCCAAAACCTTTCCCTAATATGTTTCTGCCTGCTTGTCAGCCCCCTTCCATATGTTAATGGCCTGACTTCTTCCATTGATACTTACAACCAGTAAGTATCAAAGAAAATTCTAATTCAGAAGAAGAGGTCACTTGAAGCTGTTTGAAAAGAAAGCCCCAGCTTTGCTATACTGTCGACCTTTTTTTTTTTTAACTTTGCAATGGTGAAGATGGACCCCGGGGCCTCGGGAGCTAGGCAAGTACCGCTGAGCTACACACCCAGCCCTCGGTGTGGAGTTTTAGGAAACGACTTGCTCACAAGGATGCCTGCCTCTCTTTTCCTTTCCTTTGTCCTATCCCTTCCCCCCACCCCAAGCCGCTATGTTTTTAAGACAGGGTTTTGCCAGGCAGTGGTGGCACAAGCCTTTAATTCCAGCACTTGGAAGGCAGAGGCAGATGGATCTCTGAGCTCAAGGTCAGCCTGGTCTACAGAGTGAGTTCCAGGACAACCAGAGCTACACAGAGATAACCTGTCTCAAACAAACAAAAAACAACAACAACAAAAAGACAAGTTTTGACTACACAGCCTGGTGTAGCTTCAAACTCAGCTCTACCGGCCTCAACCTCCTGAATCCTAGGCATGGGTCACACCAGCAGGGTTGCAGTCAGGTCTTTGGTTTCCTCTCAGTAAGGGGCCAGCTCAGGCTGTTGCCTATAGCAGCTCATCACCCTGCCCTCGGCAGGAGGCACTCAGCTCCTGAGCCCTGCACTCTGCATATGACGTCTGGTTTCAGAGCAATACTTGCATCATAGGGAAGCTGTTACTATCTTGTTCATGGATGATGATGCTGAAGCTCAGAGAGGACTTCAGCTAGAATATGAAGCAGGTGCACCAGCCCCAGATGCTATTCTCTGGACCACTTCTTTAACTCTATCAGGTGGTCCAGAACGCAGTTCATCCCTGGATGGCATCTAATGTGTAATGTGAACACATGCAAGTGGTCCAGAACCAAGACACACAGCCATGAGCAGCCACTGCAGGGTTTCCTTGTCATTCTTTCTATCACCTGCCACAGCATCAAAGGTCAGTCCCCCGAAGGCCCCGGCCACCCCCTCCTCCGGCCTGTGACTCACAATGATGTCCCCGCCTTTGACGAACTGCAGGCGCATCTGGAACACGGTGATGTCCAGGAGGTAGATGAGATCACACAGGTAATCCATCACCAGCCAGAAGTGGATGTTGTCCGGCCGCTGGTACGGGAAGGCCCACCTCACGGGGATCAGCCAGCAGTTCCAGTTCCAGGCCAGCACCACGAAGAACAGCCACAAGATGTACATGAGGTCTGAGGGGCGACAGGGATGGGCTTGAAGGCCAGCAAGGCAGGACGCTTCCCCCCGGGCTCCTGCGTGTGGCTTTCACTCCGCTTTCACTCCGCGGAAGATAGACAGACAGACAGGTATATGAGTGGATGAGGGGATAGGTGGGCATGGAGGTCACTGATGGGCCATGAAAGGGCACAGTCTTCTGATAAGGGGGCATGGTGGTGTTACTGGATAACAGACAGCTAAGTGGAAACCCCTTTGGCTTTCCCTCTTTCAGAATTTTTTATTATGTCCATTTATTTATGGAGGGGCATAGGGTACCACAGAGTATTTTGGAGGTTGGAGGTCAACTCTCGGGAGTTGGTTCTTTCCTTTCACCGTGTGTGTCCTCGGGATGGAACTTATGTTGTAAGTCCTGGGTGGCATATTTACCCACCGAGCTACCTCACCAGCCCATGGACAGTTTTTGACAATAAATTTTCTGTCTTAGGAATTCTAGAGCAGTAAACGACACACGGAGAGTGGACAGACAGATGGATACAGATATGGGCAGATACCTGGGCAGACTAGAGATGACTTGGTATCTTAGAAACCCAGTAGACACCAAGGGTTGGGGTCCTACCCCTGGGTGACTCCCTGTTTAACTAAGATATTCCTCCCTGGCACCTGCCTTGGTCTTTTCAAAGTCACAAGAAAGCACCAGCTGAGAAGGCAAGGGGCTCCAGCGTAAACTGTAAAGTGTGGTGCACATGGGGTGGGTGCTGGGCTGGAGGACTATGGTCTGGACTTACAGAGGATCATGGGAATCTACTCCGAATTAGGACGAACTCCACCTTGCTTCTGCTCTGAGCCCACAGGGCCAGCTTGGAAAGAAGACTTAGCAAGGTCAAGGTGAGGAGTCCAATTGGCTGCTTCTCAGGTAGTTCATTCCTTTGTGCCTCAACTTCTTCATCTGTAAAATGGGTGTGATCTATGTTCCTAGCCCAGGGACTTGTGTTAAAGAATTGGGCAAGTATATGTGGAATCATTTTGGAAAGTGTGAGGAATTGTGACCCCCTCCGAGGGGACTCACTGGTGAGCGGGTCGATGCTCTGGGGAAACCGGTACATCTTCCAGGGCCTGCGCTTGAACTTGCAGCAGAGCATGTTGCAGTAGTGTTCCTCCTCTGCTGCCTCCGCCTCCACGGGCTTCTGCGCTGGGGCCGGCTCTGGGGCCTTCTTGGCTGGGGCTGTGGGATGACACTAGTGACCATCTGACCCAGCCCCGGGGCTTTGTGGAGGATATGAGGGAAAAGGTCCCACCCACAGAGCTGGGACTACAAGGGCCTCCACACGTCCAAACACACAACTCGCTCATAAACTCTGAGTGCAGAAGCCGATACGTCCCTTGGGAGCGAACTCCATGGCTCCCTCTTCCACAGTCCCTGGCAGCTCTTCCTACACCCCAGCCAGGAGGTGCTCCTCGAGAGCACACTTCGTCTCAGTGCGTGCATGCGCGCATGTGCGTCTGTCTGTCTGTCTATATGTATGTCAGTGGACTCCTTGCTCCTTTTATAGGCAGGGCATTTTGTGCCAATGCTCCCATCTTCCTTGGGGACCTGTGAAATCAGACTTCTCAGAGTAGGACTCAGCTCCACTATCTGCCTGAGATTCAGCCTCGCGTGGGTCTGTGATGCTGCAGCTTGGCTCTTAGGGGTCCAACACGGTTGTGTTTCTAGTGTTAAGAGTGTGAAGTCAGTCTCTGATCATCTGTCATGGGCATTTGAGTTCCAGTGTACAACCCTTGTCAGAAAAACCTAGAAAATATCCCTGACAAAAAGCTTGTAGTATAGGGGCACACACCTTTAATCCCAGTGCTTGGGAAGCAGATGCAGGTGGATCTCTGTGAGCTCAAGAACAGCCTGGTCTACAAAGTGAGTTAGAGGCCAGCCAGGGCTACACAGTGAGATTCTATTTAAAAAAGGAAAAGAAAAACATCTTTGAGTTCATTCTTGTAAATTTTCTTTCTCTGTCTTTGTTTCTGTGTCTGACAGTATCTCACTATATAGTTCAGGCTAGCTCCAAACTTGTGATCCTCCAGCCTCAGACTCCCAAGTGCTAGGGGTTCCAGACGTTTATCACCTTGTTGGACAACTCCTTAAAGAAGGAGACGTTAGACCAGCACGCTGGCTCACACCTGTAACACCAGCATGTAGGAGGTGTTCCCAGTCAACCTGGGACTATGGATGAGTGCCAGGCCAGCTGGGGCTATAGAATGAGATCTGGTCTCAAAAAAGAAAACAAGAACTATTCAGTTGGCCCTAGCAAGGCACCTGTGCCTCTGAACATAAAGACAGCCTGCTGCTGGGCGGCGGTGGCACATACCTTTGGTCCCTGCCCTTAGGAGACAGAGGCAGTAGGATCTCTGAGTTTGAGACCAGCCTGGTCTACAGCATGAGTTCCAGGACAGCCAGGCCGAGAGAGAGAGAGAGAGAGAGAGAGAGAGAGAGAGAGAGAGAGAGAGAGAGAGAGAGAGAGAGAGAGAGAGAGAGAGAGAGAGACTGTTCCCGGAGCAGCTGTGCTATGGCTGATAGCCAGCCTGAGATAGATATCCTAGCCCCCTCCCTTATGGGAGAAGGAGGCAGAAGAGTCTATAAGCCACTGGCTGAGAAGACCAAGTTCACTTTTGACTTTCTTTCTCTCCTGAGTACACATCTAAGCCCCAAATCTAGAGTTTGGGGTTCTGGGCTTTTCTCACATACCCCAACCATTTGCTTTCGCCACTCTCCCCATGAGTAGGTGCCGGGGTTCCCCGGGCACCCCACCCTCCTTGGCCCATGGCCACCTCCATCCCCACTCACAGGGCTTGGGGCTCTCCTCATCGGAGGTGACGTCGGGGTCAATGAGCTTCTCCTTCACCTTCTCCGTGCGCTCCTTGAACAGCTTCACCAGCTCCTGGAGCCGGTCGTTGATGATGGCACTGTTCTGGCTGGCTGTGGAGGCTGCACGGTCCTGACCACTGTGGGAGCACGGCCGAGGATAAACACCAAGCAGGAAGGGTGCCCAGGACCCCAGGCCTATGCTGAGTAATGTCTATGCCTCCACTTCTAGCAGAGCCCAAGGGAGGCCGCTCCAGCCATTTTTTTTCTGACAATACCAGACACATTTCACTCCCTTAGCTTCTGCAGTAGCTGAGATTATAGGCCTGTGCCACCATGTGTGGCTCAAGTTTTCTCTCTCTCTAGTCTTGACCAGAACTTGTTATAAATTGCACAAAGATAGCAGAATCACTGACACTTGGGTCCCTAAATGATTGCATGCAACAGACACTTCCACTGACCTGAAAGGCACAGATAGATCTGTGGCTATAACATATGAAGAATTCTGTCTTTTTAGCTGCTGGATCATCGGGACCTGTTTATTCCAACAGAGTAGTCTACACAGCTAATGCGTGGCTCTCCATATTGACCCCCACTTACTCAGCCTCCTGTGGGGTGGTGGGGTCTGACCAGGCAACCACTGGGGACTCAGCGGGTGACAGTGCCTTGAGCTCTTCGGCTTCATCGTCCTGAGAAGGTAGCTTCTTCCTGTAGGGACCCAGACAGGTATACACCCTTCAGAGAAGGCCGGCTAATGGAAGTAAATGATGGGCTTCGAACTGGTTCTTGGGAGGAGAGAGGGCCTGATCTTGGGACCTCGGTCTGCACACCTCTCAGTGGCCTGGCCCAAAGTGAAGAGCATGGACTTAGTATCAGGAAAACTTAAGAGTCTGACCTTGACACAGTGCTTAAATGCTAAAGTGCCTCCTTCTCTTCTTCCATAAGCAGCACTGAATCTACCCAATACGTAAAGAGGTGCTGTCCCTTAGCTAAGTCTCTGCCTAAGTGTCCGTCTGTCCTTCTGCCTCCTGTTTCTGATCTGAAGTTTTCCCAACCCCACTCTCATATCATACTACCCTTCAGCTGTGAGGCAAAGCCTTGGAGTTCATTCTCCAGACCACAATGTGACCTTGAACAAGTCCCCTCCATTTTATTGCTAGGCTCCTAACTAAAGAATGAAGCTAAGTTATCTGGGGGAGGCCCTGTCATTCAGGAAGACCACAGACAGCCAAATTTGGAGCCACTAGTATCTTGTCTGATTAAATCTGCTGTGGGCAGCGGGGCCCTTGGAACTATTTGACACTGGCAACTTAGGGTTAATTCTCTGGACTTTTCCACCTTCAAGAGTGGTGATGAGTTGCTTTATGGAGGAACTAAAAAACCTGAGAAAGATGGAAATTTATTAACATTACAAAAAAAAAATCCCCAGCCTCAGAGAAAGATCTGCTTAGGGTGGAGTAGAGTAAGTTAATACAGAAACACATAGGTGGTACCTGGAGGATGCAGGTCAGGTCAACAGTTAGGAATGATTTCTGTGTGTCTATGTATCTCTGTGTGTCCTTGTCTGGTGTGTGTGTGTGTGTGTGTGTGTGTGTGTGTTTTTCTCTCGGTTTCTTTCCCATTTTCTAACAGGGTATTGTCATGTGTTCGCTTAGAAGCGAACATGAGATAATAAACATAGAAGAGAAAAATGGCCATTTCCCAAAGACTCATATTAGCATATATGAATGCATGGAACCCAGAGTCTGGGGACATAGGTAAGCATGCTAGCACACGAACATAGATAGACATGCTAGTGCACGAACATAGATAGGCGTGTTAGCACACAAAAGCAATGCATTAGCTTGTCAAGGGAGGAGTCTGAACAGTAGGGAACAAGATGAGGGCTTAGGACCTAAACGTGAGTGTTCCCCATGAGAATAACACGACAATGCATGTGGATGGGCCCACATAAAAAGGTCCTTTGGCATACAAGAAATAAAAGAGGTTAGGCTAGGTGTGATGTCACACCTCCGTAGTCACACCTTGGGGGAGCAGAGGCAGGAAGCTTGGGAATTCAAGCACACCTGGGCTCGTGGGACAGAATGAGGCTACAGAGTTTGCCCAGCTGTGAGGATGTGGGTCCGTGTGCTGAACTCAGTGGCACCAGGATCAGCTAGGGGCCCAGAGGGTGGTCTGGCTGGGTGCTTTAGCCATGACACTGTGATAACACAGTCAAGTGGTTCAGTTCAAAAAGGAGGCCCTGGGTGCTGGTGGATGAGACGGTTCGGTGGGACAAGGTGCTTGTCGCGCAAAACTGGAGACTGAAGGTCAACCCCAGTATCTCGCAAAGGTAGAGAGAGAAAATCGATGCCACAGAGTTGTCTTCTGACCCCCGCATGCACGCCATGGCACATGCACACACTAAATAAATACACGTTTTTAAATTGTTCAGAGATGCTGGGAGTGTGAGCTCTTGACTAGTGTGCGAGGTCCTGAGCTTGGAAAAGAAAAAATTAAGAGGAAAAATAAACAAGGCCTAGCTCTCTGCCAATTATAATCATATGTGTTCTTTAGGAAGCAATACTCTGAATGTAGAATAAAATAAAATAAAAGGGGGTAGGAGTTAGCTGTCACATTTAGTGTATATGAAAATGTTTGCCTTCTTCGGCAGCATCTCTCTGTCCCGCAGCTGAGGGTGTGTGGACTAGGACTCTGAGAACTTCTCAGGACCACCAGCAGAGGAGATCTCAGCCCTGCTGTTTCCCATTCATCTATCAGGCTAACGGCTCCACGAGGACAAAAGCCCAAGCAAATCATCACGGCTAACCTGTGAACTGCTGCAGCAGAGCCCGGGACCCTGAGGGTATCAGATTTGGTAGGTGAAGGTGGTCTCTCCGGTGAAGGGACCTTCTCCTCTGGGATGAGGGGGAGACTGTCAGCATCAGCATCCGTGTCCTCTACCTGGAGCTCTGGGTGCTCCTTTGTGCCTGGTACTGGGAAGAGGAAGGAAGGGATTGTCAGAGAGAGAAGTCAGGTTCTGGGGCTGTATTTGAAGGGTCTCTGGTAGCTTTGCCTCCCCGCTGAAGTTCCCAGCCAAGCTCCATGCAGCCTGAGATCCTTGCTTATTACCACCACCCCAGCCCCAAACACAGGAGCTCGAAATCCAGCCTCAGTCTCTCTCTTAACTTCCCAGGGTGGCAATCAGCGGCGACCTGGGGAGGCCGGGACTAAGTGTCACACAGACAGGCCCATCTGTTCCTATCTCAAGGTAGGAGAAACTACGTCTTCCATGCCTGTAGGGAGGGCAGGAACCGAGGCCTTGGATTCTTGAAGGGTCTCCAATTCAGAGGTATTGCTGTCTTAGTCAAGTGTTTATCCGGGAATCTGCTTTGGAGGGTATTAGCGTCTATACCAGAGGCCCCCAGAGTCACCTGTTGTCTACTTGGACCTCTGAAAAGCCAGGACCTTCTTTCTCAGGATCAGGTACTTCCTGGAGAGTCCGCATGTGGCACCTTGGGGACCTAGAGGACACTGGAGGGCTGACTATACCCCGTAGGGAGCCTTACAGGCAGCAGGACACAAGCCTGCTCCCCAGCAAGGCAGGAAAGGTACTCCGAAATCACTGTCCCTGGGATGCTTCTGCTCACAGCCAGCATGGAAAGTCGAGTGCAGAGCTTACAGTTTCCAATGGGAAGGAAAGGGGGCCTCAGGCCTCGGTGTTTGTTTTGCTAAGTCATATGTTCCCCCAGAGGAGGACAAGCAAGAATGGGAAAGTGTTTTCAACACTGAGGCAGATCATGTCAATTGCTAGAATTCAGCAGTTCTCAACCTGTGGGCCTCGACCCCCGCAGGGGTTATGTATTAGATATTTGCATTAAGATTCCTAAACCAGGCCATGGTGGCACACACCTTTAATCCCAGCACTTAGGAGGCAGAGGCTGGTGAACCCCTGTGAGTTCGAGGCCAGCCTGGTCTACAAGAGCTAGTTCCAGGATAGGCCCCCAATGCTACAGAGAAACCCTGTCTTGAAAAACAAAACAAAACAAAACAAAAACCCAACCAAACAAACAAAAAAGGATCCCTAGCAATAACAAAATTACAGTTATGAAGTAGCAATAAAGTAAATTTATGGTTGGGGAACTGTGCTAAAGGGTTGTATTAGAAAGGTTGACAACCGCTGTGCTAGGTTGACAAGAGGTCCTCCAGGCTCAGGAGAAGAGGAGAGGTCACCATGGGAGCAGAAGAGGAAGGACAGCAAAACTTAGACCTCAGGGTCCCCACGCTGCTCCCATGGCCTCAGCTCCAGGCCCAGCATGTACATAAGGTCTGCTCCAATCTCAGCAAGTATGACTCAGGGAGCCAGGCAGGGAATGCCCTCTACCCCTGCCTGCCCTAGGCAGGACTCCCCACTGCCACACCCCCAACAGGGGGAGAAACAATCAGCTGGTAGAGGGCAGTTCAGATGAGACAGGTTTATATTAGATTGACCTACACTAAGAATATTAGAAAGAGAAAGACTTTCAGAATAGTGAGAGAATGTTTACTGTTAAGCACTTACAATGCATACCCCCCCTTTCCCTTTCTCTTGGGAAGTTTTTAAAAATTACATTAAGCCAGGCTCGGCAGCACACACCTTTAATCCCAGCATTTGGGAGGCAGAGGCAGGTGGATCTCTGAGTTCAAGACCAGCCTGGGCTATACAGAGAAATCCTGTCTTGAAAAAAAATTACATTTATTTATTACATGTGGTGTGTAAGCAGTTGCCATTGTGTGTGTGTGTGTGTGTGTGTGTGTGTGTGCGCGCGCGCAAGTCACAGGACAACTTGTAGGAATTGATTCTCCCCTTCCATTCTGGGGATTGATCACCAGGCTTGGCAACATGCACCTGACCTACTGAAGCATCTTGCTGGCCAGCGTGCCTTCCTTCCCTTCCCCTCCCTCCATCCCTCTTTTCCTTTCCTTTCCTCTCCTTTCCTTTCCTCCCTCCCTCCCTCCCTCCCTCCCTCCCTCCCTCCCTCCCTCCCTTCCTTCCTTCCTGGGTTTCCTTACATAGCCCATGTTGACCTTGAATTTCCAATCTTCTTGCCTCAGTCTCTCCAGTGCTGATTTACAGGTGTGTCCTAGAACTTGCTTTGTAGACCAGGCTGGCCTTGAACTCACAGAGATCTATCTGCCTGCCTCTGCCAGTGCTGGGATGAAAAGCATGTACCACTATTGCTGGGCTTCCGTTATTGTGCTTTAAATGTTAAGTATTTACATCTATTCCCTTCCTCCACCGCCCACTGAAATGGGGTCTTGCTGGGGTTTGAGCTGACTATGCAGTCTGGGCTTAACCAATGGTCTCCCCCCAGCTTCCTGAGAGTCAGGGGTCATAGGTTCTCAGCAGTCAGGCAGGGCCTGTAAGCTTCCCCATCTGTTCTGTGTTGTTACTCAGTTTCCACCTTGTCCCTCAGGGAACTGGAAAGCTCAGAACCCTGCTTTAGTGCAGACCAGACCCAGCTCAGAAGCCCTTAGCGTGACTAACCAACTGCCAGCTTTGTTTTGAGGGAAGGTCTTGCTACGTAGCCCAGGCTAGCCTGAACTCCCAAGTGCTGGGATTGATTACAGCAGGCACTACCACACCCAGACCAGGATCAACACTCTTGCTGCACTCTGTCTTTCAATCCTGGTCCCTGGGCATCCCTGGATGCCCTCACTGCACCCCTGGGAGTATTTCCCAGTCGGAGTCCCCAGATCTAGGGATGACTTAGATGGTTCCAGACGCCCAGACCAGAAAAGGGGGAGGCAGAGAAGGAGACCATGACACCATTGTCCTCACTCTCCCACCAAGGTCAATGCTCTCATGGCCTTGACACAGAGGAAGCCCCTCTGGGCTCCAAGCCTTCAGCAGGCTCTATTTCACAGCTCCATTTTCTTTCATGTATTTGTGGTTATTCCTACTGATGCTTTGTTTCTGTTTCTGAGTTGTTGTGGGTTTTTTTTTTTTTTTTTTTTTTTTTTTTGTTTTAGGGGGGGGTTTTTTTTTTTTTTTTTTTGGTGTATGGGGAGGTATTGTTGTTTTTGTTTTGAGGTTAGAGTCTTGGTTTCTTGCTTCAGTCTTCCTGAGGCCTGAGCTAGGCCTAGCTTCCTATTTGGCTTTACCAATCAACTGGACAGAGCCCAGACTTATCTGAGAGTTTCCAGTCCATTCAGGAGTTTCCTCCACCAGATTAGCCTGTGGGCATGTCTAAAAAGTATTTTCTTAATTGCTAATTTAAAAGGGAGAAAGCGGTGTGCCTTTCCTGCTCCAGGTTCCTGCCTTGAGAGCCTGTGCTGGTTTCTTTCAGGGATGGACCTAGAAGTATAAACTGAAATAAACCCTAGTTGCTTTTGTTCAATATTTTATCTCTGCAATACAGAAGCAAACTGTTGACACCTGTCTAGTGCAAACCACGCCAGTTGTCCATTTGACTAGCCATCGAAAGTTTTCCTGTTTACATACAATTAGATAAAAACAATAAGAAAGTCCAGAAAAGAGGCAGAAGTTAGGGGTTCTGTGGAGCAGCAGACAGAACCTGGTTGTCACTGTGCCCACATGATTCAGGAAGAACAGACAAGGACAGCAGGCCCTTTCGTATGGAGTATCCTGTTCCTGCTACCTGCTCTGATCTTGGAGACAGCCTGGCCCAGTGTCAGCACAAATGTCTGTCACATCAAAGGGAGAGTGGGCAGACTGGCTTGCACCAAGGCAGAAGGGGACAGAGGTTACCTCAGGGCGCCTGCAGTTCCCAAGTACCTTATCTTTCATTAGTCAGTTAGCAGTAGCAGCCCAGGGACTAGTTGGACAGGCCCTCAATCTGCACTGAATCCTGAGAACCCCTTCTCCCAGCCTGCCTGCACCTGCCTGCTTCCACTGTCCCTGAGACAGATACCAATGACCCTCAGAAAGCCCAGCAGACTCTCAGTCGGGCAAGTCTACCTACGATGGACCTTACATCACCCCACCATCTGATTTCCCTCCTTCCATAGCCTCTGTCCCCTCCTTTAAAAACATTTTTATTTAGCCGGGCGGTGGCAGCGCATGCCTTTAATCCCAGCACTCAGGAGGCAGAGGCAGGTGGATCTCTGTGAGTTCAAAGCCAGCCTGGTCTACAAGAGCTAGTTTCAGGACAAGTACCAAAACTACACAGAAACCTTGTCTTGAAAAAAACAACAAAAAAAAATATTGATAATTCCTGAGGATTTCATACCATGTATTTTAATTATATTCACTCCCAAATCCTCCCAGGCCCACCTCACCTTCCTACTCCCCCACCTTCATGTCCTTTTTATTTTTTATAGTAACCTATCAACTCCAATTTGTGCTCCTCATGTAAACTTCTGGGTAGGAGGCCATCCATGGGGGCATGGTTGACCTACCAGAAGCCATAGCCTTAAAGAAAACTGACTCCCACTCCCACAGACACTACTGACTGTCCACAGAACTTCAATTAAGGATGGGAGTGACCCCCTACCCCCTACCAGCGTTCTTCCCAAGTTTCATGGTCTAAAGAGCTGACTTTTGGGGGTGGGGGGTTGAGACAGGGTTTCTTGTAGACCAGGCTGTACTCAAGCTCACTGAGATCCACCTGCCTCTGTCTCGCAAGTGCTGGGATTAAAGGTGTGTGCCACCACCATCCGGCTAGGGCCGGATGTTTTTTTTTTTAAACTAGAGTGGGGATAACTGCCCGTATAAAATGATGATGTGCAGAAAGGGCATGTAGTCAAAGAACTAAATCACCAACTGTGACACTGTAGGCATATGGAAAGAAAAGGACTAACCCTTAAGTCACTGCAAAGTGGGAGGGAGGTATTGAGAAGAAAGAGAACTCCACGAGCTCAAAGCAAGTTCCTGCAGCATGCCACATAGGCAGAAAGACAGCCCAAGCCATGCAGAAACCCCACTGTGCCACGTCCCAAGCATGCTGGGGCAAGGTCACACTACCCAGGCGACGGATGGAGCTCCTGGTCTCCTTGGCGAAGTTGGAGTTGGACAAGGTTGTCCTCCGGGAAACGAGGACAGGAATACGGGTGATTGTGGGACGATAGCTGGGCACATTGGGGAGGTGCTCAGCTGGGTTTGGGGGGCCAGGCCTGGGTCCCTCCTGGCCAGGTGGCTGGTCCTGGACCAAGTGATTCAGTTCCATATTCAGGCCTGGTTTAGCCATGGTACTGGGTCCAGAAGGTGGCAGGCAGAGGCGTGACCCTGGAGACTGAAATCAGGAGCTGAGTTGAGGAAGATAGTGAGGGTAAGGCTCCTCCCGAGTACTGACATAAACCTACCTAACACTTTCCAGCTGCATCAGCCCTGTTCAGGTCTGAAGCATCACTTTCTTTTTTTTCTTTTTTTTTTATATTTACTTATTTATTATGGATACAATATTCTGTTTGTGTATATGCCTGCTAGAAGAGGACACCAGACCTCATTACAGATGGTTGTGAGCCACCATATGGTTGTTGGGAATCGAACTCGGGTCCTTTGGAAGAGCACGCAATGCTCTTAACCGCTGAGCCATCTCTCCAGCCCCCTGAAGCATCACTTTCTTTCCCAACGCTCACCCTTAAAAGCATCACCAAGGGACACCGATGATCCACCCAGCAGCTCCAAGGCTCTTCCTGGAGCCATGAGTCTGCTCATCAACCATAATAGTATTTCCCCGTGTCAGATTCAAAAGATAACAGACTCAGAATCTGGAGCAGAAAGACTTGGAACTTCAGAAACCAGGCTCCAATGTGCTGAGCTCGGGACAATTTCCTCTTTAAAGAAACCCTGCAACCGGACTGGAGAGATGGCTCAGAGGTTAAGAGCATTGCTTGCTCTTCCAAACGTCCTGAGTTCAATTCCCAGCAACCACATCTGTAATGGGGTCTGGTGCCCTCTTTTGGCCTGCAGGCATACAGGCAGAATATGATATACATAATAAATAAATAAATAAATTTTTTTTAAAAAAAATAAGAAACCCTGCAACCAGTTCATCTTTCTTCGAGCCATAAACAGACACAGCGCTAGGACCCTAGGGCTAGAATCCCTAGAAGAGGCTTACGTGGTCCTGATGCCCAGCCTTGCTTCAGCTATCCGAGAAGAGGGATTCAAAGCTACTGCCTCAAATGGTAACATGAGGACAGTCACCAGACAGTGAGGCAGACAGCAGGCAGATCCTGGCTCCGCAGGGCTTGGTAGGACCTGGATTCTATGTCTCTAAGCAGTTTCTAGGGGACACTGAGGCATCGGCTTTTGAGTAGGGGTGAGCACTATTGTCCCACACTGCCTGAGGAAGGGAATGGAGCCAGCATGCTGTTTGTTCTAGCCGTCACATCTCTGTGGAAGTCTAGGGTCCAGCCTGAACATCATAGGTTCCTAGAGATGAGTGCTGATGTCCATAGAGAAGACTTTTGAGTGGCAGGCTGCGTTGCCATTCAGCCTGCGTGGGAGGTCCTAGCCCTGCTCCACTCTGACAGAGCTACCTAGGTTGCACAGCAAGGCAGAACCGGAAGCCGATGTAGTCTGTGCCTTCACTTTTCTACAGTGGGACACACCACACCTTAGTTTTGCTATCAGTAAAATAATCTACCAGCCTCACTGGGCAACTCTAGGACCAGAAGCTTGAAGGTCAGAACGTGGGGGAATGCAGCCCTACAGGCCACAGTGTCATCTGCCCAGGGGCAATGGTCCAGCCTCCTCCTTAGCACCCAATCCCTAGGGTTACCAGGTATGGTGGTCTGAATGAAAACAGTCCCCCATAGCACATAGGGAGTGACACTATGAGGTGTGGCCTTGTTGAAGGAAGTGTGCCACAGGGGTGGGGGTGGGTGGAGGGGTGGGCTTTGAGTTTTCAAATGCTCAAGCCAGGTCCAGGGTCTCTCTTCTTTCCTGCTGTCTGCAATGCAGATGTAGAACTCTCGGCTACCTTTCCAACACAGTGTCTGCCTGTGTGCAGCTATGCTTCCCTCCACCCCCATCCCTGCCCCATGACAATAATGGACTAAACTTCTGAATCTATAAACCAGCCCCAATTAAATGCTTTCCTTTATAAGAGTTGCTGTGGTCATGGTGTCTCTTCGCTGACGAGGACACCAGGCCTGGGATTGTGATGGCAAAGACCACAGTAAAGAGTGGGGTATAGATGGAGCTCCCCCACCCAGGACATACTCAGAAGCATGGGGTGTAGCCACAGAGATGGGACGTGGTCGTGTCATTTACAGACTCCGCCCATTCACCCCCAGGCTCCCTGCACAGGTTATGGTACAATTTTTCCTGGGAGGAGGTTGCAGGAGGGGCTGGCCGGGCAAGACTCCCCAACGCTCTGGGCAGCATTTCCCCGGTACCTTTGAAAGACATCTTCTAGTTGAAACCATGTGGCCCCAAAACACAGAGGAGGTTCTTTGCCTAGGACAGAATGGAAGTGCCCCAGGCAGGAAGGAGATGGACAGTACGGAAGAGAGCCCCACCCCAGGCTGCTGCCAGTCAGAAAATCTCCTGGGGCATCTCTATACAAAGTCACTCCTACCTGTTGAGCTTGTGGCCTCCTCCTCCTTTACCTCCTCTTCCACTTCCTCCGCCTCCTCCTCCTCTGGCAACTCCTTCAGAGACACATAGAGAGGAGAGTGGGTACCTCATTGGACTCCTCCCAACTCCTACCCCACCCCGTACCAATGGGGACAGCTCATCTCCTGGGCCATCCGAGGAGGTGCCTTACCACCTAAAGATGGAAGTATGCATTGAAGCTCAAGACCCTAAACCCAGGACTTATCTCATATGCTGAGGGGATCCCCATGAGACCCTGCTCAAGGGGACAAAGCTACCCAAGCAACCCCCCACCCAGAATCTTTACTCCAGGACCACACCTCCCCCACCCCGTACATCCAATCTTAGCCTTCTCTGTCCTGTGGACAGCTCACCAGCAAACCCCATCATTAATGGCCCCAGGTTCCCTGGGTCTCTCTACCTGCAGCGATGTTATCTGTGGCTGTGTCCTGCCTAGGTGGCACTGGTCCACATCAGCCTGTACCGCCAAACAGCTATCCAGCAGGACACTGTGACCCAAGAGACAGAGGAAAGAGACAGTGTTAGTGAAGGTTTATTTCCAAACCGTGCTGGGGGCCAATCAGAAACAGGGGACATAGAGACAGAAGAGACTAGATCACATCCACACGGATAGACTACTGTCTGAGACAAGGGACTGCAGTAAAGGCCACAGTGACACAAGGAAAGAGGACTTCCCCCAAGGAAGTGGCTTATTCCCTGGGCCTCAAGGATGACTGGGGAGATTGGTCCAGAAAGAGGACACCACAGGGGACGTTCAAGGAAGCATCTCTGGGGTGAACCCCGGGTTTCCCCAAGTCTGAAGGAAATCTTGGTGGCTGCAGGCAAGGAAACCTATGTAAGAAAAACAAGGGCTGGTGTGTAGCTCAGTGGTAGAGCACTTGCCCAATCTGTAAAAAGTCCTGGGTTCCATCCTCAGCATGGGGGTGGGTGGACAGAAGTGAAATGCCCTAACCAGTATCACAAACCTTAACCTAAGGCCCTTGTGGTTTCTTCCCTGTGAGTTCCGCGTCAACAGCACAATGCTGGAGGCTCCCTGACATCACTGGCCCAGCTGGCAAGTCTATATGAGTGACAGGGTCGAGGGTGGTGGAGGCTGGATGGGCAGGGAGGAGACTGTGGCCAACAGAAGGGCTCTCATCTGTGTGAATGGGGCTCCCACTCTGTTTGGAATGAGGGGTCAGGGGTATCAGATCTCATTCTCCAGAGGAATCTGAACCAGGTTTTTCAGGTAGAATGTCTTGACATTGGATGCTACGTTAGCATGTGTCTACCCAGTGCTCAAGAGGTTGAGGCAGGAGGATAAGAAGTTCAAAACCAGCTTTGGTTATATAGCAAGTTTGAGGCTGAGCTACATAGAAATCTATCTTAAACACCCCAAAACACACACTTGGATGTTTGAAAATGCAGTCTGTGTTGCTCAGGCTAGCCTACAATTTGCCACGTATTGCAGGCTGGTCTACAACTTGTGATTTTCCTGGTATTGGGATTCCACGCATGTACTTCCAAGCCCAGATTCTTATGTGACCTTTGTAGTTAGAACTAAGTCCTGCCTCCTATCAGAGCCCTGCCCCCAGGGTTTATAGCAGATGTTCCAAGGTGTCATATCTGTCTATGGGCCATTTCTCAGTTCTCCCAGGGTGGGTAAGCCGGAGCTGAGACAAAATATAATGAAGTCTATATGAAGTCTCCTGCCAAGGATTTTGAATGAGCATGTATTCACATGGCCATGGCAGCTTCTGTGAGCTGTGTGCCAGGCATGTTCCAAGCTCTCTGCAACATTGTCATCTTCCTGCTCCTTTATCCAAATAACCCTGCCAGGGTTGTGGTGAGATTATTCCATCTTAGAAAGCCCAGATTCAGAGAGGTCTACAGACAGCCTGTGGTCACACAGTCTTCGCAGGGTGAATCCCGGGTATTCACCCTGCTGCCTGCTGCCATCCTGAATGTCTACACTGTCTCGTTGACCATGTCCTGGTACATTATCCTTCATGCATCTCTTCACCCCTAAAAATATGTTAAGATTACTTCCTGGTGGCTTTGTGTGAAGAACAATGTTAATTCATATCTTGCAAGTTCTTCTTTGGGTCTGTTTTTTTAAAAAGAAATTAGAAGTTTCTTAGGACAGAGAGCTTGCCTAACATCCATGAGGCCTTAGGTTCTGTCAAAGTAATATTCCAATATTCTCTTGGTCTCCTAACAGATCTTGGTATTATGTCTCCCACCACAAGCAGAAGTTGGTCTCAAGCAGATGGGCCTTCTAGAACAGTCGCCGGGCTTGTCTACAGCACTCAACACCAGCCAGAGGCCTCCTTGTCCAGATCATCCCAGCATCAGGTGTCTGTGGCCTGGGGCGAGTCACCCTGCCTGGAACCCCAGGTGTCCTCTTCTATTCCTGTGTCAAAAAGACAGGACCCTGCGTGGACTGTCTGAGGTCATAGGATCAGGGAGCCTGATAAGAATAAGCTATAAGAATGCTAAATGCTATCTCAGGATTCTTCTGGATTCTTCTCTCCAAACACAGTGAGATGCTGGCTTTGTCTGCGGTTCACTTTGGAGGAGCCAGGCCCAAGCTTACACTTCCTGGAAGGGCAGCCAAAAACACAGTTCCGAAGCTCAATGTTCCTGTCTGTGAAGTGGGCTCAGTAACAGACCTGGCTTTCCCCCTGGCTCCACACAATCTAGCAGCTCTTATTATCTGTTTGTATCCTTACAGCGAATCCCAGGGGCAGCCTGGGCAGCAGGCTAGGCCATCGCACACACGCTTTTGATAAACAACCTCAGCTAGCAAAGCAATTTACTAGCACAACAGTGGCCTTGTCCCCGTTACCAAGGGGCTGCAGAGGGGTCCATGTACCAAGGCCATGTTGTTCTACTCAACCCTATGCTCAGTACTTGCCAGGGTTCCCTCTTGTCCAGCCTGGAAGCAGTAGCCCCTCAACGTGTAGAAAGTTCCAAGTCCCAGGGATCTCTGCCCAGAAGAGCAGAGGTGGGCTGAGGTAGGCCTCCAGCAGGCCCCTGGATTAAGTAATAAGACGCAGTAGCCATGCCAGCATCTAAGTTTAGCTGCCTACTCCTCCCCCACCCTCCACAGGCCATGCCCCCCCCCCAAGTTCAGGTCTGTAGATCACCTTCAGCATGTTCCTCCTCTGAAATCCCAGCTCAGAAGGAGGAGAGGACAAGAGCCCAAAGACAAGAGCAGCCACCTACTTGGTTCTCTCGGGTTCTGCTGGTAGGGGGGCCCATGCTGCAGTGGGTCAGCCTGGGGCTGTGACAATGACACCAAGCCTGGGACTGGAACATATGAGGGGAGCCGCGAAGAGCCCTGGGTCAGGCGGGACAACAGCTTCTATGATGCTGTGACTGGTTCAGCATGGAGCCACCGGTCCTTCCTGCCTCTCGCCACACCAATGGGCTGGCAGGGAACTGCAGGAACGCTCCAGAGAGGGCAGGTGGGGACCATGGGCCAAGGTTGCTAGGAAAAGCAGAGCTATTGCCTGCAGAGACAGGGTTGCTAGGTGACCATCTGTGTTACCAGGGCCTCCACGTCATCAGTAACCTGTGTCTCTGCGAAGCTGGCCAAGGGCATCCTTCCCCAGACAGTAACAACCCAGGCCAGCCTGTCCCCAGCTTCACACCTCCTATGTGTGTACCCAGGATCCCTGACTGTCATCACAGAGCCCCAAAGCTCTCTGAGTTTAAAACTGTGGGTGACCACTTGTGTGGATGTATGTGTGCCTGGGGTACCTGCACTGAGTAGACACGTGCAAACATGTACACGAGTACCTTTAATGCACACATGAGAGCCCGTGCAATGATGCATGTATGTAAACACATATGTGAGTGTGTGTAGCCAGTGTGTGTCATACACATATGCATGCATGCATGGTCATGTCACTCTTCCTGAAGACACACGTATACATTGGTGTGGGCCTACATGGCCACTGGCCTTTGGAGGTGTTCAGTTCAAGAACAGGGGTACGTGCCAGAACTTTCAGGCACACTGGGTCAGTGGGGGAGTAACCCAGAGCCAGCACTGTGTATATAGGTGTGTGGACTGCGGAGCACACACCAGGATGCACTAAGGAAGAGGCAACATCTGGCCCTCACACCTGGCTCTGATGTGAGGGGCAGAGGTAGAGGGCTGTTTTCCCAAAAGAAAGACTTTCATAATGCTAGGGACAGGATGGAACATTTATCTATCTATCTATCTATCTATCTATCTATCTATCTATCTATCTTTCTGTTTATTTGTTTATGTGTTTGTTTGTTTGTTTTCAACACAGGATTCCTCTGTGTAGCAGCCCCAGCTGTCCTGGAACTTGCTTTGTAGACCAGGCTGGCCTCAAACTCACAAAGATCCGCCTGCCTCTGCCTCTCGAGTGCTGGGATTAAAGGAGCGTGCAGCCACACCTGGCTCAGAAAGTATTACCCAGGCTGGAGAGATGGCTCAGAGGTTAAGAGCACTGACTGCTCTTCCAGAGGTCCTGAGTTCAATTCCCAGCAACCACGTGGTGGCTCACAGCATTCTGTAATGAGATCTGGTGCCCTCTTCTGGCATGCAAACATACATGGAAGGAATGTTGTATACATACTAAATAAATAAATCTTTAAAAAACAAAAAAACAAAAAAGTTTTACTCTTAAAAAATTGTTTGCATGTGCATGTATATGGTGTTTGTGCACATATCTAAGCTCGTGTATGTGTACACACGGGCTTGTGGGATGTGGAGGCCTGAGGTCTTCCCCCATCACTTTCCATTGTATGCATTGAGACTCTCAACTGATCCAGAACTTTAGCTAACCAGTCTGGCTAACCAGCTAGCTCTGGGAATCTCACTTCTACCTTTCAAGGGTTAAATTACCGGCAGGCCACCACATCACTCGGCATTTCTGTGGGCTCTGGAGATAGAGCTGAGCTGTCTCCACAGTCCCTACGTAGCTTTTGAGAGGTGATAAGCTCCCTCATCATTGGAGGTAGGCAAGAGGAAAGTGTGGTTCCCCGACACAGTTGGGAAGACAAAATGTAACCTGAGGGAGATTGACTTGTGAGCTGATGCTCATAGGGTTCTACATACATCTTATGTGGTTTTCATGGTTAACTGTTTCTTAACTGTGGATGAAATAGGCCTTAGTGGGGACAAGAACATTAGCCACCAACGGGCCCTTGCTCCAGACAGACCCCACTGATCCCATTGGCTACCATCCCTGTGGCCCCTTTGCCAGGGCTACTCTCAGCCTTCTACAGCTGTGGGGGTGGGCACTGGAGAGGGAAGTCACTTGCCAGCTAGCCTTGCTGACAGGCATGGTACCATTTCTGGAGCAGAGCTATTCTCTGAACACTTGTGGTGTTGCTGGGCCGCAAACACTGGCCAGAGCAGACAAGCCAGGGATGACAGGTCTGGGACAGCATTGGGACTGTGGGTAGCATGACAGAGGAACAAGGCAAGGGGTTAGAGTCAGGGACAAATAGGCTTCCTTGGTCCACAGCAACTGCCTCCCTGCTCCCCTGCCTGTCCCTCTCTCCTGCTCACAAATCTTCAATGCTCCCTGTGACAATTGGGAAACCGGATCCAAGGCTGTCATATCCTGCTCCAGAGACAGCCCGCTTTGAACACTGACTGTGCGTTCTTCTCACCCCATGTCCCTTCACTGGGGGAGTCCTTCAGACCCTGCGCATTGACCCTCTCTGGTCCTGTGTTTGGCCGGGGCTCTCTCCTCATCCATTCCCTGCGTCGCCCCAGCCCACAGCTCCCCGCTCTGCCAACTCTTACACGCAGTCTCTCTCCAGCTCCGAATAAGTCAGGAATCTGCCTTTCATTTTTTAATCTTTATTCAAAATGCACTGTGTGGACTTCAATGCCTCCTCAGCGTGGATGTGAGAATCAAGCATTACGGGGCAGCAGAGCAGAATCTAAGGTAGGTGTAGACACTATCAGAGGCCACCTCAGGATCACTGGCATGAGTGTGTGTGTGTGTGTGTGTGCATGCATGTGTGTGTGTGTATACATGCATACATAGGGAGACAACCTTGGCTTTGCTGTTAAAAGAGAAGTACATGTGTTCAGTCATGCATCTATACATGCATTAATTCTACCTTTTTTTCATGCCTACTGTGTACCAGGCATCTGGGATACGGTAGTGAAAACAACCGGCTCAAGTTTCAGATTTCACAGGGATGCATCTGTGTGAACTGGAGGGGGCGATATTGGGCTGAGGTCTCATTTTGAGCACAGTGGGGACCTCGGCTTTCCCAGTCCTCTGGCCAATGCCCAACAATGCTCAGCACAGAACAAAGGCAGAAAGCATCCTACCCCAGGATCCCCTAATCCCACCGCTGGCCCAGCCCAGGACAAGTTACTCACACAGGCTCCTCTTCCTCCCCATCCTCCTCCTCTTCCTCCTCCTCCTCTTCTCTTTCCTCTTGAATCTGAGGCAACTCCCTAGGTCAGGGCCAGAGGCAAGAGATGATCCCTCCAGGGCCTCTCCAGTCCCCCTCACCCCATCTCTGGTGTGTGTTCTGGGACTTACTGCGGCTCCACCTGAGATTCCTCAACAGTAGTCCCAAGCTCTTTCAAGCCACATATTGTCTACATTGTTCTGATGGCGACCTGAGGACAGCTCTGAGCTTCAGTGAGCCTGTTTCCCCTTATGTATTTCTCAGCAGTGAATGAATGCAGGTCAGGAGCTTGAATTGCTCATCAAAACAGCCCCCTTTTTAAATGCTTCCCTGACATGAAATCCATCATTTTGCCTTCCTACCAATGCCTCAACATAGGATCAAAAGTCACAGGGCCACTGCCTTCCAAATTGAACTTCCGAAGCTATGAGCTAAAACGGGCCTTCTTGCTGTGTAAATTGGTGACCTTGAGAGTCTGGTTAAAACAGTAATATGATCAACACACAACCTAAATGTTACCAGTGGAGTGTCAGGACACAGTCTAAGAATGGAGTCGTATGAGAGGAATTGCGGGTGCTTGTGAGAAAAACCCAGGAAAAAAAGACAAGGGTCTTGTGATCTCCGTTTCTTGAAAAACATGAAACTGGTTTTGGGAGGGGCCTCCCAGGTGGGGTGGTCAGGAGCGAGTTCACTCTAGCTCACTCATCACAGCTGGCTATTGTCACTTGTTCCGGTCTCTATAGAAACCGTGTTTTTGCCACGTGCAGCTGACCCTTGTGATTGCACACTTTGCTCATGTGATTCTTCTTCATTCTCAGAGTATCGGTCATCTGATGCACTGAATAACGTGGGCTACTGCATGAGACTTTAGTCTGCCTCATTTTTAGGCTCTGCTCTCCGAGGTTCATGCCTTCAACTAGAGCGGTCACCAGTGGAAGGCAAGTAAAAGCTGGGCTGAGGGGGAGGGGGTGCACAGCTTTAATCCCAGCACTTGGGAAGCAGAGGCAGATAGATCTCTGTGAATTTAAGGCCAGCCTGTTCTACATAGTGAGCTCCAGGCTAGCCAAGACTACACATTGAGACCTTGTCTAAAAACACACAAACAAACAAAGAAACAAACTATGGTCTAGCCATAGAATGGAATACGATACAACTATGAAAACAAAGAGGATGATTTCCATCTAATGAGTTATGGGAAACTTCAAGTATATCATTGCCCAAACATAACAAGGGGCAGGTAAGTACGCAATGATATGCCATTTTTGTTGGGAAAAAAAAAGGGGGGGGGGGAATTGTCCTGATTGGCCTTAATTGTCAACTTGACACAGCCTGGAGTCATCTGACAGGATGACTGAATTGGAGAACTCAGCTGAAGAACTGCCTTGATCAGTATGTCTGTGGGAGACTGTCTTGATTATTGATCTACGTAGGCAGGTTCAGCCCACTGTGGGTAGTACCATTCCCTCGGCAAGTGGCCCTGAGCTTTGTAAAAAGCTAGCTGAACTATATAAGCCCCGCAAACAACACTCCTCTGCGGCTTCTGCTTCAAGTTCCTGTCTGACTTCCCTCAATGATGGACTCTCTGACCTAAAAGTACAAGCAGAAATAAACCCTCTCCTCTCCTGTGCTGCTTCTGAGCAGACTGTTTCATCATAGCAACAGCGTCAAACTAGAACAGGGGTGCCATGAGTATCTGTCCCCAATCTACCTCTGAAATGAGGCCTGGTAGCCCTGTGCCCAGGGACTGAGGGCAGGTGCTGAGAGTGGGGAGGTAGGTATGATCCTGCACCAGGCTCTTTATGCCTTTAGGATTCCACACTGTATGCCTGGTACCTTCTCAAGCACTGGGTGCCTTTTACAGGACTTCTCTGTTTTCCTACCTGGGCATCTCCACCATGGCCTCGCTTTCTTCTTCATAAGCCGGAGATTCCTCTGTCTCCTGCTGGCTGGCACTGTCTTCCTGGTGACAGGCACTGTCCTCCTGCTGGCTGGCACTGTCTTCCTGGTGACAGGCACTGTCCTCCTGCTGGCTGGCACTGTCTTCCTGGTGACAGGCACTGTCCTCCTGCTGGCTGGCACTGTCTTCCTGGTGACAGACACTGTCTTCCTGCTGGCTGGCACTGTCTTCCTGGTGACAGACACTGTCTTCCTGCTGGCTGGCACTGTCTTCCTGCTGGCTGGCACTGTCTTCCTGGTGGCAGGCACCGTCCTGCTGGCTGGCACTGTCCTCCTGGTAACAGGCACTGCCCTCCTGCTGACAGGCACTGCCCTCCTGCTGGCTGGCACTGTCTTCCTCCTGGATGTCCTCCCAGCAGGGATCCACCTCCTCCAGGATAAGATCATGCTCTACCTGTTCCACCGGGAGGATGCTGACTGCAGGGGATAAAGAGGAGCCATTTGTGGGCTAAGGAGGGTAGCTTGTGCCACTGAGTCCTGGGGGTCCATCCTGGGAGCCCTACCCCAGGGGCCTTGGCTCCCTAGCTGGCTGTGTTATCAACAGGATCATAAGCAGCCAGCTCAATGCCCCAGGGACAGCCTCAGACAACACAGCCACTCATCCAACCTCTTCCCATGATCCCTGCCTTTTCCCTCGAGGGACTGAGCTCTGGGGTACAGCTGACCATGCTTTTTTCCTATCAGGACTTTCCTTCTCAGAGGGTTGACCAGAAGCAGAAAGAATGTTTTAGTCACAACGTCACAGCTGATGTCAATGGAGCCAGACACTTCACCACCTGCAGGGGCTGGATTGCCCCAAGGGCTGCAGACAAAGCCTGCTCCTTGCCTATTTCCTGGGTGCCGTCTCTTGGTGACAGCATGTCTGTGAGCTCAGCACCTGCTTCCGGGAACCTTATCCCTCCATCTAGGCTTAGAATCTCCACTCTGCGAGACAACGCGACGTTTAACAACGCGACGTTTTCATGGAGACATGGAAAACAATTACGGATGCCTGTGACTTTAACACTTCTCCATGGATTCAGATCCCTGACTTGAAAACAGTGTGGGCCCATTAGGCAGTAGGTTCAGACAGCTGGGTATGGTGGTTCACACCTATAATCCCAGCACTTGAGAGACAGAGGCAAGAGGATTTCTATAGGGAGGATTGAGACATGGTGAGCTCTAGGCCACCCTGGGCTACACAGGGAGACACCATTCCAAAAAACAAAGAAGTGGGCTCAGGACATCTCACAGGAAACCCGACTCACCCTAGTTGAGGAGGAAGGGGACACTTCCTGCACACCAGCTTTTTCTCAAAAGTTCCAGGGGTCGGTGGCCCTCAAGTCAAGCGTGAATTAGTAATGGTGACTGTCTTGGTTTTTGGACATAGGATCTTGCTATGCAGCCCAGGTTGACCTCGAACTTTTGAGGGTTCGCCACTCATCCCAGGCAATAGAAGTCCCTGTGAGCACCTCCCAGTACTGGGTGCCCCACTGGGCACTGTCCCCAGTGTCAACATCCTTGTTTCCTTCCTTATGAACTCTTTTTAGATGCTGGGAGCATAGTCAGAGGGTGTTGGCCCCTCATGAGCATTTCCTCTCTTCATCTCTGCAGCCGGCCTACAAGGGGCCTTAGAATGAGTCTGTTTGCAGCCAAATATGCCCCAGCCAACCAAGAAAGGCAAGGACAAGGTGTAGCCGGCACATATGGGGGCGGGGTGGGAGGCTGGCAGGCCTCTGGGAGAAGCGGCAGCGCCCGCTGTGGTGGCTTCTCTCTGTATCAGGAAGTAGTTTACCCTTTGTTCCCCACAGTCCACCCAGGAGCCCAGTGCTGGCCAGCCCCATTTAACTTTCACCCCTTGGAGTCTCTCCTGGACAGGCTATCTGCAAGTCTGCAACCTGTCTGGCCCCAGGGCCACCGCGTGAGATTCCGACCCCAGTCAGTGGCAGCCAGTTGCTCCACTTAGATAGGAGCTCCTGCTTCCAGGGAGTCTGGGGACATAGGTTCTCAGCAGGCCAGAGACTCTGGCCTCAGGGCTCCTGAAAGCCAGGGCCTGTGCTTCAATTTATCTTCTCTAGCAGGGGTAGCTCAGGATGCCCCTTTCCTCTAGTCCAGGCTATCTCTCCCTCCTACTCTGCTCTGAAGCATAGACCGTCCCTCACCACACACATCTCTGAGGGTATGGTCCCAGGCAATGCCATCACCAAAGCCGCATGGGGAGGCAGGATGCCCCTCCCCCAACGATGAGGTCTGGAGGCAGGACAGCCTTCATAATTGAGCCTGGTCATGCGAGGTATAGTCCTGCTTTGAGTATATCTCCCGCCTGCAATATTTGTTCATTCCCAGGGTAATCTTTGTGAGGTCAGTGCCTGCTCAACCACCTCCAGTGGCTCTGCATTGCCTAGAGCCCAGTCCCTGCAGGTTAGTTAAACTTCGAGTTTGGACTTCTTCATCAAGGGCGTGGGATCCCAGTTGGCTGACGTGCCCAGCCCTTACCCTTGCCTCCAGGCGTTTCCCACTTTACTCTCTCAGCAAGACTTCCCTTCCTCAGTGCCACCCCAAGGCATTAGGGGGTCTCAAACTCAAATCAGATCATGGACATGAATGAAGGGACAAATGCCAGCTGCCTGCAGGTGACAGCTTTTGTTCAAACCTTTCTCATGAACACGATGTAGGCCATCACAGCCAGACTGCCCTACTTCTAACAGAAGCCAGGCCCTGCTGTGGAAGCTGATTTTAAATCTTTCTTATTTATTCATCTATCTATCTATCTATCTATCTATCTATCTATCTATCTATCTATCTATCTATCTATCTATCTATCGAGGCAGGGTTTCTCTGTATAGCCTTAGGTGTCCTGGAACTCACTTTGTAGACCAGGCTGGCCTCTAATTTAGAGATCTGCCTGCCTCTGCTTCCCAAGTACTGAAATTAAAGGTGTACGTCACCACTGCCCACCATGAAAACTGATTTTTTTTTTAAGGTTGACAATTCTGTTTGAAAATCAATCTAAATAAAGACATCTAGGAGCCACTAGGACCTCAGAGTCCCTGGCCAGTTCCTCTATCCTATAACCCCAGGCAATGTCTATTCAACTTACCGCTCTGTGATACCTAAGTACTATAGGGTTATGGGGTATATTTGCAGTTCCAACCATCAGGAGGCTGAGGCAGGAAGACAGAGAGTTGAAGGACAGCCTGGAATGTACAGCAAGAACCTGTCTTAAAAAAAATAAAACCCTGGGTTGGAGAGATGGTTCAGCGGTTAAGAACACTAACTGCTCTTCCAGAGGATCTGGGTTCACTTCCCAGCACCCACATGACAACTCACAACTATCTGTAACTTAAGTTACAGGAGACCTGGCACCTTCAGGCAATAAAGAAATAAATACCCAAAGGCTTTTTTCAGACTTGTCCTAAGAATGTCATGCAATCACAGATTTGAGGTGCAAAGTCACACTCTTTAATGTCAATTACAATATCACCATCAGGGGTGGTCCCTGAACTAGGGCAGACCTTAGGAGAACCACTTGTAGGGAAACTAGGTCCTGTGGCAGTGTGGATGGTGCCAGGTGCCACGGTGTGAGCATGCTTAGACATTGAACATTGAGACCTTAATGGGGCCCTGTATAGACCCCCACCAGGAAGTCCTCCTCGCCCCTGCTCTGGTCAGGGTGCTGCCTCCTGGCCAAGAGTCCCCAAAAGAAAGCTCTGGGGTTTCACATAATGGCTCTGCTTTCCTCGGTCCTGCCTGGGGTTCATTAATCAAGAAGGGTGGAGATTAGCAGTCACTGCCCCCTAAAAGGTCTTCTCTTGATGCATCCTTCTGTCCTTCATCCATCCATCCATCCGTTTGTCCATGGGCTCCCCTGGTCCCCTTTTCCCTTGTTTCAGAGGCCTCCAGCTGCTGTCACCCCTGAAACAAAGGAGGTGACAGAAATGTGGGCACCCGAGTGAACAGACAGAGCGTGGATGGGCAGATGGACAGAGATATGAGTGGCCAAGCAAAGGATGGGTGGGTGGATGAGTGGGTGGATGAAGGCATGGATGGATGTGTGGATGGATGGATGGATGGATGGATGGATGATGGATGGATGGATGGGGATATGAGAGGCCAAGCAGAGAATGGATGGGTGGAAGGGTGAGTGGATGGATGAGTGGGTGGATGAAGGCATGGATGGATGTGTGGATGGATGGATAGGGATATGAGAGGCCAAGCAGAGAATGGATGGGTGGAAGGGTGGGTGGGTGGATGGATGGAGGATGAATGGTTATCTGAGGCGTGGTCAAGCAGAGGACGGATGGATGGATGGATGGATGATGGATGGATGGGTATCTAAGGAATGGTCAAGCAGAGGATGGATGGATGCATGAACGCCTATCTGCCATCTGCAGTATATTACCTACTTTAAGTAGTTCTGCCCTTTTCTGTCCCTGCCTGACCTCAATCTTCTGCCTTCCAGTAATGCTACCACATACCTTCCAACTCATCACAGGGGAGGGAATCCTGATTCAAAGGTTATGGAGTTCCTAGAATCTGTTTCCCAATAACATCCCATCCCTCCCCACTTTCCCAACTCTGCTCAGCCAAACCCACGTTGCCCAGCTTCCCGAGTCTGGTCTCCATTCTGGGTGATTGCCAGCAGGAAAGGGTGTGGACTTGGCTTCGCAGTTGTTTTCCTGATAGAGGCCGGAAGCCAAAGAGGAAACGCTGTAGCCTCCAACTCTGTCACTGCTCTCCAGAGATGCTGAGTGGGAGGGGGCTCTCTGAACTCCAGGTTAGGAGACCCTAATTGTGCCTCACACTCAGACCTGAGTATATCAGGTGGCTCTCCCGGAAGTGAACATGGGGCCCTTGAGTGGGATACTTACTGGTCTGCACATCACATGTCTCAGGGCAGCCAGGTTCCTACAGCGGGAGAAACGAGAAGATTGCAATGGCTGTCTCACCTGCCTCCGGAGCTCCTGTCACCATATGAGTCAGCTCCCCGCTCCTGGCTGCCCGCTGATCGGGTTCCGTCTCCCTCCAGGACCGCAGCCTGCTCCCAGCTTTTGCTCAGGCTGGAACGCCTTCTCCTCTGCTCACTCTATGAGAAGGCCATCCTCTCCTTCCAGCACCTGGAAATCTCCTCCCTATTGTACCTGTGCTGTGTCCCCTGCTGCCGTGGTCCCCAGAGTCCTCTGTCAGTGCAGCATCTTCATTTGCTAATGGTTCCCGCCCCCCTGCCCCTTTGGGCTTGGAAATCTCCGAAGCCAGTGCTCTCTGCCCTTCGGAGACAGCGTGATGACAGGCACGCGCACAAGGCTGGCTTTCAGTACCTTCTGCTCGGCCCCCCTCAGCACTGAGCCATCCCGGAGGGGAGGAGTGCACAGAACTGGGTGTGGACCCAGGGTGTCTGGCTCTTGTGCACCTCCCATCAAACAGAGAAGAAAATCCCCGCTAGGCCTAGCGCCAACAACAAGGAAAGAACATGGTACCCTGGCTCTGTGACACAGGGAGGGTGACCAGAAACAACCGCAGCAAGGTGCATCTCAGAGGTGCTGGGTAGGACCCGTCCAGGCCCAATCACCGCGCTCTGACTTAACTTTCAAAGCTCTTTCCTTTCTTTCCTCCACAAGGTTGGGTGATAACAGAATTGTTCACCCACTTCTCGGGGATAAAGGAAGGTTCCCAGAGTAACTAGGACCAACGTCACATGGCCACTTCCCAGTTCTAGGTGCTTCTGTGGAGAGGTGAGTCATTCCCCAGAAAGGAAAATCAGGCCCTAGTCTCTTGATGAAGAAAAGGAAGAGGTGACCAAGGCCTCACTTCCTCACCACCCATGTTGGGCTCTAAGCTGCCAGGAATACTCATGGAGGCTGTGGGCTTCCTGGGTATGTCACCTCTTCCTGGGTCATTCCAGGTCTCTGAATCTTTGTACATTCTTGGGAGTCACTTCCACTAGCCAGCCTTCCTTGATGCTCCAAGACTCTAAACTGTGAGCTCCTGACACCACCACCTCCCTCACCACCACCCAGCCAGGGTCTCTTCTGCCTGACTGCCCACTCACCTGCTCTGTAGCCTTCCCGTGCAGCACGGGCTGCGGCAGGGCCATCTCCAGCCTGTGTAAGAGCCACTCCATCAGCCTGTAGTGGAGACATGCGCTGAATCCAGAGAATTCTCAGGGTGGGGGATTAGGGCAGAGCAAGCCTGCCAGGAGGCAGGTCATCTCAGCCCCAGGTCTCTAACCCTGAAGGCCCCTTTCCCTTCCCTATCCTTCCCAGACAGCCCTGGTAGGGAACTCAGCTCAGCTCAGTTCTATTTCCAGTCTCGCACAAAAGCCAGGGGATGGGCATCAGGCAGCACCCACCCAGATTTCAAATGCATGTGGCCTTTAGTGCATACATTTTACTCCTGCCAACTAAATACGCGTGAACAAGATTTTTGATGGCAGGGAAAATGCAAAACAATTCTAAGTGCTCATGTGTGGTTAAAGAAATGAAGTTCTGTGTAGTTTTTCTTGCAGCGATTGAAGGGATGAAGTAGAACTGGGGTATAAAATCACCTCTGAAGGACTTCTTCAAAAAGTTTGGGGTGTGTGTGTGTGTGTGTGTGTGTGTGTGTGTGTGTGGTTTATGCATATGAACAGGTGTGCATGTCTGTGCAAGGGTACAGAGCCCAGAGAAGGGTGGCAGGCACCCTCCTCTATCATCCTCTGCCGTGTTCCTTTGAGGCATAGCCTCTCCCTAAACCTGAGATAGCATCTCTCCATAAGCTGAACCAAGGTCTCTCCACAAACCTGAGGCATAGTCTCTGCCTAAACCTAGAGCTCAAGTCTTTTCAGCTAGGGTAGCAGCCAGCAAACAATCCCCCTGTCTCCATCCTTTGCCTCAGTGTTGGGTTTACAGTCCAGCACAGGACCATGCTCCCTTTCACATGGGTACTGGGATCCAATTCTGGCCCTTAGGCTCGCAGAAGAAACACTCTTAATCACCGAGACAATTCTCCAGACTCTGGGGGACTTATTTGTTTTAAGTGGGGGAAAAAAAAGAAGCTGTAAAAGAATACATGCAATTCACTTTTGATACAGGTGTGTGTGTTGCTTGTTTTGAGACAAGAACTGGCTATGGAGTTCAAGTTGGCCTTAAACATATGATCCTCCTGCCTCAGCTTCTTGAGATGACAGGTGGGCACTTGGTATATGTTTAAAGGAACAGTACACTCCCCAGCCTGGCTGATGGAGGACGATGCTGATGAGGTTTGCCCGGGGAGTCTGAGTTCTCGCCCAAGCGGATGTTCTAAATTTCTAATTCAGCGAACTAGTACTGAGCTAGAGCCAAGCACTGAGCCTGCTCCCTGTGGGAGGTGTGGCCTTCAGGGGGCTCACCTGACAGGGTCCCCAGATGGTGGCAGGGAAGAGGCCTGGAAACCAGGCTGGGGCTCTGCAGCTGGCTTCTTCTTGGGCTCCAGGGTTCCAGGATTGGGCTGGGAGGGACTCTCTGTGGGCTCTGTCTCCATCGGGAGTTCTAGAGGATCTGAGTGGTAACAGAACCAGCACTAAGACCTCATAGCACGATTTCATCCATCCCTCCAGCCAGATTTGGAAACTTGCCATGGCTGGGTGAAGAGCCCCTTGGGGACCACCCTAACACCAAACAGTACAGGAAGAGGAAGGAGCATAGCCAAGCTTGTGAAGTTCACTGACCCTAGCTGCTTGAGTCCCAGATCTAAGGTGAGGTTCTAGTATTAGCAAGGACTGAACTGTCCCTTTGCCTGGCTGAGCACTAAGGTTCATCTGAGACCACACACACACAGAGAGTCTCAGCTCAGACTCAGGTTCCCCTGGAACCTAGCCTGTGACCACTTAGGAAGCCCCTCCCAGTTCCTTCTCTGTACCTGGGTCCAAGACAGCAGCCTCAGGTTCAGGTTCAGGTTCAGGTTCAGCTCTCCAGGCCTGGAGGACAGAGAGCCATCCCTGCATATACCCCACCTTGACCAGCTGTGTGCATACACATGTGCCCGGTGCTGGTGGCGGGACTATGACAGCTTCGCTAACTTGATGAGGATCTAGGAGACACACCTCTGGGCATGCCTCTTAGGGAGTTTCCAAAGAGGCTTAAGTGAACAGAGAAGACCTACTCTGAATGTGGGTGGCGCCATGCCATGGGTTAGGGTGCCAGACTCAACAAAAAAGGTTTAAGAGAGAGACAGACAGATAGACAGACAGACAGACAGAGACAGACAGATCCACTAGCAATCACTTCTGCTTGCTGTCTAACTGCAGATGTAATATGACCAGCTGTGTGCTTCCCCACCATGGCAGACGGTACCCACTTTAAACCATGAGCTAACATAAACTCTTTAAGCATCTTTTGTCAGGAGCTTTGCCTCGTTACTAAGAAATGAATACAGCGGCTCTCTCTTGCTCCCAAATATCCCCAGGCCCTAGTCAGTCACTCCTCCCGTGAACGACACTCCAAGGAGAAGATCCATGCTCCATTGGATGTTGGGGGTTTCCAGGGCCTGCTGGAGTGGGCAGCTCCCTGGGCCCCAACCCTCCCTACTGGTCAGCTGCCCACCCCCAACTCATCACTTACCTCGGAGGGCTTAGGGGGCTGAGGCAGCACTTTCTCCAGGTTCTGCTCAAGCCACCTGAGCAGCCACAGGCTGGGTCTGCAGAAGGGTCAGAGGTCAGAAAATGGGGTAGCCTGAAATGAGCTACCTTACTGCCCACTGGGCCTAGGCCTAGCCAGCCTTCTACAGCTGGAGCAAAGAGCCAGCAGTCTAGGAATGAGTGAGTGAAGGGGTAAATGGAAGGAGGGGTTGGGACAGAAGACATGAGTCTGGGTTTCTTATGGAAATCACAAAGCGGTTCTTCAGGTTGGCACTGGGGACAGGACAACCTGAAAACTTAAGTGACTAGCAACAGGTACTAACTAAGGACTTTATATAAAGTCCTAGGTTTCTAGCCTTGGGCTTTATTTTTTTTTTAATTTTTTATTTGGTTTGCTTTTGAGACAGAGTCCAGTTACAAAGCCCCAACTAGGTTCAAATTTATGATTCCCCAATCTCAGCCTCCCCAGTTCTGGAGATAAAGGTGACAGGTGTGTGCCCTTGTGTCCGGATTGGTTTGTGACTTTTTATTATTATTATTATTATTATTATTGTTTTTTGAGTCAGGGTTTCTCTGTATATTCTTGGCTGTCCTGGAACTCACTCTGTAGATCAGGCTGGCCTTGAATTCAGATCCACCTGCCTCTGTCACCCATCTGTGACTTTAAACACGGGAAGCTCTGCAGTTACACCAGTCAGAGGTGGCTAAAGTGGACAGGATCCCCCCAAGCAGGCTCCCCAACATGTCATTGTCCCCATCTGACCCGACACCCTCACTGATAAAGCAGCTAGCTTCTTTTGAGAGGTCTTAAACTATGAGGCTGAGACAATCAAGTAGCATATTCTGCATTATGGTCCCCAGAAGGCTGTGTGCACAGAGCTTACATGCCGTTTCCTTCTCAGAGGTGACCCAGCACAGGGTCTCCAACAAGCAACAGAAAGCATGGGTAACGTGGTGTTTACACCATCCCATGCTACAGACAGGGGTTGAAAAGACGGAAGAGGCTGGGCGTGATATGCACACCTTTTTTTTTTTTTTTTTTTTTTTTTTCCGAGACAGGGTCTGTATGTGTAACTCCTGTGGCTGTCCTGGAACTCACTCTGTTGACCAGGCTGGCTTCAAACTTACAGAGACCCACCTTCCTCTGCCTCCTGAATACTGGGATTAAAGGTATCCCAGCTCTCGGGAGGCAGAGGCAAGCAGATCTCTGAGTTTGAGGCCAGCCTGGTCTACAAAGCTAGTTCCAGGCCAGCCAAGGTTACACAGAGAAACCCTTGTCTCAACCCTCCTACCAGAAGGAGGAGGAGGAGAAGGAAGAAGAAGAAGAAGAGGAAGAGGAAGAGGAAGAGGAAGAGGAAGAGGAAGAGGAAGAGGAAGAAGAAGAAGAAGAAGAAGAAGAAGAAGAAGAAGAAGAAGAAGAAGAAGAAGAAGAAGAAGANGGAAGAGGAAGAGGAAGAGGAAGAGGAAGAGGAAGAGGAAGAGGAAGAAGAAGAAGAAGAAGAAGAAGAAGAAGAAGAAGAAGAAGAAGAAGAAGAAGAAGAAGAAGAAGAAGAAGAAGAAGAAGAAGAAGAGAAAGAAACATGCTTCAGGTCACACAGGAGGTTAACAATAGACCCTGCTTCTGACCCCAAGGCTCTCAGCGCTGTGCACACTGCTTGGCCCACTATAGACAACAGTGACACTTGCTAACAATGACTTACTCAGTATCGTGAGCCCTGGAAGCTTCGTCTGAACCATCTGCAGACCCTACAGAGTGAGGAAGTAAAGGACAGGGGGGCAGGATGAGGAAAGATTACTCAATGGGTATAAAGCATTAGCAGGAGTCCTGGCTGCACAGGGGGCCAATACAGACAACAACTGAACACTGCGTATCTCAAAATCTACAGAAGGGACTGAATGTTTTCACCCGAAAGAAATGAGAATTTTCTGAGGACAGAGGCAGGTTTAACCTGATTACAAAAGCATGCGGGGGAACCAAACATCGCCAGCAGCCATTAAAATGCACGAGGTTGTGTTTTACATCTCAGTTAAAACAATAAATTAACAAATTGAAAACATCCATGAAGTCAATGGAGAAAGAGGAAGGAAGGAAGGGGAAAAAAGGAGAGGAGAGAGAGGGAAAGAGAAGAGAGTGAGAGGAGACAAAGAAAAGATGAAGAAGGGGGAGGGGAAGAGGGGAAAAGAGAGAGCAACCATAATTTCACCAAGAGCAAACACTGCCTGAAACCCCACGTCAGCCCGAAGCAGCACTGAAACCGCTCAAATCAGGCCACTCAAGCAAGGCCAGTGGATGGGCTACTCCCATGGACCATGCGATTCTCCCCATTTCCTATCCCGGTATCCTCTTAGGGCTCCCACCTTTGGAAGGGCATTCTACCTTTTGGTCTCACCTGATTCCCCGGTGCCACAGGGCCCCCGAATCTGTACTCCAGCCTGCTGAGACAGACAGACATTACAGGGAGTACAAGGAACAGCCTCCCAGGCCCCACAACCCTCTGCTGACCCCTCCTCCACCCGCAGGTCACCGGCCCTTGTACCTGATCTGGGTCTTCCACTCCAGCAACCAGGTTCTGGCCCCCCTTGCTCCTGTAGACAGGCTGTGGAACGACCTTCTCCATGCCCTTCCAGAACCAGGTCAGCACCCAGGAGCTGGGGCTGCCAAGGGATAGAAACACCACCGGTATCAATTCCCACACCATCTGAGTGGCAGTCCATATATCCCAAAGGACTTGACATAAATCAAGCTACTACTATCCCCACATGGTGAGTCTTTCAAACCTCGCTTCCTCTCTAGAAAGCACAGGGTTACCCTCCAGTCCCTAGCCAAGGCAGTGAGGGAGACTTTCGGAGCCTGCCCTCCAGTTGTTCCAAACAGCCCAGCCTCTCTCTATACCCCAATTAGCTTGCTGCTGCCAGCATCCTCACATCTGGTCCTCTCTCTGGAGGCAGAGGCTGAGGCTAATCTGATCATGTGAGGATCCCGAGTCACTGCCTTTCGTTAGCCCCAGCCCAATATATGTTTTGCTGGACAATCTGGCCTAAAATGGCTAAGCGTCAGGAACGTGGGCTTCACTGGGAAATCGGCAGCTCCAGTTGCCTGAAGTCACCCCAGCACTGAAATCATTCTGGCCCCCCAATATTACTGTGGCCTTCCCTCTCTTGCCCAGCACCCCTATTGTACTCAGAGCACCCCCAGCTTCCATGAAAGCTCCCCCAATCAGTCCCTAATGCTCTGGGCCTCTATTGAATGGCCAGGGACCCTTGCATGCCAGTGGCTCCCTGCAGGGGCAGTTGGGAGGTGAGAGGGTGATATGGTACCTGTTCACCTTGGCAACAGTCACCTGGGCCTGAGAGGTAGACTGAGGAGGGTCAGTTTCCTGGGCCTCTGGCAAAAAAAAAAAAAAAAAAAAAAAAAAAGAATGTCCCATATTTCAAATGTGGACCCGAGAGAGGCCTATCTCTTCCTTGCTGGGGACATCAAGTCAGAGGCAGGGCAGAAAGAGGCCACAAAGGGATTAGAACTGAAAAGCCCCCAGGAGCCTACTCCAAGGTTTCCGGAGCTTTCACTCTATCATATGTGAAGTGAGCTGCTGCTAGACTCTGAGAGGAAACCCCAAGCCCCTGCCCAGCCAGCCTGGGTCCCAGCACTCACCTTGAAGGCTAGGGCCAGCCTCAGCCACACCTTCCCCTTCCATTGGCTCCTCAGGCGGCTGTGGGGTTCAAACAGGACCTGTAAGTCTTGATGAGGCTGCCTAATGCAGAAAACACAGCCTCTGGTTCACCCCAGGGACCAGCAGCCCCCAAAGTTGAATGACTCATTTCAGGATCATCTCTGTAAGTCCTGCTGGCCTCTCCCCCACCCAGGACCCTTCCTTCTTCACACCCACGGGCTTGGCACTTAGGCTGGGACCTCATCCCCCAGCCTCATATCCCCCACTCAGTGGCCTGAGAAGAGGGAAGAGCCATAGGACAGACTTGGAGAACAGGGGTCAGATATGCCCCCCAGTCAGGCCTCTTCCTCCTAGTGCCCACACTTTCCTTCTTGCCTCTGCTATTCGCCTCCCTCCTGTTCCTGCAGCCTCCTCTACTCCTGTACACCGTGCGCAGCTATAGACAGCCATGCATGGGCATCCATGCAGTCACAGCTGTATACCCATTCCTGAGCCCGGAGGACAGTGGGCAGCAAAGAGACACACTTCTGGGCCTCTGGAAAAGAGTCCCATACTTCACACCTGGTGTCCCAAGAGGCCCACTCCTCTCTAACACATTTATATCTATGAACATATAGACATGATCATGCATATCACACTGTTGCGCATATAATGGTGATATGTATGCATGCATACATATACAAAACAAGTGTATCCATACAAATACACTTGTATCTACCTATATGTAGACATGTCAGCAATACAACTATATTCATATACACATATGCATACACACTTGTACATAGACATGTCAGAGTACATACACATTAACACATGCACATGCAGACACATTTGCATGTGTATATATATAGAAATTTGCATATACACATACATGTATGTGCTCAATCACATAAATAGGCATTTGTACAATTATGGAAGCATGTGTATATACACATGTATACATATACAAATATACACACATCTAAAATATACACGCGTATACATGTGGCATATAAAATATGTTTGTATACGGGGATGTGCAAATGTAAGAACAGACATGTGCCAAGTGGTGGTGGCGCAAGCCTTTAATTCCAGCAGGGGGGGGGGGCAGAGACAGGTGGATGTCTGTGAGTTCCAAGACAGGCTTCAAAGCTACAGAAAAACTCTATATCAAAAAAACAAAAAAGAAAAAGAAACAAAAACAAAGAACAGACACATGTATGCACAAACACATAAGCTCATACTCAGAAATATGCACATACACATGGAATCATGTGCACAGAAAAAAAATGCATGAATATGCATACAAATATACACCCATAGGCATGCAGACCCAAATCTGAAATACCCAAGTGTGCCCACAGTATGCCATCATGAATAAACCATAAGCACATACACACATACACACTCTATAGCCGGTTCCTAAACACACTCTGAACTCGCCCACGGGCAACCTTTCCTCTTCCAGAAATACCTTGCCTCAGCATCTCCCCAGTTAAAACTCCCCCACCAGTCTCTGTGCCTAAACACGCCCCACCAGCCTCCAGTTTGGGAGGTTAAATGACGGTTGTCTATGAGTTCCCGTAAACTCTAAGAGCAGTGTTGGAGCTCGCTCCCTTACTAGCCCTTTCTCCTAGTAGAAGGAGCTCATGGGTACTTGTCTATAGACTCCCAGGGACAATGCCTGATTGATTCTTTATGCCTTTTGCTCTAAGCACAGGATCTCACATCAATTAGAAGCTAAATTAAATCTGCTTAATTAAGCTGCTGAATTAATTGTCATCAGGCCCCTGAAGGGATGAGATGCCGAACTGGCAAGTTTTTGATATGCTTGAAGGAACATGCTAGAAAAATGTTCCTCAATATGTGGCATATGGGCCAGTGCCGGTGCAAACTGCTAACTGGTCCATGGTGGTTGAACATTTGGAATTAAAAATTAAGGGCTGGTTGAGATGCTTTTATGGGTAAGGGTGCTTGCTGTCTGCTCAGAGGACACGTCCACACAAGACTTGTCCTCTGACTTTGCACATAAATGAAATAAATTTTTTTCTTTTTTTTTTTTTTTTTGGTGGAATAAATTTTTAAAAATCGGCCAGGCAGTGGTGTCACACACCTTTAATCCCAGCACTCAGAAGGCAGAGGCAGGCAGATCTCTATGAGCTTGAGGCCAGCCTGTTCTATAAGAGCTAGTTCCAGGGGGCCAGAGGAATGGCTCAGAGGTTAAGAGCATTGCCTGCTCTTCCAGAGTTCCTGAGTTCAATTCCCAGCAACCACGTGGTGGCTCACAACCATCTGTAATGAGGTCTGGTGCCCTCTTCTGGCCTGCAGGCATACATGCAGAAAGGATATTGTATACATAATAAATAAATATTAAAAAAAAAAAAAAAAAAAGAGCTAGTTCCAGGATAGCCTGGGATACACAGAGAAACCCTGTCTTGAAAAAAAAAATTTTTTTTTTGAAAATCTGTGTCAAGTCCCAAAGTGTATGTACTCAGTGGAACACTAATCTTGTTTAAAATTAGTTAGTTAGTGAGTTGATTGGTTTGTTAGTTAGTTATTGGTTTTTCGAGACAAAGTTTCTCTGTGTAGACCAGGCTGGCCTAGAACAGAAAATTGCCTCACTCTGCCTCCCAAGTGCTGGGATTAAAAGTATGTGCCACCACTGCTCAGCTCTTTTATTTTTTTAATTATTTATTTCTTAAAAATATTTATTTATTTATTATGTATACAATATTCTGTCTGTGTATGCCTGAAGGCCTGAAGAGGGCACCAGACCCCATTACAGATGGTTGTGAGCCACCATGTGGTTGCTGAAAATTAAACTCAGGACCTTTGGATAAGCAGGCAATGCTCTTAACCTCTGAACCATCTCTCCAGCCCCCTAATCATTTATTTTTTAAGATAATATAATTACTACACTTCTCCCTTCTTTTTCCTCCCTTTAAACTCTCCCATAAACCCCTCCTTTCTCTTTTTCAAATCTATGGCCTCTTTATTCATTATAATTGTTGTTATATACATAGCATGTGTACAAATATATTTCTAAATACATAAATGCAACCTGTTCAATCTGTAGATGTTACTTGTATGTATGTTTTCAGGGATGGCCATTTGGTATTGGATACCCAATTGATGTTCTTCCCTGGGGGAGACTATTTCTCCTGCTTTTGTTACCTGTAGTTCTTGTGTTGCCTACTTTAGCATATCCATTGCTGTTATCCTTGGAACACTAATGTTAAAAGATGCTTGGAAAATAAAATACTGTTTAAGAGGCCAGAGAGATAGCTCAGTGGTTAAGAGTACTTGCTGCTTGCCCACCTTTTAGGCAGTCACTACTATCCTCAAGGAATCTGATGCCCTCTTCTGGCCTCTGTGGTCACTGCACTCATGAGAGCACACACACACACACACACACACACACACACACACACAGTTATATATGATATTTAAAACAAATCTTTAAAAGTGCTGTTTTTAAAAACCTATATTAATTTCCTACTTCCTAAACTAAGAAAGTCTTCCTACAAAATAAATACTAGCTGAAGGAAGTGATGTGCTTCTATTCTGGAGCTATTTCTGGATCTCCTTAGGAACTGGTAATAAACAGACCAGAGTCTAGAGTGTCTCAGTCTGCTCTAAACTCTAGAGACTGACAGACACAGCTGCAGGACATTTATAGCCTATTGCTTGTTTTTGTAAATAGATAATGTATGTGTATATGATGTTTGTACCATGTACATATTTAGAAAACAACTTTGGGTGTCAGTCCTTGCCTTGCACCTTGCTTTAAGACAGGGCCTCTTCATGGCCTGTTTGATGTGTTAGCCAGATTATCTGGGACATGGGCCTCCGGGGAATCTCCTCTCTGCTCCCAACTCTCTGGGGAAGCGCTGGGACAACATATGTTCATTCAACTGCACCCAGATTTCACCTAAGTTCTGGGGATTCAAACTCAAGTCCTCATGCTTGCATGGTAAATGCTTTTGCCCTCTGAGCCATTTCTCCAGTCCCTGAACAGCAAGACCAGCCTGTCCTTGCCCCCTCGCCCCTCACCAGGGTCGGGGTCTCTGGCACATCCTCTTCAGGGGCTGTTTCGGGTTCTGGCTCTGGTTCTGGCTCCAGCTGAGGCTCTGGTTCAGGTTCTGGTTTTGCCTCAGGCTCCAGCTCTGGTTCTGGCTCTGGTTCTGCTTCCTCCTTAGTCTTCTGAGGGGTCTCTGGAGGCTGAGGCAGCACCTTCTGGACCCAGCCCAACATACTGGTGCCTGCAATGGACAAAAAACTGCTTAGTTTTGTAAAAGCAAGCCAAGTGGGCAAGGTGGGGAGACCGGGCCTTGGCGTCCACCCAGTAGGCGTAAAGTCCGAATCCACGTTGGGAGCCAGATGTGAAAAGGACACTTAAAAGAAATCCCACACTAGCTCAGAACTGAGAAATCGATGGGTATTTATTTAGGGGTAAACTCACAAATCAGAATCCTCTGCTTGAACGGAGAACAGAAACCGAATCCCGCAATAGGAAAGAGAGCGGACGCATGCTCTACATCAGCAAGTATAGTATAAGAGGCCACGCCCTAGTGGGCGGGTAACCACTGTCTGTAAGACTTCCTACAGCAGAGTCTTACTGCGTGGAATGCTCCTCATCCACGGCCACTTTGTGGGTCGCATATGCCCTTTACCGCTTATCTTTAAAAATATTTCTGCAGGGCTAGAGAGATGGCTCAGCGGTTAAGAGCATTGCCTGTTCTTCCAAAGGTCCTGAGTTCAATTCCCAGCAACCACATGGTGGCTCACAAACATCTGTAAAGAGGTCTGGTGCCCTCTTCTGGCCTGCAGGCATACACACAACAGAATATTGTATACATAATAAATAAATATATTAAAAAATAAAATAAATAAATAAATGAAAATATTTCTGCAGTAGGGCTGGAGAGATGGTGTCATGGTGAAGACCCACACCAGAGGACCCACACCGGGGGTGTGGAAACGCTGGAAAGGAAGAAGCACAGTTGTTTGAACAGAAGATGTGCATGCTCTAACATTGTCATGAGCAGATCAGTTCAACTCCTCTCGCCTCTGTGTGCCTGTCTGTAAAGTGGGGGCACTGCAGCCAGGCCTGGTGGTACTTAGACTCCAGTACTTGAGCTGGGAAGGCAGAAGGACCAGCAGTTCAAGGTCAGCCTGAACAAAACCAAGTGACCTTGATAGTCCCTAACCTCCTAACCTCGTAAGAAGAGTGTGAGAATAAAATCCACTAAGAGAAGCCAGGCCTGGTAGTGCACGCCTTTAATCCCAGCACTCAGGATGCAAATCTGTGAGTTTGAGGCCAGCCTGGTCTAAGAGTGAGTTCCAGGACAGCCAAGACTACATAGAGAAACCCTGTCTCAAAACACTAACAAATTGATGTTGTGGAAAATTATTTTAAGCTGTGTTACTTTTGTTTATGCTGTGGAGCATTTGTTTTAACGATGCAAAGATGTGTTGCATTCTTTCATGTTGCTTTTGTTTAACTCTACGACACTGTGATTGTTTGCCTGTCTAAAACACCTGATGAGCTAATAAAGAGCTGAACAGCCGGGCGATGGTGGCGCACGCCTTTAATCCCAGCACTTGGGAGGCAGAGGCAGGCAGATCTCTGTGAGTTCGAGACCAGCCTGGTCTACAAGAGCTAGTTCCAGGACAGGTTCCAAAACCACAGAGAAACCCTGTCTCGAAAAAGCAAAAAAAATAAAAAAATAAAGAGCTGAACAGCCAATAGCAAGGCAGGAGAAAGGATAGGCAGGGCTGGCAGGCAGAGAGAATAAATAGGAGAAATATGGAAGGAGCAAGGTAGAACAAGGAGAGGACATCAGGGGCCAGCCATCCAGCCACACAGCAAGTTGCCAAGAAAGAAGTAAAGTGACATATATAGGAATAGAGAAAGAGAAAAGTCCAGAGACCAAAGATAGATGGGATAACTTAATATAAAAAAAAGCTGGCCTCTATGGAACAGAGCTTAAGCTGCAGAGTCAGCTCAGCCCACGGTAAAGTGATGAGGGCCGGATACAATCCCTGGGTTCTAGTTCCCTGCTGGTTCGAGGGTGTGGACACAGCGACTTCCTCCCGAGGTCACACATGTGGGATGGTAGAAAGCACAGACCCCAGCCAACTATCAGCAGCCGGGGAACCAGACCTGAAAAAAGCCCTCCTCAAAGCCTGGCTACCACACCCCTCTGACAACACTCATTCTTCCGACCATCTTGCCCTCCCCTACTCCCTGTAAGGGGGATAGCCATCCTCAGACTAATAAAATTGTCTAAGGTTGACTCTGGTCAAGACATGTTTACTCTCAAATCTGCTTGGACCCTGACTTCCTTCTTTTGTCTTCGGCTGGAGGACCAGTGGGCAACAATCCTGGCTTGCATTTCTGAACTGTCTGGAAATTACTCGGGAAGAGGCCTCCTAGGCCAGTTTTCTGGATGGGAATTTGGAGGCCCATCTTGCTGCCCTCCAACTTTAAAGAGCGAGGCTGAGGCAGGAAGATGACCTAGGGCTACCCACCAGCATTCTGAGAATCTTCTGAGGAGCTAGAGAAAACACAGATTCCTAGGCTCCCCCAAACCATAGTGGGACCTTAAGTCTTCATTTCTCAGGCTGCCCTGAAGCTACCAAAGTCTAAATCACGGGAGGCGGCCTTACAGCTCTCCCGTCAGGTCTACTTCATCCCCTCAATGCCCTGCTAGAAGCTGAGCATGGGGACCCCCCCCCCACCAAGGAGTCCTACTGAGCCCCCACTTCATTCTGAGTTACCTGTTCAGATGTCAGCTGCTAGCAGGTACTGCGGTCTCAGTGCTCCTGAAGCTGGCCCCTCAGACACAGCCAGGATTAATTGGCACTAGACGGGCCGAGTGCAAAGGATTAGCATGTGCAGAAAGGGGGGCAGGGCTCGTGCCAGGGGAGCCAGCAACAATCCCCAAGTGTGTCCAACAGGGTTTAGGGCCCTATAAATTGCTAGGGCACCTGCCCCAGTGCTGGGGCCAGACTTCCCACACCCTGGCAAAGCCAGAGAGAGACTACAAAACCAGGAATGGATGTCTGTGTGGTTCTGGGGGACCCCTCGAGGTGACAGAAGCTCATCGGCTCAGCCAGGGGGACAGGAGTGTGTCCTTACTCTCCAGCACTGTTAGGAATATTTCCTAAGCGAGCTCTCTGACGATGCAAAAATTCCCAATCAAGCCAAATCAAAACAAGCCAAATTAAGAAATATCCAGGTTTAATGGGAGATCTACGCTCTCGGGTAGCCCCGAGGGGGAAACCGGGAAGCCGCAGAAACGCGACCCCCGGGGAGGAAGAAAGGGGGACCACATGTTCTTCTTTTGGGGGATCACTTAAGTACCCTGGGGAGTGGTCCTGACCCCACCCCCAGGGAGGGGTCAGGACTGGCCTGCTGGGATTTGAAGTCCAGACCAGGTGGCTGAGATAGATGCCAGGGACTGGGGCCTAGGCTCCCAGCCTAACAAGCACCAACGTTGGACCTGAGCAGGCTCTCTGCGGCAGAGTCTTTAATAGCTCGAGCTTTACCACAAGAACCAGGACAAGACCTTTAGCCAAAATCTGTACTTAGCAGCATTTCCTGAGAAACAGAACCAAGACAGTATAAAGTCTCAGGACCAGAAGGCCTAGGATATGCCCCAGTTAGACATCTCTAGCCTCAGACTCCCTGAAGGGTAGCGAGTTCAAGACACAGCATCCAAGGTGGCCAAAGGACCCAGAGACTGAGCTCCAAGGCCAGCAGCAGCAGGAAGAACCACACTCAACTAAGAAAGAATCAGAGACAGTTTCTCCTCTTTCCTCTATCCTGCTCCCTCCCAGATACTAACCAAGCAGATTAATTCCAACCACATAAGGGGGTAACCTCAGTTTGCTGACCGGCATGCCAGGCTTGCCTGGAAGCACCCTCCCAGCCACACCCAGAGGTCTCACTTTACCCATCTCTGGGTATTCCTAACCAGCCTAGTTAAAGCCCAAAATGAACAGTCTTGATCATCACAGGTTCCAAGAACTGGCTGATAACTTGACCAAATTGGGCAACTGAGGCTGGACTCTCAGAAGAAATACAGATCCAGGAGGAGGGGGTGCCAAGGGCAGTGGTCTAGGGGAGAGGGGCTCTGTGAGGTGGTAGCACCCGAGTTGGTTCTAGGGTCACTTAACCTGAGGATCCTGTTTGCCTGTGAGTCAGCCATAAGCCTGCTGAATGAGACTGGTTTAGGACTTCCTCCGAAGCCCATTGTCCTGTCGCCTCTGTTACTGTAACACAACCCCTTAAACCAAGTCATTTACAAGGAACAGAAGGGTACTGTTCCCTGCTGCTACAGAAGATCAAAGCAATAGAAGAGGTGGAATCTGGGAAGCGCGTGTGATGCTTGTTTCTGACTCCGGCCATGGGCACCAAGCTCTGCGTGTAAGTCTTCACATCACTGGGTCCCTTCTCTCAGACCATTTCTAGGGTAGGCTCTTCCAGACGAAGCAATCATATTGTAAACTTCTCTTTCTTGTTGTTTGGGTGTTTCAGAGACAGGATGTTGCTAAAATCCCTTCCCTGGAGGAAGCATAAGCGATTTCTACATCTTCTCTCCCACGGTCCCAATGACAAACCCAGCACAGTTCCACCAGAGTTCACTATGGGGAGCCAACGCATTTATCAGACTTCTTTAGAGAGTGTGGGCGACAGGTTATTTCTGGAGTGTGGGTGTTCCTCCGCCAAGAGTCTACACCAGAAAGTCTTTTCCCAGCAGGGTTGATGACTTTTGTTTGTTTGTTTGTTTTGAGACAGGGTTTCTCTCTGCAGCTGTCCTGGAACTCACTCTCTGTAGACCAGGTTGACCTCGAACTCACAGAGCTCCACTTACCTGTGCCTCGTGGGATATAAGGCATCTGCCACCGACGTCCAAGACTTTCTTACAGCTGCATAGACAAGCGCCTTTGCTGCTCTGCCCTGGGAGGGTCTTCCCTCACCTAAATTCTCTAGCCCCTCTGAGGTCAGGAGCAGTTAGGCCAGAGTTGCCTATGACAGGTGGTCGGGAGCAGCAGGGTACACACAGGTGAGAATTGTGATTCCCTGCCCTACCCCCTGAGGATGTCAATTGTCAACAAGCCCAGCGGAGATAATCTCCTGCAAATTGGCACAGCAGAATTCCCCGAGACAGCTGTTTAGCTGGGAGGGAAGTCCTGTACAACGCAGGGCCACACACCCTGTAGCCATGGTTCGGTGTGAACTCAACCTCTGGGGTGCTGAGATTATAGCTGTATGCCAGCATGCTTAGTTCATATTCCAGTTTTTAATATACTATTAAACTCTTTTGTAAAGTTAGTACCCTGTGTCTGGACCTGAGTAGCAGTTACCAGTGTCGGGGGTGGAGGATATGTCTCAATTTATAAAACACTAAATTATATATTTATATGCTTTCTGTATTTTTTTAATTTGGTTTTTTTTTTTTTTTGAAACAGGATAATTCTATGTCGCCCTGGCTGGCCTGGAACTCACTATGTAGATCAGGCTGCTCCTGAACTCACAGAGATAGACTTGCCTCTGCCTCCTGAGTAAGAATTAAAGGTGGGTGCCACTATGCCCAGCTATTTTCTAACATTAAAAGAGTTGGACTTTTCAGGGCATTGGTGGTGCATGCCTTTAATCCCAGAGGCAGAGGTAGGCGAATCTCTGAGTTTAAGGCCAGCCTGGTCTACAGAGCCGAGTTCCAGGACAGCCAAGGCCATAGAGAGAAATCCCATCTTGAAACAAAACAAAACAACCGAGAGTTGTGCTTTAGGTTGCGGGTGCTAATCAGAGTCAGCGCTGGGCAAGTTTCTGTACGAGGAGGCCTTGCTTAGGTTCTGGGTCCCTACAGAGGAGCAGCCCCCAATCCTACGGCAGTGAAACAGCAGGAGATACTGAAGGGCGGGTTTAGCGCTCCTGTAAGTGTATGCAGATCATATGCTAATATACGCAAAAGAATAGGCAGTCCCAGGATTGCAAACCTCGGGATGTCTTGTTCTAAACCCAGAGCATCAAGCTGTGGGGAGGATACCCACAGCCTGGCTTTCCTGGGGGAAAGGAGGCTGCAGCCCAGGTAGTGAGGCGGAGTGGGATGGGGGTGGGGTGAAGTATCACCTGCTAATCCCTAGCCTGCTGAGGCCACCACTCTTCCTGATCCCTGCCCTGACCCTGGAGCCTGGCTAATCTCCACCCCCCAAAGACCAAAGGCAGCTTGGCATCCCCTTCCCTGAGATTCATGGGGATCAGGGGTCCTCCAGGCTCCCAAGCAGCCCTGTTGCAGAGTCTAGGGTCCCTGCCTAAAACAAATAGTGCTCTTGGGGGCAGAGAGAGGCAGTAGTAACTAGACTAGTGTCACTGTCCTATTTAGGGCTACGATTACTGTGATGAAACATCAAGACCACAGCAACTTGTAAAGTGTTTACTTGGCTTATATTTCCAAATCCCTGTTCATCATTGAAGGAAACCAGGATAGGAACGCAAACGGGGCAGGAACCTGGAGGCAGGAGCTGAAGCAGAGGCCACGGAGGGGTTCTGCTTACTGGCTTGCTCTCCATGGCTTGCTCAGCCTCCTTCCTTATAGAACCCAGGACCACCAACCCAGGGACAGCACCACCCACCATGGGCTGGGCCCTCCCCCATCAATCACTAATTAAGAAAATGCTCTATAGGCTAGCCTACAGCCCAATCTTATGAAGGCATTCTCTCAGTTAGGATTCCCTTCTCTCAGATGACGATAGCTCTGTCAAGTTGAATGAGCAAGCACAATAGCACAGTCTTGAGTGGGCCCCGCAGCTATGCTTGCCTTTGTATGGCCAGGTCACCTTCATAGAGCCCCATTTCTGGCATCCCAAGAAGCTTGGCTTGTGTAGCAGCCATGGAGATCCCCAAGCTTTCAGGGAAAGGGATCTCTCTCTGGCAGCCTGTGTTGCCAGGGTTACCTGGGAGCTGCGCCCTCACAATCAGGCTGCGGTTGGGCATTGTCTCCTTATCCTGCAGCTGCCCATAAGGCCCACCCTCCTCCCTTCCTCTGCTCCTTGAGCAACAGAAGAGAAGGTTCTTCTGCCTGTGCATCTGGCCCGTGCCCTGCAGACGAGGTAGTGGGTGTGGGTCCACGGCAGCAGGGAGCTCTCTTCCTTCCTTTCTGTTCTACCATCCTGTCTGTCCTCATGTGCTGGCGTCTCTGAGACAGCTTCCCATACTTTCTCGCCATGCCCCTTCCTGGTCCTCCATGGTCAAGTTCTTCTCCCCTCCTTCCTACCTAGCCCCTATCTCCATTTTTCACCTCTAACTTGGGCGTCAGGAAGTAGGGTCAACAAATTCTCACTAAGGTGCAAAAGACTAAAAGGGGGCCTCCAGGGCTTATCTGCTTTTTAAAAGAGAGGCACTAGGTAACCATGCATCTTTTTCTAATTCTGATCTGTCATATTTCTTCCCCTTTAAAAACAGTCTCAGCTGGGTGGTGGTGATGCACGCCTTTAATCCCAGCACTTGGGAGGCAGAGGCAGGTGGATCTCTGTAAGTTTGAGGCCAGCCTGGTCTACAGAGCAAGTTCCAGGACAGGTTTCAAAGCTACAGAGAAACCCTGTCTCAAAAAATAACAAAACAAAACAAAAACAAAAAAAAAACAGTCTCGTTATCTATCTGTACCATTTGGGGCAAATGCTAGATATAACCAAGGCAAATCCAGAGTTGGCTACCTAGTGTCACAAGACATACTGTTCAATATTTAAATCTCAGACAGTTCCTGGAGTGCCCCAACTTCAGGCCTCTCAGACCCCCCCCCACTGTGCTGACTTCCCTCATATAGCCCTGGGTACACACACACACACACACACACACACACACACACACACATCTGTTTTTTGTATATCCCTGCCACCCAAATGGAGTTCCTGAAAAATCACTGGGCCTACAGAAGATTCGCAATAAATGCTTGACAAAAAGTTAAATCAACCTGTAGACCAAGAACGTGTGCCTATATGTAAGGACGGCTAACTCAACCCCTCTGCTCCCCAGCAATGGCCCAAATCATCGACGTGGTGCCCTGGGAAGATGGCTCCGCCCATGTATATGCTTCCCCAGCCATCCTCCTCCCGCTGGAGCGCGTGCGCAACCCACTCGCCGGTGTGAAGCACCAGCTCTACCACCCAGCCCTGCCCACGCTGCGGCGCATGGACATGGACACTGTCAAGGGCTGCCTATCGGATGAGCACTCCCAATCTTCCACCTACTGCTCCAAAGGTCAGGCCACGTCGCCACCAGCAGCTCAAGGGTCTCCTGTTTGCCTTTGGAGCAAGGGTGGCTCGCAAGATGGGGATCTTGGAGGAAACGGCTGGGGGCGAGTGGCAGATGAAAAAATGATGGAGGCCAGTCCAGCTTTCCACTCCCTTCCAGAAGGTTCCTCCAAGATCCACCCACTACTTCCTGAGCAGAAAAATGGGAATCGGTACAGAGCCTGCCTCTCCACTCCCGGGGCTTTGTGAGGCAGCGTGAACTAAGGGGGAAGGGCTGGTTACCTGCTACTGCACAACTCATGAGCAGAGAACCCCGCTGCTGCTGTTGTGGGGGGCGGTGTTCTTTTACTTCCTTTAGGTTTTAACAAAATAAGGTTTCTTCGGCTTGGAAATTTGAAGGCAACATCCCCACTGCATCGCAACACGTAGCCCAGGCTGGCCTTAAACTCTGCTCCTCCAGTCTCAGATCTGTAGCGCCAAACCTGATCTTCTCACGGGCCTGTCACGTGGAGGAGGAGGGCTTAAGCTGCGCGCGCACATAGAGGTCAGAGGTAAAACCTCGGGCGTCGTTCTTTGGTTTGCTGTTCACTGTGGGTTTGAGGCGGGGGTTCATCAGCTAGGCTGGACTAGCTGACTAGCAAATGCTGGGATCCTCTTGTCCTCTCTGCACACCAAGATGACAAGTGTCCCCCACCACATTCAGCTTTTCATGAGTGTGCCGGGGCCAGACCTTGGGTCCTCATGTTTATACGGCAAGCACCTTACTAACTGAGCTACCTCCCCTGCGCGCCACAAGTCTTTTTATATTTATTTATTTATTTATTTATTTATTCATTATGGATACAATATTCTGTCTGTGTGTATGTCTGCAGGCCAGACGAGGGCACCAGACTCCATTACAGATGGTCGTGAGCCACCATGTGGTTGCCGGGAATTGAACTCTTCAGCCCTGCCACAAGTCTTTGAGACTGTGACTTGCACGCTGTCCTGGCTGACCTTGAACTCCTGAACTCAAGCTGTCTTTGTTCAACCGTCATTTCAGCAGGGATTGGCGGTCTACACCACCACACTCGATACAGAAAGTCTTTTGTTCCCTGACTTTATAAGATTTTTCAAACAGAAAAATGTTGAAACGGCAGTGTTCTGAGCTCCTTTCCCTCTGCCGGCCCGAGGTCGGTTGCAGTTTGTATTCACGCACTATCTCTTGCTTTCTTTCTTTTCTCCATTTCTCTCTGTCTCTCATTCTCTCTATTCTTTCTCCTGTATCCTCCTTTCTTCTCCCTCCTCCTCTTTTCCTTTCTCTCTCTTTTCTCCCTCTTTCTCTCACATTCTCTCTCTCTCTCTCTCTCTCTCTCTCTCTCTCTCTCTCTCTCTCACACACACACACACACACACACACACACACACACGTGCATGCCAAATTTTGCCAGGGAGTTGGTTCCCAGCCCCCTTTGCGACATAATACCATTTTCATACCTAGGAAAGTTAACAATAATTCCACAATAGCTCTTAACCAGCACCCTTAAAATCTCCCCTGGAGTCTACAAATATGTATATTATAGTTTAAAATGAGAATGGGGTTGAATTGAGGGTTATGCATCAGGTAAGTCGTTAGCCTCAGCCTAAAACGATTTTCTATTTTTTCCTTGGACTATTGGCTTTTTATTATAATTTTTTGTATTTAAGATTAAATCATGTCCCCTCACCCTTCACTTTCCGCTCTCCAAAACCTCCTATGTACTTCCCCGGGCTCTCCCTCAAAATCATGCCTCTTTTTCTTTCCTTGCCGTCACATACATACATACATCATACATATGTACATAGTCCCAAATATAACATGCTCAGTCTGTATAATGTATGCCTTTAATCCCAGCACTCGGGAGGCAGAGGCAGGCAGATCTTTGTGAGTTCGAGGCCAGCCTGGTCTACAAGAGCTAGTTCCAGACAGGCTCCAAAGCTACAGAGAAACCCTGTCTCGAACCCCTCCCCCCCCAAAAAAACCCTAACTTTTTTTCTTTGAGACAGAATCTCACTCTGTAATCTTGGTTGGCCTGGAACTTGAGTTGTAGAGCAGGTTGACCTTGAACTCCCAGAGATCTGTCTGACTTTGCCTCCTGATAGCTGGGAGTAAAGTCACAAGCCACCACACCTGGCAAAACATTTTTTTTCTCTCATAAAGTGCATAGTGTGGGTCAAGCCTCTAGGGTGGGCCTGTAAGAGCTCCTGAAAGGGACACCTTTATCATCTTTCAACAGATGACTTTAACAAGGCCCACTTCACACTCCTGGGAGTCCCCAACAAACCCCTGCAATGCCTGGTGAGTGTAATTTGTCCTCAGCCGTGGATGGGCTCGGTGGCACCAGTCTATACTGATGCCTAGGCACTTCTGGTCCAGGGCTCTACTTCCTGAGCATATGCCCAGCTGCCTACCAGGGACTTCACCCCCATGCAATCCAGGCCCTGGTTTACTGTATCTCCCCTCCCCCAGTCCAATGGGCCTAGTGTCAGCTCAGAAAGCCCCCAGGATCTTGCATCTGCCATTATGATCCGTAGGACTTCACAGAGACCGGCAAGAAGCTCTGTCATAAGTACCGCGAAGGAAAAATGGTGCCCATCGCGCCAGGCATCAACCGGGTCGACTGGCCCTGCTACACGCGTGCCATCGAAGATTGGTCTAAATTCGTGTCCAGGTCCGGGGAGTTCAAGCTACCTTGCATCAACAAAAGGGGTCAGTCTACCAATCACAAAGGGTGCCCTACAGAGGTTGATGACATTCTAAAGCAAGGAATGAAGGAATAAGGGCCATGGGCCCAAGGACCAGCAACGCAAGCACAGGGACCAGGTTGGGGTTGGAGAGCCGCTGGGACGACTCCAGATCAGGGAAGCCACTGGGGCTGGGCCTGAGAGCCAAGCTGGGCTCCGGCGGAGAGGAGCTTAAATGAGGGCGGGCCAGGTTTGTTCGGATCTAGGTCCCCAAGGTGGGTTCTTTTCACAGTGGAGAGTTTCAGTGGCTACGCGGTGCGGTACTTGAAGCCTGACGTGACCCAGAACTGGCGGGTAGGGAAAGATGCACGTAGACCCGACCCAGGTGGTTGGGAGGGAAGCGCTGCTGGGGTCCGCGCCCTGAGGGCTTACAGGTGCCCATTCCTGTGGCCTGCCCCAGTACTGCCTCAACCAGAACCCCAGCCTGGACCGCTACGGACAGAAGCCCATGCCTTTCGACTCGCTGTAAGTGGCACCACGCGGGACCCCTACGGGACCCCAATCCCCGAGCAGGGAAGTGGGGATTGTTACTGTAGGACAGATACTGAATTCCTACCGAACCGGCACCTGTCGACGGGTGCCTGGCACCTCCAAGCTCTGGGAGCCGTGTTCAGCAGGGTTTTTCTCGGTTCTTTCTCAGGAACGCATTCCGACGCTTTGGCTCCCACTACAGGTAGTGAATGGCCCCGCCCTGGCCGCAGTCTGCCACGCCCCCTGGGAAGGGGGACTTGAAGAAGCTCAGCCAGCTATCAACCTACTGCTTAGTGGGCCCGGGCTAGGGGTGCATTTCTCACCAGGATTGGCCCGGTGGAGGTCGGAAGGAGCGGGCCTGGGAGGATAGAGAAGGAAGGAACTGCCATCTGCTTCCTGCTGCGTGATAGCGTCCCCAGCAGGGTCACCTTTAGTTAAAGGCTAGGTACTAAGTGGAAGTGCTGAGAAACTCATCTTTCCAGCCATATGCCCTGTGCGGCAGACTCCGTGATGCAACCCCATCCCCTACACACACACACACACACACGCGCACACACACGCACACACACACACACACACACACTGGCACAACCATGCACTCTGTCTCTCCCTACAGCACACACTCCGCTTCACCTCTTGTAGCTTGTAGCATCCGGAGTGCCCTTTCCTGTTCCTGAAAACTGCCTTCCCCAGCTCACACGGAGGAAAACTTTGGGTGTTGTTACTGTGTGACACTAGAGTAGGTTCATACATGACTGAAAACCCATGAAGCAGTTGACGTTGGGGAGTCATTGGGAAATAGTATGAGGTAGATTCGAGATGAAGAAAATAGTCCAAAAAATACGAAAGGAAATAGGGGGCTTTTGAAGGCTCTTGGGCACATAGCCGGGATGGAAACTATTTTTAGATCCCTGAGGACAGAGAGGTGGGCTTTGGGGTGGTGGTGGAGCGTGGGAAGAAAAGCTTGTTTTTTTCTTGAGAGCACCCTGGAGTTCCCATTTCACTCCTCTTTCTCTCTACAGTCGTGCCAACTATCTGACTCCCTGGCATTAATCTGTGGGTGGGGAAGGCTGATCCCTCTATGGCTGGACTGTGTCACCTCCAGGTCCCCTAGCAGGACAGAGGGCATATGGTGGCACCATCCATCTCCCCAGGAGTTCAGTTCAAGAAATAAATCTATTGCTTCTTTAGAGAGGCCCTAGGCCTCTGTGTGTATGTATATATGTGTGGTGTGGGGGGTGGTCTGGGTCAAGAACAGTTGATCATGTATTATTACCCTTGTCTGCTCTTTGCCAACACCTAGGGAATGGGAAGAGAGTGTGTAGGGGCTAGTGATGGATGTTTTGTGGCCTTGTGTAGAATATCAGGCCTGAGGCTCAAGTCTAGCTGGGGCTGAGGCACTTAGGCAGGCTGGGATCTGGCTCTCCTTGTGCTTCTTTCCCTTACCTGCAACCCCTAACCAAGATCCTGAATTTGCAACCTCCACCTGAGTTTGAGCACTAAGTGGAAAGGAGGGGATGAGAGGGATCCGTGACACCTCTCTGGGAATGGGTTTCCTGGTACCCAGAGCTTCCCTGAAAGGAAGTGGGCATGTTAGGCTTGTGCCATCTAGTCCCTATGAAGCAGCAAGTTTCAAATATAAACCTGGATGAGGTGAGAGCATTCCGGTCTCTTCAAGGCACTAAGGAATTTATCACCTAAATAGAAGGCCATCTGCTTTCCTCTTCAGCAGTGCGACTGGCCCTCATCTGTCCCTCAACATACACCCTCGTCCTGAGCCCCTCCTGTAATCGTGAACATGATGACTTAGGTGCGGGGGACCCTCAGGTAAGAGGGTCTCACAGCCTGGTGCTATGTTAGGGCAGCTGATATCTGTACATACTCCTGGGTCTTCCATGTCTCACCCTGCCAGAGGGCAGACTGCAGGGAGAGGTCCCAGCTGGAACAAATAGCCACTAAGCTCAAGAACTCAGTATGTTCTTGTTCCTGGAGTTTCCCTGGAGTCTCAGGTACCCGCAAACCTGAAATCACGTGCCAAGTCACATGTCCACATGCTGTTGTGTAGTCCAAGGATAGACCCCTTGCTTTCTTATTCATCACTCTCTCCTTCCTTCCCAAATCCTTTGCTAATGTCTCAGGAGGAAGGAATTGAAAGGAAAATGGCCTCACTGGTCAGAATACATTATCATCTAGTATCTGCTGTTCTGCAGACAACCAGGCAGGAACCTGGGGAGGATTTGCCTCCTCCATGCAAATCCAGTGAACAGCATTGCAAAGCCAATGGCAGAGCCCCTGAGGTGTCAGAGAAATGGTCACCCAAGGCAGGACTTCAGCATCCCTGCGGGTAATCTCCAGCAGGCCCATTTCTTCTCTGTCATTTGGAAGGAACACTTGAAGCTTTGATGGAGCAAGAAGGAACTGAGTGACCGGGATTTTGTTTTTTTCTGGGCCTGCTTCCTTGACCCAGAATGATTAAGAGAGTTCACCACATGTGGCCCAGCTTTGGGGCCTTTGCCTGGGCCGGTGCTCTTACGGAGCGCTCAGGTGACACAGACAAGCAGTCGGTCCTGCTTAATTGGTGCTTTGAACCCAGTGAGAAAAACAGGTTTGCAGGCCAAGCCACTTTAAACCCCAAACCACATTCCCCTAGTCCAGGATTCCGCAAGGGCCAACCCATAGCAGTAATTAAGGCTCTTGTCCACTGGTTGTACGTTTAATACCAACTTTATATATACAAGAAATAGAAACTGTGTCTAACAATAAAGGGAGTAGAAAGCATAAGCAAAAACAATTGAGCATATACTTTTTATTAAGTTTTTAAGTGCTTCCCAGGCCCCATGAGGTAAGTCGTTTTAAATCCATTTACTAGCTGGTTAATTAAATGGACTTGGGGCTGAAGAGATGGCTCAGAGGTTGAGTGCTGGCTGCTCTTCTAGAGAACCCAGGTTCAGGTCTTAGCACCCACATGGAGGCTCAGAACCATCTTAACTCTAATTCCTGGGGATATAACCCTCTTCTGACCTCAAAGGGGCACCAGGCACACAGGTGGTGCACATACACACACACAGGCAAAACACTCATTCACAGAAGTCTAAATAAATGGGCTTGATGAAGCGGTGATTGGTCCAAGACCACATAGCCTGTGACTAGCAAAGCTGGGAATTGAAAGCAGAGGAATTGTGACCGTGACCACTTCATTCTGCTTCTTTCCTGCTCTGAGAAACAAGCCAGGAGCGGGGACGAAAGCAGGGGTGCTTCCTGGAACTGGGGACTAAAGATGGGCTTAGAAGGGATGTCCCGTTAGAAAACTAAGAAGCCAAGATTGGTGGTATATAGTCCCAGACGATCTGGAGGCTGAGGCTTGACAGACAGCCCAGTAGTTTGGGACTAGCCTGAGAAACAGAGATAGGAATGCTCTCAGAAGTACTAGTGGTGGTCACTACCTCACTGCCTTGACCACCTCTTTACCTTCAGGGGTTCATGGCTCATTATAAACAGATCCCATAGGAAATCTTTACTGCAGTTGTAACCTTGGGGATAGTGCAGCCAGCATGACCTCATCTCTAGGCCCTTTGGACCTGAACACAATCAGTTCCCTGGCATTTCCAGACTCCACCACGCTTCCTCGCTGCTCTGTCCTACTCTTAGGATCAAGTGTCCCAAACTCTGTTCAAAGCCACCCTTCCACCAGAAATGCTCTCCCCACTCCTTCCAGCCCAGCCTTAAAGAGCCTCACATGCTCCCTTCTCTCATTCTTCCCGAAGACCATAGCACAGGGGCCTTGGCTGTTTCAGGGGACCCACATATCTGGCCAGTAGTATCAGTTGCCAGCTCCTTCTACCTCTATTAAGAGGTTCAGGAATGGGATCTGGGGTCTCCAGAACCAATGCAAGCAAATTTGAACTCAATGAAATGCCTACTATAAAGAAACAGTAGTGTTTGTTTATTACAGAGCAGCATGGGGGAAATGCATCATAGCCCAGGGGCTGAGGCGGGCTCAGAAATAATGCTCAAGCTGAGATGGGGCGTGGTGAAGAAAGATGTGGAACTGTTCCCGGATGGCAGTGGCCGCTTTTACTGTGTTTGCCTGTGGCTGCACATACATGTGGAGGCTGGAGGTCAACATGGGTGTCCTCAATCATTCCCCACCTAATTTTTTGAAACAGGGTCTCTCACTGAATCCAGTATTCACCAAATGGCTAGACTGACTGGTAGGAGCTCCAGGAATGCCCATATGTCCTATCATTCCCCCACCTGTGCTCCCAGCCTACGGATACAACCATGTAGGTGTTGGGTATTCAAACTCAGGCCCCCATGCTCGAGCAGCAGGTACTGCGCTAACTGGACCCTTCTCCTCCACCCCTCTACTTCTGACTCGTTTAAACTCGTCTGAAGTTCTTGTCTTGTGCCTGGCAAACAGTGGTGCTCAGTTATGGTCGTGGAGGAAACAAAGGCAGGAATGCAGAGCCAGGGTTGGGCGGGGACATAGGGAAGGGGGAGACCCCACAACCCTGTCCCCACAGACTGCCGTTTACAGGATACTGCAGCAGAAGCCTCTGTAGATGCAGACCGACAGCAGCCAAGGCTCTTCCTGGGGTTGTGACCTCTAGGGACCGAAATGCTTGCTTGAGGTGGGATGCAGACCTCATCACCAGAGCCTGGCTGGGGGCCTTCTGGACTGTCACAGGGCGAGTAGTCCTGGGTGGGACGTCGTCAGTCAGCTCTGGAGGGAGAACAGGGTTATGGGCCAGGAAGGAGGTGCAGGTTGGAGGTGACCTTCTGTGGCAGTACCACGAGAGCAGGCCCTTTAAGGACCTACCCCTCTGCCTGCACAGGAAGGCAGGCACCAGCTGGGGCAGGAGGAACATTTTGTTGCCTTGATCCCCTGGCCAGACTGGGTGTCAGGGACAGTCCTGGTCAGAAAAGTGACCGGGAGCCAGAATGCCAGGGATGTCCTGGCCACATTGCCCGTCTTCCACATGTGTGCAGGTGGAACTCCAGGGCACTTACCACTGTGCGGCTTGAACAATCCCCGAGCCTCCAAATGGTTTGGACAGAGGAGCGTTCAGGCCTGTTCTACCACACAACTAGAAAATAAGCGGGGCCTGAAGCCTGGGACAGACACGAGGAATGGGTCACTCTTAGAACACGTGTGGTGCCCTTTAACTTTCTACCTTTTACCTAGGACAGGGTGCCCTTGGCTCTCAGATGCCAGGCTGAGGGCTATCTCTCCCTCTCTCCAGTTCCACTCTGGCCTATGTGAATTACAGACAGACTGCTGTAGGCAAGGATGGAGCACAGGAGAAATGTGTGTAAGGTCGGAGGTAAAGGCACTGGGCTCGGCTCACCAAGCCACTGTAGGGCAGACCAAACGGTGAGAGTGGGCTGGCCTGGCTTGGTGGATCCACCGCTGTTCCAGGGAGCACCTGAATACATTTTTTGCCATCTCCAGCTTCTGACTTTTCATGAGCTGCTGGTTTCTCACAGTCTAGCTCCCTCCTCAAGGGCTATGGATAAACCTTAAAGTTAGGTGGGGTGTGGAACACTGCAGCTGGTACCTGTCAGCTTGTCCATAGCTTCCCCTCAGTCTCAACAATGACTTCATGCTATTCACAACAGAGGCAAGTTAGCCTCCCAGTTTGGTTTTTGGTGGCCAGATGAGGCAACTATGTCAAAGAGGTTAAGTGACCAGTCCAAGGTCACACAGCCGGAAGCTTCAAAGCTCAGGATTGAAGCCTAGCCCCCACCTGCCTCTCTGGTCTGTGCGGCTTTCAGCCTCTGCACCTCCCATCATTCCCTTTGGAAAGAACAGTGGAAGAGCTGTGGGCCACACGGGTCAATGTCTTTACTTCTAGAGCATACGTCACACTCACTGGATGTTAACATCAAAAGTGGCTGCCTAAAATGGAGTCATTCTTTTAAAAATTCCAAACTCTCATATTTATATATGATCCAAAATGACACGAAAGTAAGCTATACAATGTTATGAATTATGAATAGTATGACAAACTGCTTTTAGAATGCAAAGTCAAAGGGGAAATGAGCAGGTAGGACTGGACTGTTGTAGCCTGAGTTCCAGTCTGTTGAGGCTTTGTGACAAGAGTCAGGTCAAGAGGAGTGTTAATATGTCTCTGCGGCCGCAGGCCAGAGCCTGGGCAGACAGAGCAGGTGCATGCGGCCAGCTGGACTTTTGGAGATGAGAGATGTGGTGGTGTCCTCCTACCGTCTGGCCCTTGGCTTGGGCGCCAGCGAGTCTTCTTTCAAGACTCATGGGCGGGGGGGGGGGGGGGGGGGGGGGGGGGGGGGGGGGGGGGGGGGGGGGGGGGGGGGGGGGGGGGGGGGGGGGCTGAGGGGGGCATGGGCAGGGCTGGGTTGAGAATGATGACTTTGACAACAAAGATCCTCCAGGTTCTTGAGGTGGCTCTGGCCATCCAGTGATGGTGGCTGACCATGTACCTGCTAAGAATGCTGCCCAATAGGCTCCTTTATCCTTGTGTCCCCAAGTTTGCTATAGGAGGCAGGCTGTGAGTAGCCAAAGGCCTAAGGGGACGGCTAGGACTCAACAGAGAGCAGGTTGTTTTGGCAATAGTGCCCAAGCCCATGACCAGACTGCCGGCTCATGGTATCCATGGGTCAGAAGGGCTCTATGGGGTGAGAAGCCATTCCCCACCCTGGGTGCCCAGAACTCCGTTTGGCAGGGATGGGACAAGCTGAAGTCATGACTCTGAGCCTCAGACACTTTGGTTCACACAATTTGGGAAGAAGGGGCCTGGTTATAACTGCCGGGGAAATCATGGGCTTGGTCCTCCTTCCTCCCCACCCCAGGAATGAGGTTGGGTTGAGGGGACTAACAGCCTCCCCCTTCTACAGCTGCAGCTCTGCCAAGGGCACACTCACTGCCCTGACGCTCAGAACCACTCACAGGCAGGAGGGGCTTCCACAGACTCAGGACTGCCCTTGGCACACAGGCTTGTGTCCCTTTCCCTGTGGACAGCACTGGCTGACCCGAGGGTGTCATGGGATGTCTCTGTTTCCCCCACCCTGGCCCTAGGCTTCAAGCACCCCCTGCCCAAAGACTCCTATCCTACTTATCTCAACTATCAGAAACTTGGGGTTCGGGCACATTCATCCTAGCTGGGCAATCCGAGACTGTAGCTCATGGTCCATACTCTAAGTCTCCAGAACTGTCACAAAGCTGCCCCCCCCCCCAAATCAATCTGAGGAGAAACCCTACTTCCTTCTTCCCGAGTCACCTGACTTCTAACTAGGCTGAACGATTTGGGAAGGCTGGGTTGACATCCCTCACACCTAGGGCAGAGGCACCTGACTACAGGTGGAATTCAAGTTCCCTATAAATGGGGAGGGGGGGAGCAGGATCTCAGAAAGCAAGTTCTGTCGTGGGGTAGAGATTAATGGAATCTGGTCTGGCCCCAGCAGTTTGGCTCCTCCCATGGCTGACCGGTCTGGTTCTAGGAGAACTGAACATGCACACCCTCCACCTGCCCAGAACCCTTGGTCCTCACTCCTGAGGAGGGAGCTGGTTGACAGGCTTGCTGCCATGCAGCTGCAAGCAGGCGAGACTGGACAGGGCAGGTGGTGGCCCCGAGGCCTCAGGGCAGGCAGGCCGCCACCTGGTAGGCGCCCTCTGCAGCCGCAGCGGCAGCGCTGTGCTGGGCACTGTGCTCCTGGAGCAGCGCCACATCCAGGAAGCGTTCGCCACACCACACACACTTGAACTGCTGCTCGCGGGCGTGCACGCCCTGGTGCTTGTTGAGATGCTCGCGCTGCTTGAAGGCTTTATCGCAGTTGGGACACTTGTAGGGCTTCTCACCCGTGTGCACCCGCCGGTGACGCTGCAGGTCTGAAGCGTACTTGAAGCGCTTCTCACAGTCCGGGCATTTGAGCGGTTTCTCCCGGGCTGGGTCACAGCGGTGCTGCACGAACTCCGAGGAAGAAAAAAAGCGGCGCTCACACAGGGTGCAGCGCAGAGGCTTCTCTGCGGCTGCGCAGTGTGACAGCTGGTGCTTCTGCAGGGCAGACGCCCGCTTGTAGGCCTTGTTGCACACCGGGCACTTGAAGGGCCGCTCTGTGGAGGTCGGCAAGCACTTGTGCCGCAGCAGCTCTGCAGACTGATCGAAGCCCTTCTGGCACACGGGGCACTTGAAGAGTGTCTCCAGGGTGTGCACGTGCTGGTGGTAGAGCAGGTGGCTCGGCTGCCCAAAGCCCTTCTCACACAGGCCACACTTGAAGGGCTCCTCCGTCTTGTGTGTGCGCCGGTGCCGCATCAGCGCATACTGCTGCTTAAAGCCCATGGGGCACAGGTCACACTTGAAGGGCCGCTCGGCACTGTGAGTGCGCTCATGCTGTCGCAGGTCCGATGGCCTCTTGAAGGCCTTCTGGCACTCGCCGCAGCGAAAGGGCCGCTCACCGCTTGGGGTGCAAGGGTGCTGCAGCAACTCCGACGACTCTTTGAAGTGCAGCTCGCACACATTGCAGCGGAACAGGTGATGCTCTCCCGAGTGCGCATACATGTGGCGCACCAGGTGGGAGCGATGCTTGAAGGTCTTCTCGCAGACCGCGCACTTGTAGGGCCGCTCGGAGCTGTGCGTGCGCTTGTGGTGCACCAGGTGGGAGGACTGGCTGAAGCTCTTGTCACACAGCGTGCACTTGTACGGCTTCTCTCCAGTGTGGATCCGCTCGTGCCGGGAGAGCTCCGACAGGTGCTTGAAGGGTTTCTGGCAGATAGGGCAGCTGTAGGGCTTCTCAGGCTGTTCCGCAGGGGCGACATTAGCGGGGGGAGGTGCCGAGGGCAGCGATGGGGCAGTAGTGGTGGCCGGTTCGGCAGCCTCCGCTGGCTTATAGGTCTTATCACAGATGGAGCACTTCACCATGCCAGTGTGGGAGCTGTGGTGCTGAGCCAGTGAGGTGAGCAGTGAGAAGCCCATTTTGCAGACACCACACACAAAAGGCTTCTGCTCGGCCTGCACACACTGGTGTTCCAGCAGATCAGTGGCCTGATGGAATATCTTCAGACACTGTGTACATTGGAAGGAGCGGTCGTGGCCTGCCAGGCACTGGTGCTCGTGAGGGCTGGAGAGGTGTGCAAGGTCATGGCCACACACACCACATTTGGGGCTGGGCTCCCCTGCTTGCAGAGGTGCATGCTGTGGGGGCTGCAGGCCTGGGTCAGGCTGCAGCAGTATGCCATAGACAGCACAGCCTAGCGGGTTCTCAGCCGTGCCCGGGGGCAGCGTGTGTTCAGCCAGGGCTGGGGGTGGCTCTGCATGGTGCTGAGGCTGTGGGGGCTGTGGCTGTTGTGGCTGTGTCTGTGGTGGCTGCTGCCAACTTTCCGACATGCTTGGGAAGATGAAACTGGGTTTGGACAGTAATGGCTTCAGTTTCCCGCTCAAGATGAACCCAACCCTGAGAGAAGCTACTGGATATCGGGGCCGGACAAGGACCTCACACAAGGCACAGAGGAGGGCCGGTCAGAGAGCCCTTGTCATGAGCCAAGAAGACAGCCTACAAGGCAGTGCTTACAGGGCAGGGGGCTCTTCGGGACAGGGTCCCAGCAATGCCGAGAAGGCTCTGCTTTCCCCAGTAATCGGTTCTGTAGGGAAGAGAGACACAGTGAACTTGAGGCAGGAACAAGTGGCCTTCCACTTATCTTTTCCTATACTGTCCACACTCACGGCACAGATACAAACTACCTCAGGAGAGGGAGATGCTCCGGGCTGGAAAGCTGCTCCCCTCACGTGCTATCAAGGAAGTCTGGTGGCAGCTCCACCCCTCCATGCAAAGGGGAAGGGAGCCACGTCTGTGCCCATTTTCTTCAACTCCCCATCCTTGGGGGGGCATCTCAGCCCCCACAAATCCCCTCTAGTTTCCATATGGCCTTATTCAGTCAGGTGCCTCACAGGGTCTGGGGTGACCTGTCCCTAAGGCCTGCCAGCCCCTCTCACATTAACATGAGGACACCGCTGTTATAAAAGATCAGAGAAGTCTGCTGGCAGAAGGAAACCACACCCACAAGGCACCAGGCCTAAGGCAAATGGACTCTGGAAGCTAATATTAACACAAGGGTATTAAGGACCATCTCAAAACCCTCTTCTTCATGGGACTGGTCCACGCTCTTCCTCACCTGCACCCCAGGCCTTTCCCAGGGCACATGCATCTCTAGTTACAACAGGATGAATGGCCTTGCAGGGAGGGTTAAATGACAGGTTCATAGACCCACCCAAGCTGAACTTCTGTACTCTAACCATCTCCCAGAGGATGTCGGAGTTAGACAGGATAAAGCATGCCACAGGGTGCTTTTCTTCCAGGCTCAAAACATTCACAATAATCAATGCAAGATAAAGCCCACCCAACCCCCAATCTCTGTTTCTCCTCTTTGAGGAAGCCCAAGGCAATCCCAGAGAGGGAGGAACTTTTGGAACCAAAGGCAACCCCTTTCCAGGTTCTCGGCTCATCTGCCGCTTAAATTTAAAAGTGTGTTAAGTATTCTCTGAGAGAAAGGAAGAAAGGTGGAGAATGACCTCACAAGCCAGCCCAGCTTCTAACTGTTACTCCAAAGAAACCTAAGAATCAAGCTGAAAGTTGTCATCCTCAGCATCTTCTGGGAATGGAGGGAATAAAGATGCTGCTGCGCCTTTATTCCAAGGAGTGTGTACCAAGGAGTATGAACAAGCGTTCCTAAGGTAGAGAGGAGGAGGGATTGCTCTGAACGCTGTCCGGTCTAGCTGTATCAATCCAACTGTGTGTTATTTTTCCTGGTATGAATGGCTGTCAATTCCAGCGGCCACCCCACTCTCCACCTTCAGGAGCAACCCCACTGCCTACCCCGACCCTTCTCCAGAAAGGAAAAGCCAGGAACACTCGCAGATCACTCTGCAAAGGGCAGGAGAGAGTACGAGTGGGATTGGAAAAGCAAGGAGAAGCCCCCACCTGCGCCCCACCCCAGCCCTTCTTCCTCCCTGGGCAACTGAATGAAAGCTGGTCACCTCCAATCAGGCCCAGCTGGGCTACCTCCTGTCAGCTCTTGCTCCGGATGGCCCAGCCACTGCGTCCCGAGAAAGGGTGGCTCGGGCCGAAGAAGGCCCCAGAGCCTCAAACCGTGCCCGGAAAGCGTCTGTGCTTCCAGGCCTGGCCTGGGCCATCCGAGAGCCCAGGGGGGCTCTCCCGAGGTGCGGTGGGCACTGGAGTGATCCCCCGATGCAGCCCCGGGTGCCCTGGCGCTCACCTACTCCAGGCCGCCTGCGGGGTCAGGCGCGGGGCGAGCAGAGACCAGCTGCTTTCTCGGCTGCCTCTTTATTCCGGCTCCATCCGCCGCGGCGCGGCCTACGCGCCCTGCCAATCCCCGGCCTCGCGTAGCAGAGGCGGACCGCTTCGGGGCGGGAGACGGGTTTGTGGTGGCCGGAACCGACGAATCGACTCGCGCACTCGGGCTAGCGGGACCCGGGCAGCGGACGGACGAGCGAGCGGACAGACCGACGGTCTTGCAGAGACCGGCGGACGGGCGGGCGGCGCGAGGCCGGGGAGGCGGGGTCGGGGGAGGAGCCGCGGCCCGGGCGGCGGCTGCGGAGGAACCAGAGGCACGGTGAGAGGCCGCCCCCTACCGGGAACCCGTGGCCCGGCCGGCCCGAGCCTGTGGGTACGGAGGGGCGGGGCCGGAGCCTCGGGATCCGCTCCCCGAAGCCTACAGAGCGGAGGCGCCCGGGGGTCCAGCCCCAGCCCTGTCCCCGCTGGCCACAGCCCGTCCCACCGCCTCTCCGGTCTTCTGCAGCGGACGTGCCGCTCGGCTCGCTCTCAAGAGTGACCCTGGGGCTCTGACTTTGTGCAGGGCTGACGAGCGGAGCCGCACTGGGGCACTAGGGCGGCTGAACGCGCCAAGAAGGCCGCCCACAGCACTTACCGTGTAGCCGGCGGGCGCAGTTTGCGGTAGTCCTCTGGGTCCCGCCCCCTCCGTCGCAAGGCCCCGCCCCGAGGTGGAGCTACTCTAGGTCCCGCCCCCTAGAGAGCACTTCCGGCTCATCGGAACTCGGGGCGCCGGCTTAAGGTGCCCGCGGATTCCGCCTGTGGTCAAGGCCCCATGAGCGAGGCGCCCCTGGTGGGCTACAGCAGCAGCGGTTCGGAAGATGAAGCGGAGGCCGCCGCTGCGGGGCGGAGCAAACCCCGGTCGGAGGGCCGCCGTTGGTGAGGAGCGAGGAAGTTTCTATCGCGAGGGCGCGATTCTTTGGAAACCCTGATGGGATCCGAGCCTCCGGGATACCCGGGAGGGTGGGTCGGTTCCCCGGGAAGAAAAAAAAGGGAAGACGAGGGAAAGAAGAATTCAGAGCACACCCTGGACAAAGCCCCAAAATGGCACCACCACCGCCTTGGCTAAGGCAAAGTTGGGAATGAGGTCATGGGTTCCAGACCAGCTCTAACCGGTGCATTTTTCTCCCTTGGTGTGCAAGCATGTTCCTTCCAAGATCTGTTTCTCCATTTGAACACAATGCAACAATCAAAGCTTTTCACTCGTCTAGTAAATGCTCAGTGAACAGCCACTGGGAGCCACACTGGAACTGGACTCTCCAGACTGATGCAAAATCCATGGGGATCTTAGACTTCAAGGACCTTAGGTCCTTAAATACCGGTCTTTGCTGAGCGCAGTATGTCGTCAGTTCATTGCACAAGAGCTCTAGCAAATAGAAATATGCTTTACACACAAGGAAATGAGTGTACAAGATCACAGAGCTACTTCAGTTCAGGCCTGTTCGGCTAGGTAATAAGGACCTCCATGCCACACTGCTGCCTGCTCTAGTGTTTCCCATGGGGACCAAGCACCCCGCTGAGATCTGCCTCCCAGTATAACTGGGAGGCTTCGGTAATTCTAGAGCGCTGTGGCTCTCTAGAAGCTCAAACACCTGTCTGGAGATCCACACTTAGCCGCTTGGCTGAGGAAGGGGGATCCGATTTGATGCCAGCCTATACTACATGACAAGACTGCTGAAGAATCACTGTGCATAGAGCTTAGAACTTTCGTTGTGTGTGCAAAGGGAGACCATGCTTGTTCTTTCTTCTTTTGCAGTGGCCAGAACCCCCTTCCCACTCAGAGGTTCCCGGTACCTGACAGTGTGCTGAACATGTTCTCTGGCGTGGAGGAGGGGCCCGAGGATGACAGTACAAAACACGGGGGGCGCATTCGCTCCTTTCCCCATGAGCGGGGCAACTGGGCCACCCACATCTACATACCGTGTGAGTCCCTTACTAATGGCAAATGGCCAGAAACAGGTACCTCTTAGCTGTGGCTAGGAGGACGAAACCAGGGCCCTGTGTGCTGGACTCATCCCACCCCAGCCCTGAAGAGGTGACAGGCTGATCAGACCTGGCCGCACTGGGTGTTCTGGAAGTTACCGGCTTCTTAGGGGCTCTGTTTCCCTAAAGTGGGCTGATAATATCTATCTCTTCGGAAGGTTAAGTCCGGATAATCAGCTTCTTAGCACAGCACACAAGGTGGCAGTTCTAACCTAGTGTAGTGTCCATTATCAGCTCCACTGTCAGAATGCTGCATCCCTCATAATAGATGAACCTGCTTTTTTTTTTTTTTTTCTGGCTTTTTGGAGAAAAGATCTCTCTGTGTAGCCCTGGCTGCCCTAGGACTCCAAGATCTGCCTGCCTTTGTCTCCCCAGGGCTGGAGTTAAAGGTGTGTGCCACTACCACCCGGCTTGAGCCCATATTATAATCACCAGACTTCACAGTTTGTATAATGGGTAAATCTTGGTGTTGTATATTCTGTGAGTTTACACAAACCTAAAAAGGTGTGCATCTACACTATTGTAGAGAGTGATACCACTGCAATACAAATTGTCATGCCCAACTTAGCCATCCCTGCCCTCCAGCAATGTGTTTCCACAAATCTGCCTTCTCCAAACCGTCACAGAATTGGGATCATTGAGTATTTAGCCTTTCAGATCGGCTGCTTTGGCTTAGTAGTGTACATTTAAGGTTCCTCTGTGCCTTGGCACACTTGATAGTTCATTTCTTCTTAGTGCTAATATTCCACTGTCTGGCTGCATGTTCACCTACTAAAGGACATTTTGGTTGTTCCTTACTTTGAACAGATATGCCTAAGGATGCTTTAGGCGGGCATGACTTTAATCTCAGCACTTGGGGGCAGAAACAACCCCCGAGTTAAGTTTGAGTTCTAGGCCAGCCAGAGCTACATAGTAAGACCCTGTCTCAAAAAATAAGTAAAATAAAATATATGCTAGATAGTGGTGGCTCATGCCTTTAATCTCAGCACTCAGGAATCAGAGGCAGGCAGATCTCTGTGAGTTAGAGGTTCTTTGTTTTCTGTACTCCTCATTAGGTGTTTCTCAGTCTGCCCCCCAAAACCCCTTGGCAGTGTCTGTTCAGCGCAGATATTTTAGTTTTATTTTTTTTAATATTTATTTATTATGTATACAATATTCTGTCTGTGTATGCCTGATGGCCAGAAGAGGGCACCAGACCCCATTACAGATGGTTGTGAGCCACCATGTGGTTGCTGGGAATTGAACTCAGGACCTTTGGAAGAGCAGGCAATGCTCTTAACCTCTGAGCCATCTCTCCAGCCCCAGCGCAGATATTTTAAAGTGTAATGAAGTTGATCTTATTGATTCTGATAGCTAATGAACAATACAGAGGTCTGAATGTGGCCCTTCGAGGGACTGGAAAGTACTATCGTGTGTGCCCATATGTATCATACATACATATACACATATCATATACATTTATTTTAAGACATTCTCATTAAAATATTGGCAGGTTGTCAGACATAGGCTACACCTGAAACTCAGCTAATAAGGGTTTCTCTGTTCTCTGGGCTTTTTTTCTTTTCGAGACGGTTTCTCTGTAGCTTTAGGGTCTGTCCTGGAACTCGCTCTTGTAGACCAGGCTGGCCTCGAACTCACAGAGATCTGCCTGTCTCTGCCTCCCGAGTGCTGGGATTAAAGGTGTGTGCCACCACCACCCGGCTTCCCCGGGCTCCTTATTCCTCTGTGACAGCTCGGCTGAGGCCAGTCTACTCTCCTCACTCTTCTCTTCTCTAGACGAAGCAAAGGAAGAGTTCCTGGAGCTGCTCGACATGCTGCTGCACCGAGCTCAGACGTTCGTGCCCCGACTGGTGCAGATGGAAGAGTTCCACATCAGCCTGTCTCAGAGCGTGGTTCTCCGTCACCACTGGATACTTCCCTTTGTGCAGGTGCTCAAAGATCACATGGCCTCTTTCCAAAGGTGAGCACTTCCCTCTTCTGTTTGTCGTGTCTGTCATATGTGTCTCCCCCCCGCCCCTTGTGCTTGGAGATAGAAATGGTGCCAAGCAAGAAGACCAGACCTGAGGCTGCTGTGTCCCCTCCTGTGTGATGCGGGCACCTCACATGAACTGCTCAGCTACTCTCCCTCTGCTGTATGCAGAAACCCTGCTGTCTGTCTCTGTGCTTGCACCTAGGGCTTCCAGCACTTCTCTTCCCAAATATGTGAGAGCAGCTCTCATACCGAGTCTGCAACTCTCCAGAGACTGAGTATCCTACAGTTTAGTTCACTTCTGATACCACTGCTCCAGAGGGCAACCTCACAGCCCAAGGGCTTTGTCCCACCAGCTGCCCTCAACAGTAGACGCCAGCTCACGTTAGGTCCCTAGGTCAGCCAAGAATTCTGATTTTGTTATGGATCAGAGCTAAGATCCCACCCCACTGCTCAGGGGGCCTGAGGAAGGAATTTGCTCCATTGCAGTCAGTTGGTGAGAAAACCAGGACTATAGCACTGCTCAGTCTCCTCCACTGGGATCGCCACTACCAGATTTAGTAAGCCAGCTGTATTCTATCAGGTCTGTCCCAGGTGCCAGAACCCAACCTAAATTGACTTCACCCAACTGGAATTACAGATGGGTTCAGAGACGGCCCTAGTTTCATGCATGAGGAGATGGATATAGCCAGAGATGTTACCTGAGCTGTGTTGTCTCAGCTCTGCCCCATGAGGTTGACTTCCTTCTCTCAGTGACACAAGAACCCACCAGTATGTGTGTGTGTGTGTCTTCTTGTGAGTACAGCTACATGCATGTAGAAGTCAGGTGTTGGTCCTTACCTTCCACGTTGCTTGAGATAGGATCTCTTTATTGTTTTTCTGCCGTGGGTCTCAGACTGCATAGCCCCTGAGCGTCCAGGATTCTCCCACCTGTCACTCTCCCTATGGGAGCACTGGAAGTGCAGATGCTCACACTTCTGTATCCAGCTTTTACATGGGCTCCAGAGTTTTGAACTCACATCCTCACACTTGTCCAGCTACAACTTTTACCCACTACACTCTCCCCTACCCTGCAGGCTCCTTTTAAAATGTGTTTATTAGGCTTGAGGGATGGTCTTCGGCAGTAAGAGCACTGGCTGTTCTTGCAGAGGACCTAGATTCAGTTCCTAGCTCCAATTGGCAGCTCAAGCTGTCTGTATCTCTAGCTCCAGAGGCTCTGATGGCTTCTTCTGGCCGCCATAGGCACTCCGTACATGTGCACAGACTACATGCAGATAAAACACTCAAAAAGAAAAGGAAATTTTAAAGTGTTTGTGGGTGTGGGCGTGGCATGCCCATGCATATGTGTGTGGGGTCTGTGCCTCTGCATGTGGAGGCCAAAAGCAGACATCAGCTGTCCTTGTCATTCTCTGCCTGTTCCTTTGAGACAGGGCCTTTCTCAAACCTGGAACTTGTGTTTTCCTGGCTAGGCTTGGAACCTGCGAGCCCCAGCAATCCTCTCTGTCCAGCTTATAGCTGGGATTCCAGGTGTATACAGGATGCCCAGCTTGTTAATTGGGTCCTGGTATCAGAATTCCAGTCTTTCATATATTTCCATGTGATTTCAGCAGATGTCATGGGAATGACTTTTGGTTAGTCTGACTCTGCTCATATTCTCCCCTTAAGTAAAGAGTGGAAATGCCCTTTCCCTTA